AGAAATACTCAGTGAGAAGGGAGTCCAATAAGGATGGGAGTTTCTAAAAGGAGAAATATTGAAGGCCCAAACGCAGACCATACCAACAAGAAAGAAAAGTGGGAGGCAGTTGAGAAAACCAGTGTGGCTGCATAAGGAGATCACAGATGAGCTGAGAGTAAAGAAGGGCATGTACAGTGGTACCTCAGGTTACAGACGCTTCAGGTTACAGACGCTTCAGGTTACAGACTCTGCTAACCCAGAAATAGTACCGAGGGTTAAGAACTTTGCTTCAGGATGAGAACAGAAATTGTGCTCTGGTGGTGCGGCAGCAGCAGGAGGCCCCATTAGCTAAAGTGGTATCTCAGGTTAAGAACAGTTTCAGGTTAAGAATGGACCTCCAGAACGAATTAAGTTCTTAACCAGAGGTAGCACTGTATAAGAAATGGAAGAAAGGGGAAATCACAAAGGAGGAGTACACATGAGTTGCCAACAGTTGCAGGGTTAAAGTCAGGCTGGCTAAAGCTCAGAATGAGCTCAGGCTTGCAAGAGAGGTTAAAAATCATAAACAAAAGGTTTCTTCTGCTATGTCCAAAGGAAGAGGAAGAACAAGCAAGCTAACAAAATGAATTCCACTCTATTCTGCCTTGGTCTGACCACACTTGGAATACTGTGTCCAATTCTGGGCATCACAATTTAAGAAGGATGTTGACAAGCTGGAATGTGTGCAGAGGAGGGCAACCAAGATGATCAAGGGTCTGGAAACTAACCCTTATGAGGAGCTCTTGAAGGAGCTGGGTATGTTTAGCCTGGAAAAGAGGAGACTGAGAGAAGATACCATAGCCATCTTCAAATATATTAAGGGCTGTCACATGGAGGAGGGAACATGCTTGTTTTCTCCTGCTCTGGAAGGTAGGACTCGAACCAGTGTCTTCAAGCTTCAGGAAAGGAGATTTTGATTAAACATTTGAAAAAACTTTCTGACAGTAGCTGTTCAGCAGTGGAACAGACTCCCAGGAGAGGTGGTCGACTTGCCTACCTTGGAGGTTTTTAAACAGAGGTTGGATGGCCATCTGACAACATGGATGCTTTAGCTTAGATTCCTGCATTGCAGGGGGTTGGACTAGATGAACCTTGAGGTTCCTTCCAATTCTAAGATTCTATGATTCTAATGTCAACTATAGTTAAAACAAACCAAAGTTTGTAAGCAAACAATAAACCATGGTGTCTGATCACAGTTTGTAGGAAGGTAACAGGCTACAGTTGTGCCACTAGGTAGTGTTCAGATAATTAAATAAACAATACTTCAATAAACAGCGGTTTAAGATTACATACACCAAGAATAAACTCTAAAGAACTCACTGGCGCTTATTTCTGAATAAAAACGATTAGCACTCTGGTTCATATCCTCTTTGTCCACCATAACAGCTGCTCATCCTTTATTTCACTTTCCTTTCAATATTCCCCCCCCCCCATTTAATTAAGTACTAACTGTATATCCTTGGATACTGGAACATAATTGTTTTGTACATTACTGAGACTTTGTTGGAGAATACTTGTTGGTGGCTGTAGAAAGCAAGTGCCTACATGACATTCAGACACCCCTTGTGTCTGCAAATGGTTCTGGATGGAATGCTTGACACTTAAATAGCCCTAAGTCAAACTCTATATTGTGGAAACATTTTGAACACTTGCAATTCATGCCTGACCTGGGGCTAGTAATGTGTATCAAGAATTCCAACAATGGGTTTTCAACGAGTGACTTGCATAAGCAATTTTAGTGGTTTTAAATCCAATCAGACTATCTTATGGTTTTCCATTCACAAACAGCTGCTGTAGTTAGCCATAAGCTTTCTGCAAAATATTAATGAAAAGTAAGGCAAGAAGCTGTTTAACCAAAGAGAAGCAATTCAGGAGGGGATATACAGAGGAAGTCTTCATCTTCCCATGAACACAATATAAAAATTGATCTATGCAGGCCAGAATTCAGTTTCCAGCAGATGCCACCCAGATGAATGGAGGAAAAACCCATAGCTGGGTATGTAACAGATAGTCACCCCCTCTTACCTACCTATATGAAAAAAATCCTCTCTCTCCCACTTCCTTCTTTCATTTAAACTTCTCCTGTCCACAAACAACTGCCCAAAATCCATCCTTCTATAACACAACAGGTATGCAATACTGTGCTTTAGGCAGCAATCTAAAGTAGGGCTGAAAATAAGTCACACTGGAATTAATGAGACTTATTTCAAAGAAACCTGTGTGTTTCACCTAAGGAGGAAAGGGACAGACCTGGTCTTGTGCTTTCAGAGATAGGGAATCAGCCATTGTTATGCTTCTTGTTCCCAGCAGACTTTGGTGCAAGCTGATACCTGTACAGGACCTCAAGAGTGTAATCCAAATGTCTGCTACCTCCTCCCTCATTCAGTTTTAAGATTGCGCCGAGATGTAGACTCCATGGCTTCAACAGCAGTCGTTTTCTCTCCTAACTGTCACCCTGTCGCGCAGTCCATTTCAAGAGTTCTGAAGAACTCAAAAGCTTGCACAGCATTTTCTGTAATTTTGGTTGGCTTAATAAAAGTCTCACTCCAATACAGATTGGAGCATTTTTCTTATGGGCCAATGTGCCTCCCTTTCCTTTCTATTAAATATGAGTAAATGTACTCATAATCATTGATTAACAAATTAACACTATTTTATTGAAAAGTTGAAGGCAACCTTGTTCTCTTTTGTGCCAGATGCCCTTGCGCTACCAAACTGCCAAATTTCACATTCCAGTGACTGTATTGAAGGAAAGTGTTATTTCATACAGTTAAATCTGATCTTTCCCTTTTGTGAACTTCAAAATACAAATGTGTATTGTTTTAATGGCCTGATACACAAACAGTACTTTGACAAAATTCAGTAATATAAGAATTATAATTTTCAGTAGCACAGAAGTTCCAAATTTGGAGAAAAAACAAAGAGGAACCATTAACCGGATTGATTAGATAAAGGAATATAGGGGAATGGGTAAAAGTACTGCAGGTTAAAATATCTTTAAAAGATGTCATGGAACAAAGGTTGGGGATTCCCACCCTTTTCTCCGTGACTTCTTTATGTTCTCAGCTATAATTATAAAAACAATTCATCCCAATTATCACGACTAAAATGTCAACTTCAGCTAGTTGTCAGAAAGGCTTTAAAAAAATAGAACGCTGTTTTCCTCAAAGCAGAAGAGATGATGATTATTTGTCAAATTTCTATGCTGCCCTTCATCCGAAGATCACAGGGGGTTTACAATCTAAAAACACAAAAAACACACCATAGTAATAATACCACCCCCCCATGCAGTTTAAAAGGCCATAACTTGTTTAATTAGCCAAACGCTTGGGAGAAGAGGAATGTTTTTGCCTGGTGCCTAAAGATATGCAACAAAGGTGTCAGGCAAGTGTCCCTGAGCACAGCAGTCCACAAGTGGGGAGCCACTGCAGAAAAGGCCTGTTCTCGTGTTGCAGTCCTCCAAACCTCTCACAGAGGAGGCACATAATCTCAGTGTCTGGATTGGTTCGTATGGGGAATGGCAGCACTTAACATATTGTGGTCCTGCCAAGTTTAAGGCTTTATAGGACAAAACCAGCACTTTGATTTGGGCATGGAAACTAACTGGAAGCCAGTGCAGTTGAGCCAGTTTTCCACTTGTCTTTGAGCCGTTTCCCAGCTTGCCTCCCCGCCCTAAGCTCTGGAGTGTACCAGGAAGCTAAATGGGCTCCACAAAGCAGGAGAGGGTGCTCAGGAATGATCACATCAATGGCCCAAGCTATTCAGATGTTCCAGAGGTTGGCCAGGGCTCCAACAGGACTGCCAGTCATATCAGTCTGAAAATCCCCCAGAGCTGTTTGGAAACCCATTGGATCCATCAGCCTCCCCTCCGAGGGTACACTACCCTAATAGTTCCCTGGCCTCTGCAAAGAAGAAAAGGCGCTGAAAGCCTAAATCTCAACAGGAAATGATCTGACCATGACTAGGGACTGATGTCAATATTTCCCAATTTTAGATGACCCTCTTCCTGCCCAGTTGAGAAAACAAGGTCTAGAGTGTGGCCTGCCACATATGTTGGGCTGATGACATGTTGGGACAGCCCCATGGTTGTCATGGCAGTCATGAAGTCCCGAGCCACACCAGAACCAGTCACCTCAACATGGATTTCCCCCGAAACCAACACTCTGGGAGTCCTCAACCGTGCCTCCGAGACCAACTCTGCCAGCTCAGGCAAGGAGACTGCTTGGCAGCAAGGCAGTAAATTAGCAGAATCTCTAATCTGTCCTGATTGCTCAATGTCAGGAACACACACTCTAGATTCCCGCAACTGGACAGAGAGACCAGAGAGAGAGATGGAATCTCTATAGACTACAGCAATTCTCCCTCTCCATCCCTCAGCTCTGCCTTGATGCTGCCCTGAGGACCCAGGTGGGCACAGCTGGGTGAGACCAATTCTATCCTGCTCACCCACCCAGGTCTCAGGAATGGGTGAGGCGGCTTCCCCATTCATAATCAGATCATACCTAGCCCTACCATGTACCACTGTAATTGTCCCCACCCCCACCCCCCACTCTCCCCTGCTCCTGTCCTCCCAGGCACATCCTCCCTCCATCAAGAAAAATAACAAAAATCCACACAAATTGAAATCAGTTAAAACAATTAAAAGCAGTTAAAACATTGGCCCTGTCTCCTAGATCTGAGAAAATATGGGAACCCAATATGGGATCTGGCAAATTTTAAATACACAGTATAGTATAGAGCTTCCCGTCACAGTATAGTGCTTCTTAGGATTGCATTGGGAATATCAGCAACTCTTAGAGGAGAGCGACAAACCTGTAAACTGAATGACACCAACCAGCAATGTTTCTGTCAGTGAAGGGTTAACTCCAGGTCAGGTGTGCCCTGCCCCGCTCTTTTGAACTGTGTCCCTCCCTACTGTGCAACCAAACCAAGCAGGGCTAGGCACTTTGCATCGGGTACTTTATCAGGAAGGCGGAGCCTGAATGATCGCATCTCTTCTGACCTATCGCAGCTGCCGCTTCTTGCGGTTTGGACCGACAAAAAAAAAAAAAAATACAAGGAAAGAAGTGGGGGCGTCAATGCTTCGGTGTGAATCAAATACTGCGAAACGACAAGGCGGAGCGAAGGCTTGACGGGCTCAAATCCCCACCAATACCTACCAGCGACTGGGGCCGAAGCAGCCAATGCGCCCACGAGGCTTCAAGTAGGGAAGGAGAGAGGGTAGCGAAGGAGGTGGGAGTTGTTGTCAGGGAGTAGGAGGCAGCTCTGTTTGGCGGCTGAGGAGGAGCTGAAGGGAGGCGGCCGCGGGTAGCAGGTGAGAGCGAGCGGCGGAGCGAGCGAGCGGCGGCCGGGCCCGGTAGGCGCTTGGCTGAGGGAAGGGGCTTCCGTGGACGACGAGGCGCGGTTCCTCCCTCCCTGCCCGGCGGGGAGAGCGGCGGGGCGACCTGTGGCGGAAGGCCCGAGCTGCCGGGTGCGGGGCTGGTCGGCTCCGAAGCCGTGTGGGTGAGCCTCGAAAGGGGAAGGGAGGAAGGGAAGGAGGAAGGAAGGAAGGAGGTGCGGGGCTGCTGCGCTCAAGAGGAGTCGCTGGGGAAGGAGGCGGCCGCGGGGAATCCGGGGATGGGGAGAAGCGGGCTCGCGGAGTACGTGTGAATGAGTGCAGCGGCGTGCAAGGGAAGGTGCGAGTGCGGGGTCTGCTCGGAGGGGAGGTCGGGCGAGGTGCCGGAGGGAGGTGGGGCGCTCGAGGTGCCCGGGAAAGGAAGGGGCCGGCTGGGCGTCTCTCGGCTTCATACACACATATATACAGTACAGGGTATATCTATGTCTATATAATGGTCGGCTGGGCTGGAGCTGAACCTGGGCGAGGATCTGCGGCGAGTGGCCCAGGAATGCGGGCGGATGAGGAGCCCTGCGGAAGGGAGGAAGGAAGGAGGAGAGAGGGAGAGGCGGATAGTGCAGGAAGCGGCGAGGAGGGAGGGAGAGGCAGAAGCGCCGCTCTCGCATCCCCAGCAGCGGAGGGACCTCGGCGGGCGAAGCTGCCCGGCCGCCCCTTCCCGGCTTCCGGGGTGCCTGCCTGCCTGCCTGCCTGGGACTGGCCTCCCTTCCAGGCCCCGCTTGGTCTGGGGAGTTAGGGATTCGTGAAGGAATGTGGCCAACGGGCTTCCTCTCCTCGGAGTATATCTGCCCTATATTTCATTCTGTCTCCAGGACTACTTGTTTGTAAATGAAGCCTTTTTGCAGAATCCTGGCTTTGCAACCCCTGGAAAAGGGGGCGGCGGCGGCAGGAAAGAGCTGATAAGCTAATTGAGCGAAGCGCCGTCCCACCTATTCTTACTTGGCTTTGTGCGAAGCAGAATTGATGTGTGGTAGGATTAAAATCAACGAGGTTAAACTTTGAAAGATTGGGTGTTGGCACTGACAATATGATTACTTTGGTCTTTAAAGGAGAGCTTCATTTCCTTTTTATGGCTTTCTGTCAGGATGTTGGGCGCAAAGCAAGTGTATATCTTTTTAAGAAGAGGATTAATATTAATCCAAAGTGCAACAATTACTGAATCATAAAATACTAGGTTTGTGTGTCATGTTTCCAAATAACAAAATACTCGAGATTTTTTTATCCTTTCTATGAGTACTTATTGTGAAATGATGTGTCTATTTGGCTTGCAGCAGCTCTCATCTAGAACTCCTTCATCCACAAGATTTATGTAACCTGCTCATTAATTTTTCATAAAGCTCTAAAAGTTTCTGGTAGAATTTATTCTGTTTAATGTGTAGGTTGTTGTGTCTTCCAAGATGCTTATAAAAGCACTTATAAGGATTTGTTATTTGGTTGTAATCAGCTATTTGTCGTAATAATAATAATTATTTTATTATTTATACCCCACCCACCTGGCTGGGTTTCCCCAGCCACTTCTAAACATTTTGTGGTCCTCAAATTGTGTGTGTGGCATCTTTAGCAAAGATGATGTTTAGGAATACAGTTGAACCATAATGACATTTGTATCTGGTTATTCTCTGCTGCAAAAGTGTGCATGTTACGCATATTTCACTTCTCCAATCCTTGGACTTGTTCTGTAGTTAAAATCATGATAGGTCTCTTAAGGCCAACTGCTATTTAATGTTTGACATAGTAAAAGAGTGCTGATCTGTACAGTTTTTCCGCTGGATTGTTGCAATGTTTTTCCATTCTTTCCTTCTTGGCCATTCTTTATGGAAACACTAAATCAGTGACATCACTCATGTGAGCAAAATAAAACCATAAATTGTCTGTTCCTCCTCAGTTCAATCCTTGTCCTTTATCATATTAACTTCTTTAATCTACAGATAAATAGACGGTGGGGTGGGGAAAGTTGCTGTTACACAAGTTCTGTACAAAGAGTGGCAAAGCCAAGATGCATAGTGAAAACTTTCTGTCACTGAAGCCTCCTTGGCTCAGACATTTGCACTCTTTTAATAGAAAATACATAGAGAATAATTTCCACAGTGATGCGATGCATCTTCCAAAGTTTTATTTGCCTAATCAGATTTAAGTTCTTAATTCAGTAGTGTGTATAATATATATTACCCTGTGTTGCCTGGAGCATCATTTGTGCAAATACTCTAGGTGCTTTATTGCAACAATGTAATACTGGTTTAATTAAATTCAAGCTGTAGTCTAGCAAGGGTTTTGTTTTTTGCATCGTTTTTAAAGACTTACTGTGTTCAACCTTGCAAATAATCTCACAAAAGTTACTAGCACACATAAATATTATCTAGCCCAGGGTTCAGCAACCTTTTTCAGCTGTGGGCCAGCCCACCGTCCCTCAGACCATGTGGTGGGACAGACTATATTTTGGAGAAAAAAATAAATGAACAAATTCCTATGCCCCACAAATAACCCAGAGATGCATTTTAAATAAAAGGATACATTCTACTTATGTAAAAACATGCTGATTCCGGGACTGTCCATGGGCTGGATTGAGGAGGCGATTGGGCCGCATCCGGTCCCAGGGCCTTAGGTTGCCTACCTCTGATCTAGCCTGTCAACTTGCCCACACACAGTTTTAAGAAAAAAAGAGCCAAGCTTTTTGGTTCTCTTCATCATGGAGTAAGCAAGAGGCTGTATCAAGCCGCAGTTAGTCCATGAGGGGATGGATGATGGAAGTGGAATATTTCGTAATCTCTAAATTTAGGAGATTTTTATGTTGTGGAAGTATTGGTGGGAAGATATGACTTACTGATATTATCTTGCACTCTGTTTATAGTAGCACAATTGGGGACTGGTACATCAAACAATCCATTTGAAGTGCTCTGTCTAAAGTCTTGCTGGCAGAAGATACAGTACTAAGTAACTTTACTACTCTGTTTTAGGAGAATGAATCTTATCAGATAACGTCTTTTAATCCTGAGCCATTTTTGAAGATTTTATAGGCTCTAGAGTACTCTGGAATAGGGTATTGTCAATACCCAGATCAATAAAACAGATATCAGCAATACAAACGTTTATTGGCTAGTATATTTTATTGGAGAAATAAAATATTGGACAAAATATTACATTGGGAGAACAATTTCAGGACTCTAAATGATTGCAAATTTAGTCTGTTGATGACCTCTCTTGTTCCACACACTTGCAATGCCTGAAAAGGGGGCCTTATATAGGAACAAATGCTGTAACTAATGTGCTATGGTAGTGAAAGTAGATTGTACGCTGTGCCAGAATTCCCTTATTGTCTGCTGTCTAAACATAGTGATGAATATAGGTAAACTGTCTTTCTGGACTTCAAATATTCTGTACTCTGTAGCTCTCTTCTGGCATTAACTGGCTTGAAGAGACAACATACCAGTGAATACCAGTTTCTGGAAACTGCAAGGCAGCAGAATGCTTTTGTTCTTGGGTCCTGTTTGCAGACTTCTCACTGGCATCTGGTTGGCACTGTGAGAACAGAATGTTGGACTAAATGGGCCTTTGTCCCAATCCAGAAGTCTCTTATGTTCTTTACCGTGAAGGTTCATCTTTAGTTGCCTCTTCCCTCCCCTGACCATGCAGCTCGCCCAGTCTCTCTTATGATGATAAAGTACTGTAGTGAAGAAGCAACTTTCTGTAGTTGCTACTATTAAACAATTAGGAATCTGAAATCTTTGCTGATCTACTGCAGAATAACCAAAGATCTGGCTGTTGATCCCAATTTACCTTCTGTCTACCCTGATTGAGGCAGGTCCAGGGAATTATCAACCTTCTTGAAAGGTACACTTAACAATATAGTGTTACTTCTAACTGTCCTGTCTGAGTACAGCTGAGTACATGCTGAAGTTTCAGCAAATAGGTTTCAACATTTTGAATACTGTTATATTTTGCTTCTCATGCAAGAATAATATAATTACATTTTTTTGTGATATATATTGACTTATAAAAGCTGGAAATGTTATTTTCTGTAGTTCTCTATTATAGCAAATTACAGTTATGGATGAAGGATAGTAAGTCATTACACAGTACTTATATGTTTTATAACTTTAAACTCTTATTTAGAATTTTAAAGCCATCTAGTTTGCCAACTATAAAATTCCTGAGAAACCTTGGCTGGCTTATGTCTCTCTTTTTTTCTTGGAAAGAGCTGAGACAGTTCTGTGGAAAATCACTAAATCAACATTTTCCCCCTCATGCAAACCTGGTATGCTTCTGAGTTGTACTGACTTTCTGTAATTCTGCGTCTGCAAACTGCAACATTCCCAGAAGGAATAGTTCTGGGTACTTTGTTCTGCTAGTTTTGAAAAGCTTAGAACTATTGCCTTTGCAGAGTTCTCTGGTGGAAAACTTTATTGATGGACATCTGTATATTTAATATCTTACACTTTTAAAATCAATTATCTGCCTTTTATGGCAGTTCTGCTACTAAACATATATTGATATCTGATATTGGTTAATCTTGAAATGTGGTGAGGCTTATAGCCTGATTCTGTGCATATTTGCTCAGAAGTATATTCCGCTGAGTAATACATCTTATTTGACCATAACACACTAATATATTCATACAAATGGGACTTTACTACCAAGTAAGTGTGTAGAGAAATGCAGCCTTGCTTTGTGTAGTGTAGAAGATCTTAAGTTTCACCCAAGAAAATAATGTGTCAGGTGCATTTAACTTGGATTTATATTTTGCCTAAAGCTGCATTCTTGGTTTCTGCCACTGAAGAAGCAGGAAGCTAGTGGTAGACTAGGTAAAGTCATAGAATCATAGAATCATAGAGTTGGAAGAGACCACAAGGGCCATCGAGTCCAACCCCCTGCCAAGCAGGAAACACCATCAGAGCACTCCTGACATATGGTTGTCAAGCCTCTGCTTAAAGACCTCCAAAGAAGGAGACTCCACCACACTCCTTGGCAGCAAATTCCACTGTCGAACAGCTCTTACTGTCAGGAAGTTCTTCCTAATGTTTAGGTGGAATCTTCTTTCTTGTAGTTTGGATCCATTGCTCCGTGTCCGCTTCTCTGGAGCAGCAGAAAACAACCTTTCTCCCTCCTCTATGTGACATCCTTTTATATATTTGAACATGGCTATCATATCACCCCTTAACCTCCTCTTCTCCAGGCTAAACATGCCCAGCTCCCTTAGCCGTTCCTCATAAGGCATCGTTTCCAGGCCTTTGACCATCTTGGTTGCCCTCCTCTGGACACGTTCCAGTTTGTCAGTGTCCTTCTTGAACTGTGGTGCCCAGAACTGGACACAGTACTCCAGGTGAGGTCTGACCAGAGCAGAATACAGTGGCACTATTACTTCCCTTGGTCTAGATGCTATACTCCTATTGATGCAGCCCAGAATTGCATTGGCTTTTTAGCTGCCGCGTCACACTGTTGGCTCATGTCAAGTTTGTGGTCAACCAAGACTCCTAGATCCTTTTCACATGTACTGCTCTCAAGCCAGGTGTCACCCATCTTGTATTTGTGCCTCTCATTTTTTTTGCCCAAGTGCAATACTTTACATTTCTCCCTGTTAAAATTCATCTTGTTTGTTTTGGCCCAGTTCTCTAATCTGTCAAGGTCGTTTTGAAGTGTGATCCTGTCCTCTGGGGTGTTAGCCACCCCTCCCAGTTTGGTGTCATCTGCAAATTTGATCAGGATGCCCTTGAGTCCATCATCCAAGTCGTTGATAAAGATGTTGAATAAGACCGGGCCCAAGACAGAACCCTGTGGCACCCCACTAGTCACTCTTCTCCAGGATGAAGAGGAACCATTGATGAGCACCCTTTGGGTTCGGTCAGTCAGCCAGTTACAAATCCACTGAGTGGTAGCATAGTCAAGACCGCATTTTACCAGCTTCTTTACAAGAATATCATGGGGCACCTTGTCAAATGCCTTGCTGAAATCAAGGTAGGCTACATCCACTGCGTTCTCTTCATCTACCAGGCTTGTAATTCTGTCAAAAAAACGAGATCAGGTTAGTCTGACATGACTTATTTTTCAGAAATCCATGCTGACTATTGGTGATCACAGCATTCCTTTCTAGGTGCTCACAGACTGTTTGCTTAATGATCTGCTCCAGAATCTTCCCTGGTATTGATGTCAGACTGACTGGGCGGTAATTATTTGGGTCCTCTCTTTTCCCCTTTTTGAAAATAGGGACAACATTTGCCCTCCTCCAGTCTGCCGGGACTTCGCCTGTTCTCCAGGAATTCTCAAAGATGACTGCCAGTGGTTCTGAGATCACCTCTGCCAGTTCTTTTAATACTCTTGGATGCAGTTCGTCTGGCCCTGGAGACTTGAATACATCTAAACTAGCCAAGTATTCTTGTACTATCTCCTTAGTTATTCTGGGCTGTGTTTCCTCTGCTGAATCATTTGCTCCAAATTCTTCAGGTTGGGCATTGTTTTCTTTATCGGAGAAGACTGAGGCAAAGAAGGCATTGAGGAGTTCAGCCCTTTCTGTGTCCCCTGTTTGCATTTCACCATCTTCTCCTCTGAGTGACCCCACTGTTTCTTTGTCTTCCTTTTGCTACGAACATACCCATAAAAGCCTTTTTGGTTGCTTTTAACCTCTCTAGCAAGCCTGAGTTCATTCTGTGCTTTAGCTTTTCTGACTTTGTGTCTACACGTGCTGGCTATTTGTTTGAATTCCTCTTTGGTGGTTTCCCCCCTTTTCCATTTTTGTACACATCCTTTTTTAATCTTAACTCAGTTAAAAGTTCTTTAGATAGCCACCCTGGCTTCTTTAGGCACCTTCCATGTTTCTGTCTCATTGGTATTGCCTGAAGTTGTGCTTTTACTATCTCCCTCTTAACAAACTCCCAGCCATCATGAACTCCCTTTCCTTTTAGTATTACTGTCCATGGGATCTCACCCAGCACTTCCCTAAGTTTTATGAAGTCAGCTTTCTTAAAGTCAAGAAATTGAGTCCTAGTATGCTTGGCTGCTCCTTTCCGCTGTATAGTAAACTTCAGAAGAGCATGATCACTCGCGCCTAATGATCCTTCCACTTCTACCCCACTAACCAGGTCATCAACATTGGTTAGGACCAGATCTAAAATGGCTGTTCCTCTTGTTGCTTCTCCCACTTTCTGGACAATGAAGTTGTCTGCAAGGCCAGTGAGGAATCTGTTTGACCTTATGCTCTTGGCTGAGTTTGACATCCAACAAATATCCGGGTAATTGAAGTCCCCCATTACTACTGTCTCCCTTCCTTTTGCATGCTTGGCCATCTGTTCCAGGAAGGCATCATCTATGTCCTCTGTTTGGCTTGGGGATCTGTAGTAAACTCCCACAATGAGGTCACTGTTATTCTTCTCTCCCTTAATTTTGACCCAAATGCTCTCACTTTGGCTTTGAGGTTCTAAATCTTGGATCTCTTCACAGGTATACACATCCCTGACATATGACGCCACTCCTCCTCCTTTCTTGTCTGGTCTGTTGATAGTGGCAGTGCAGAGTTTTCAGAAACTTTTCCAGTACCTTTAATTAATTGGAATTTGATTTAGTATTTGTCTTAAAAGCAAAAAAGTAAATACTGTTTTTTTGTTTAACTATCCCATGCTTTTCAGTACACAAAAGTAGTTTAGCTGAAATATTTTATATAGACCAAATAAAAAAATGCACACTTAATGTGGTTTAAATGTTCATAGAAATTAACATCTGTACTTTGAAATGTATTGTACTTTTCTCAAAAACAAAACAACTCAGTAGCATATACTTAACATTGTTCAAATGTTAAGAAAATAATTTGGGCACTGCTAGCTGTTAATATGGTAGGAATACATCTTGTTTGACCATAAGCATAAGCCATAACAAAACTAACATAGTCATACAAAATAAAATTCATGAACAGTGTCTGTATAATATATAGCTTTAGCAAGTCTACAAAGCTGTTCATGATAGATACAGGTATGCTTCCTAGGGACAGTCACCTGAAAAGAGTTAATGGCAAAATCTGAAACTGCTCAATTTGACAAAATTGACTGTTGCAAATCTTCTAAACAATGTATTTTTGGAGAAATATGTGATAGATTTCCCCCCACAAAATATTTCACTCTGTACGTCTGCTATAAAGAAGCAGAGGACTCAACTTTAGCACATTGATGCCTGACAGTGCAGGATCTAGTATACATGGCATCTACTGTATTTAGGAGGGTGATCTTGGCCACAGTAGAATGCTTTCTGGACTGCTTTGCGCATCACATTAAACCATAGTTAAAAACAAACTGTGGTGTAATGTTAATGTGTTAGGTGCATGCTGCTGAAATGTCCTCGTTCTGCTCTCACTGCCACTGCACCTCTGGGAAACAAACCAGAGTGACCTTTAGTGATAACCAAGGATTGTCATTCACTTCCTGTGCATGGTTCGTTTGGAGAGAAACAAGCCATGAGCCTAGATTAAGAAGTCACAACAAGGTGGACTCCAGCTTGTTTCCCAGCAGCAGAATGAGAATTTTTAAGTTGTGTGATCACACTACTTTCTCATTAAATCATAGCTAATTTTAATTATGTTTTCGTTTGATGCATGAACTATAGCAGTGTGTGCCTAGGAACCCTTAGGAAAGGGTTGCAATAAATGGTGCTAGTTTTAAAAAATATTCGTTGCAATTTCAACACATCAAATATGAAACACTATTCACACAGAAAGAACCTGGGTGAACCATAAGACAACTAGGTATCTAGAAAGTATTAGTAATGGATACTGTAAATCTATAGATTTACTACTGGTCTAACACCACAGTTGACAATTAAGAAGTTATGTTGAAGCAAACAGTGCCTCATTAAGTGGCTTTCTCAGTTACGACTTTTGAAGATCTGATGTTTAAGAAGAAAACAAAAGTTATCCCAAATATATGCCTTATTATGTACTTTGATTTTACACAAGGGTAATAGTTTTGAGAAGAAAAGGATCACGTTGCGGCTAGAGGAATTTTTGAGCAGGAATTGCATAAAATTGGCTATCGGGGGCCAGCAAGACCTACATTTGTAAACATAAGAGAATACTATTAAAAATTGCTTTTCCAGTGGTATCTGACACCTCACAGTTTGAGTAATATATATATCTGGCATGAAGGTTTGGATGCATGAATCCTCAAATGCAGATATAGGTGGCAACCATTTTGCACTATTGACACATGATTGCCAATGCGTGGGTCCCTTTGGACCTGGGAGAAGGTGGAACAGGGTGGTGGTGGAATGCAATGGGCTTGTGTATGTTCCGCTGATTCACAAGGGGGTCAGGAACGGAACCACTGCACAAAATGGTCACTACCTGTATGGTAGTCTTGTCCTTTAATAATGAAATATGGGGAATAAGTTACAATATTAATCAAACTAGTAATGCATTATGTTATAGTTTTGGATCCTTTAACAAATCTGTTGGGCTGCTTAGATGACCAAATTAAACATAAAATATTGATATGGAACCTAATAGGTGCTGCCATTATGTTAATAGTCCAAAAACAGAAGAACAAACTGAACAAGCTATTGCCTACAATTAAAATAATGGCTAGTTGAACTTTGGAAAGTGATGGAAATGCATAAACCTACAGAATGATGGAAGACAAAGGAAGGAAACTTTTTTGAAGTACCATATTTACTCAAGTCTAATGTGCCATCGAATCTAATGCACACCTCAGTTTTCAGAACCTTGAAACCAAAAAAGGTATTTGCTGGCGAATGTAACCGTCCCATTGAATCTAATGTGCACCTTAATTTTCGCAATGTAATTTGGCCAAAAAGGTGAGCATTAGCTTTGAGAAAATATGGTAAATGGCTCTCAGTGATTGAATATATGAAAGATATGAATATGAGATATGGATATTATATAATTTTTCCGTATGGTAATAGCATATGGTCAGAACTGTATTTCTTGTTTATGGACACAGCAAAATTTTGTATTAAAATTGTGATGTTTAAATCTGTGGTACAGATACATTCTGAATACAGCCATATCCACATCTCAGATGGGGTACCCTAGTGTTATCACACTTTCTAGTGTTCTTATTTATGTGTGCACTTGAACTTGCAAGTTATGCATGTATCCTTGGAAACAGGGTTTTTGGCAATCTTTAATCAGAGTATGGCTGCATGCCACAGGGGTTATTACATTATGTTAATGCCCATTCACACTTGCTTGGGGCATCAGTAAATTTACAAGATAAATGTGGATAAAATGGTGTTCATGCAAAATGGCAGACAGTTAAATAGTTTTGCAACTTGAAGTGCTAATTGCAATGGTATGGAATGATAAAATGGTTACAAAATAATACAGGCTATCCAACAAAATGATAAATCATTCAGTAATGCTCACAGATCACCCAGATCCACACTTCTTGTGCCAATAGTTTAAAATTGCTATTTAGGAAATAGAAATGGATGGAGGGTAGAGAGCTGTCACAAATGGCAAATGGGAGGATACTAGAGAACTGTCAGGGCTGCAGTGTGAGTCTAGATGTGCCAAGGGGGTGCTCAAATGCTAATTCCTAGGCTTTGGACAACGTAAGAATAGCCAGACAGTGCTATTTAGGAAATGAGGCAAAAGAAAGGAGGAGTAAAACACAACTAGTTAACATGTCCTGAGAAAGAGAGAGAATAGTTTCTCTTGGGTTTCACTGTGACCTGTTTGTGTGATGTCACAGCTGTAGACTGAGGCTTTAGCAGGAGTTAAGTGTGAAGCCTTTTGGTTGGTGCGGTGGGTTCACTCCAAAACAGGTAGTTTGCAAGTTTACTGTCTTTTCTAAGGGACCCAGGTCCAAGCATTGATGGGTTGGTCAAAGATAGCTCAAGGATGACATTAGAAGGCTTGCCTAAGTCCGCTCACCATCCTAAGGTGGTTCCAAAAAAAGAGAAAAAGTACTTCCCTTAAGGGTGATCACAAAGCACCTACTACAAGAACACCGGAATAATTTGAAGGAAAATTTAAAAGTATAGTAGTAAGGAAAAGGGGAAGGGAGGCAAGGGTAAAGGATCTAGCTAAGTTGGAAAGGTCTGCTCCTGTAATAATAGAATTGAGTTGGCTTGCAGAAGAAAGAAGAGTGGAGCATGGAACAATCTTGTGGGAGAAAGACTGAACAGTGTCAGGGTCTGAGGGATGTGTAGTTACAGGAAAGAGAATTCTGATAGGTGTTGGCCATTGTCACAAATGATGATTGTGGGGACCAAAAAATGATCAATTTCTGGAGAGAGATGCTTTCTTGGAAAAAAAGGCTTTTATTCTCACCAGGGTTAATTAATGGTCAAATAGAGGGATATACTTGCATTAGAAAGGACAGAGATTCTGAAGACCAATTTAGTTTCTGTATTTTCACTAACGTCTTTTAGCTTTAAGGAGGTCATTTAGCTTAAGCCAGTATTGCTTCCTGAATTTTTCTGCAGTGGCACTGCAGTCATTGTGCAGAGCAAAGCCAAAGTTCAGGTGCACGTGAAGAGTTCCAACTGAGCTAAGTTTTTAGGTAATACTAGCTCTGGAAAAGGTATGGAAAAAGTCTACTGAAATTACCAAAGGTCATATTATGTTCCTAGTAAGGAAATAGAAATTGTGGTTGCTTAGTTGAGGGAAAAAGTGAAGTGGTTTCATGCGAACAATTATGTTATCAGTTATCTTCTCTCAATGCTAGCTAGCACTTTGGGCTATTCAATAAAACTGTTTGGCAATATGTGGAAATATTGGGGGATGATATAAGAATTTGATTTGATATTTTTAAGCAAAGTGGTTTATGTGAGTTATGTTTTATGTTTGATATGAAAAATGATAAATACAATATTTAAAAATTAAATAATACAACTGATTGGCAAGTTTTCAAGGCAAACAAGAAGTCCATTTTCATGAAGTGCATAATGAAGTTAGGGAATTGACAAGTACAGTGGTACCTTGGTTTTCAAACGTCTCTGTTGACGAACATTTTGATTTTCAAACACCGTAAACCCAGGAGTAAATGCTTTGGTTTTTGAACACTCCTTAGAAGTTGAACATTCCATGCAGCTTCCGTATTGAGGCTTCTGTATTGAGTTTTGGTTTTCAAACGTTTCAGAACTCGAACGGTCTTCCGGAACGGATTACGTTTGAAAACAGAGGTACCAGTGTATAACCATGTGGTGATGACTTCTTGTACGAAGGATGAAGCAAATACACATTATATAGATATTTCAACAGTTGTTGGTCTTGATAGCTAGGAATAGAACCTCCATGTTCAGAGGCAATATACTACTAAGTACCAGAGCCTGGGGGCAAATCTTGAATGGGCATCAACATAATTTCTTGCAAATGAGCTTTTTGGAATCACTGTTAGCCAGATGTTGAAAACTGAAGAACTGACTATCATTTAGCAAGGCAGTTGACTGTTTTTAGTAAGATTGATCAATTCTTAAATACTTTTTAAAATGTCATGGGTATTGATACAAGGTCTTGAATATCTAATTAATGAATAATGAAAACTAAATTTTGCCAAACACTGCAGGGTGGGTCTGTGTTATGTTATAGTAGAGCACTTGTTGACCTGCAGTCTGGACTGTAGCTTAGCTATAAACTGCAACTCTTTGGAGTATCGCAACTGACAATGGATGGGAATTGGTGTAAGTATAACGTGTACAGTTACCTTGCTCAAAGCATTAGCAAGATGAAATAACCTGCTATACTTAAAAAGCGAAAGTACTGACTGAGAAGAGTGTTTACATTTTAGTCTGTCTTCCTGTGTTGTGTGCAAATTAAGTTCCTGTTGTAAATAAAATAAAGGAGGGAGGACACTGTACCTGTAGGATCATAATTCACTTCCTGAGCCACTGTGTTGAAAAAAAAAAAGAAGAGTCACAGTAGTTATATAGGTGGGCACATTTTGCAAGAACATAAAAAGACTTGAAGATTATGGAATCTATAGAAAATCTATATTGTTTTGGCCCCAGAATGAAGCCTAGTTCATGCAGACAGAAGAACTTCCTAATTTGGGGGCAGATAATGAGGTATGTACATTGGAAGTGATGCAAGTGAATAATGCAAGGAAGCAAGTTAACCTGCAATGTTCCTGACATGGTTAGCCATAGTATAGCAGTTGTTCAACATGCCTGCTAGATTAGGAAATCTGAAACTTTGGCTTGGATAAAATGAATTGTGGTGCTATGAGCTGATGACTGCTTCAAGTACCATTTTAAAACACAAGTAGGGTAATGCAATTTGAGTTCTAGAGAGAACTGTACGGAGCAGTAGAATTTGATGCCCTGTCTCTCTGCTGTCATATTGGAGTGCTACAATAGTCTTGATGCAGTAGCAGTGTAGAGGAGAAATGTGTTTTGGAACAATGGCTTGTGAAAAGAATGTACTAGTTAATGAATATAGTGCTGATCCACAGAAAGTAAACTGAGATCATGAACTGTATTAAATATTTCATGATATGGGAACAGAAGGGCAATTTAACCAAACAAAATTTTAAAATATAAGAATGTGTAGATTACAGAGAGTTCAATGATGAGACCTATTGATTGCTTTAATCTTTTATCAAACCACAATTAGAAGTTAGTTTACTAATCAGGATCGTAAAGCATCATAGAATCATAGACTTGTCAAGTTTGAAGGGACCACTAGGGTCATCTAGTCTAACCACGAATCTTCTGCCCAACCTACAGCTTTGCGAATAAGAGTTTCATGTTCTGCTGATTGAGCTAGCCTGGCTGACCATTAAACCACTATTCCCTTTTGGGGCATTACAGCTAACTATATTTTAATTAAACCAGTATGTACGTATGGTGTGTGCGTGCGTGCAAGGAGTGAGAAATATTGCTCATTCCCAGCTACGACGCTGTTGTATAGCAAGTTCGTAGTTGAGCATCTAAATTATGCCTGTGTATACCAAATCTTTTGATCATGCCGCTTAGAAATACAGTAATTGACATAACATTTGGCATCCTGATAATTTCTGTGTAACTGTTCACGTTTATAAGATTTTCCTGCCTTTTAACTGCGTTTGGTTGCTGCATCAGCCACACAAGCACATGGTTTTGGGGCAGGAGATAAGTACATGTTGCTGTAGATGAGGTGAATAGAAGATAGCCCGGGTGGGGGAGAGCTCTTGCAGAAAGGTAGGTAGAGCTGTTTACGTTATCTTTTGTCATGGAAGTTTTTGATTTTCAAACTGTTCAGTCCCACAACACCTGTACTTCTTTTCTTGGTAGTTCTATACATGCTTTTTTTTTTTTGGTTTGCATTACAGGGTTTTTAAAAAAGAAGTAGGAAACTGCAGTTTCATCAATTTAGGGCATTATACTTGTTAAATTCTGTTATATATGTGTGTGCTTGTGTGTATGAGAGAGAGAGAGAGGGAGATGGGTAGATGTTTTCTTTATCGTAAACCCCCCTGTGATCCTCAGATGAAGGGTGGTATAGATATTCAACAAATAAATGTGCTGTAAAAGCACTACAGAATACAGTGGTACCTCTGGTTACGTACTTAATTAGTTCTGGAGATCCGTTCTTAACCTGAAACTGAAGCACCACTTTAGCTAATGGGGCCTCCTGCTGCTGCCGTGCCGCCGGAGCACGATTTCTGTTCTCATCCTGAAGCAAAGTTCTAAACCCGAGGTACTATTTCTGGGTCAGCGGAGTCTGTAACCTGAAGCGTATGTAACCCGAGGTACCACTGTACTCAAAATCCAGGAATCCAAATGGCTAGATTGGTATACTTTGTCTGATACTCTTCCTGGTAAAGATGGATCATAAAATCATGCTGATAGCAGTTAACCAGAAATAGCTGGAACTTTTGCCCTTTGGACCTTCTGTCTTTCACATTGTTCGTTCATTCTTTGACTAATCCTTAGCTTCCAAAGTTCGCACAATTGGAGTGGGTGGAGTGGGGGAAGAGGAAAAAGGAATGGTGGCATTCAAAACAGTGCAATAGTAAATTACTGCAGTTGCATGCTACTGATAGCCAGTGAATATAGTGTGTTGAAGAGGGAAATGTGGTACAGATTAAATGAATATTGTGATTTTGGCTATCACAGATTCATTCCTTGGTTGAATTAAAAGTAAAATTGCTATCCTTTGAAATGCCTTGTGAAAAGGACAATTTCTTGACTTTCTTCTCCCTGGTTTAAGAACAGTTTCCTGATTTATTTGAATACTATGCTGTACACCAGTCTTTCCCAACCTGGTGCTCTCCAGATGTTCTGGACTACAATTCCCATTATCCCTGAACAGTGGCCATGCTGTCTGGAGTTGATGGTTGCTGAGAGTCCCAACAGCACCTGGAAGACTGCTGTATACTTTCTCTCCTTGCAGCAGTGCAGGCACACACCCAAAGTCTAAACAAGAGGCATATGCAGCAATATCCTGATGCCTGTAGCAACTAGGAGCAAATTTGGGAACTTCAGGGGTCGGAAGGCACAAAGTTACAGCCCTCAGTCTCCTACAGATCAGCCTAGCCTTTGCTTACTGTAACATAAGTTGAGATGTGTTTCTAGATAATTTTAGAGATAATAAAAGTCTGTTCGTGAAGGTTACCTCCCCTTTAAGTTCACTGTGGCACTAAGTTTAAAATACTCCTTTCCTTTTTAAACCAGTAGTTGCTGTGCAAAGAATATGAACAATGATGGCTTGAAAACGTTGCCCATGTTGAACCTGCTTATATCTATTTAATTGTTTACTTTAGAGGAGGTGATATGTTTAAGAGCAAACAATTCTGATGTAGGGAAAGATTGCAGTGTTTGAAACTTCATAATTTAGAGAAAATGTGAGTAACGGGGGATACCCTCAACCTCGGCCTTCCAGATGTTTTGAGACTACAATTCCCATCATCCCTGACCACTGGTCCTGCTAGCTAGGGATCATGGGAGCTGTAGGCCAGAAACATCTGAAGGGCTGAGGTTGAGGAAGCCTGTGATAGAAGGATATAAAAGTCAGTATGGCTCTGAATAGTAGTTGCTGGGAATCACAGATGGGGAGACACTATTCAGCTTGTGTCCTATTTGAGAGCTTCCCGTAGGCATCTGGTTAGCCACTGAGAACAGATCAGATTGGCCTGATCCGGAAGAACTCTTATTACATTCTTACTCTTGAACAACGTGTGCTTGTTCAGAATTTTTTGTCTATTTATACATGGACTGTAATAAGTGAGTATACATTTTTTTCAAACTTAGACTGTCACTTTGGCAAAGGTGTGACTTGCATTTGGATTCAGCCGTTGTAGAGGCTAAATTGTAGACAATGATGCTGAAAAAAACTTGCATTCTTACCAAATGGAAATGTGCAATTCACAAAACCAATAAACTTTCAGGGCTTTCTTCTCTCTCATTTGAAGTAAATCCCATGTGTCTAATATAAATCCACAATGTGTTCATCTATTCCAAGCTAGGTTATGATTCCATAATGTTCAACTCTGCAAGACAATCTGATGAAAAAAGGGAACCCTAACTATCAAAAGCTTCTATTGTGCATAGGAGCTTATTGCACAAGCATTTAAACCTCCTCTCAGTATATGCCACGTGCATTCTCTTCTGTGTTTTACTGCTAAACTGCAATGGCTGCCTGAGCAACCCCCTTGCAAAGGTGTGTTTATGCCAAGTAGGAAAACCAGCTTCTTTAGTTCCAGTATTTGCACTTGATTCTAGTTGTTGCCGGAATATATTCAATACTTTCATTGCAGTGCATTTCTTCAGTAAAGCCATGTCTACCACCAGGAGACTTCCTGGCAGGTGGGGAGCAGGTGGATACAAGACAAGCTCTGTACGGGTCTGCTTTCTGGTACTTACAGTTTGCTTGCTTAGTTTTCTGGGATGCAACATTTACCTGCCTTAAATAATGCTTTCAGTTGCATCGTGAGCAACGTTCATTTCACAACTACTATACTGCAACTTGTAGTGATGACTCCCAAGTCTCCAAAACCACACAGGAACAGCATTTGCCCATAGCCCCATACTGCAAGAAAACTTCCGACCAAATCAGCTGTGTTCACTGAAGAACTTTATGCAATCAGGTCTTAAATTGCACATTTCCTGAACTTGGGGTGGTGGTGGGAATTGTTGTTTTAGCGAAGGGTTGGTGAACCTTTTTCAACATCAGGACTGAATTCTTTTGTGGGGAATTTTCTGGCAGCCACCATGGCAGTGTTGGTTATGGCGAGAAGCAAAAGTCAGCCAATCAGTGGATGTGCTCTTGACCTTTGTACAGAAGACTGCATTCTAGCCACGCTAGCAGGTGTTTTCCACCAACCCACACAAACATTGCTCACTTTAGACAAGCCGGAGGCATTATTACAGTTCAGAGGCACATCCCTGACAGGAGAAAAACACTTGAGGACAGAGTGGAGCCAGAGGTGTTTGGAAGGTGGCCTGGGCAGGGGCATGGCTTACAGAGAGGCCTGGATAGCCACATTTGGCCCCTAGACCCGAGGTTCTCTAATCCTAGTTTACACCTTGGATTAATTTGGGTTCAGGTCATAGCTATTGCTTTGGTGTCCATGTACACTTTCAGGATGGTTGAAAAACAGTGTCCCTAGAAACATACCTGGTGCCCTTTTTTTTACTTTGAGTAATTGTAGCAAATCTCAACACATCAATATATAAAGGCTTGGAACTTAACTTTCAAGCAGTTTGTAGACCTAAAACAATTGACTTGTAAACTGAGCTCTGCTGCAGTGTACATTTCCCTAATGGGTATTGGTGTCTAGTGGGCAGGATTTTCTTGTCATCCTCCTAGATCAGCTTTTCAAACATAACCAGAGCAACAAAGACCAAAAAGACCATTAGATCTTAACAGCCCCCAGTCAGTTCTCCTGAACTTGATAAAAAGTATTTGAAGCTAAAAATTGTTTTGTGCTTGTCAGACAATTGATCCAATTACTTAAAGTTCTGGGGAAATGCTTTTTAACTGAGGCGCCGGCAGGCTGTGCAGTGATTAGCATATAATATAACTAGAAAAATAAATTGCTGTCTTCGAAACTTTTAAGCATTCTGTTTGTCATGTAAGTTTTTACGGCTAAACAATGTGCTAAGCATACTTGCACTCATTCTTAGAGGTTTTTGGTATGGATAGGGAAGATCAAGTGCCTGTAAGCTTTGCCTTGTTTTATGGAAATTGGCCAATGTAAGCAAGCAATAGAAGAAACTAACAAGGATGTGCATAGACCACAAAATTTGGTTTAAACTCCAGTATGACACTTTCACTATTGGGAAATGAAAAAACAGTGATACTTCTTCACTTTTCTGCAAAAACTTGCAGGCATAGTAAGTCCTATATTCTACATAAAATCTGCTAAATTACAAGCCACTTAGTCTGCGTGGAATCTTTTTTGCTGGTCACCTTTAAAGGTTAACTTTTATTTATGGGTAGAATTGGAAAGAATTTGGTGGCAAAGGTCACTCCTTCTAAGGGGATGAATCCTGCCAAACCTCAGAAGTGATAGCTTCGGTGGTTTTCCTGCAAGACTGCCATTACAGTTTAGGAGTGTCTAAAAATGGAATCACTTACTCTCCTCTAGTACTTTGTGGGTAATAGGTCTGAAAACTGCCGACATGAAAGAGATGTCCCTGGGTAAGAAATCTGCCAAATTGCAGACAAGTATGTCATGAGGCTTTTCCACTAGGCATCTTTTTAAAGTTGATTTTTCAGTGGGGAGAACTAAAAGAGATTTGCTTAAACCATGGTTTAAGGAGCCATTTGGCGCCTAACATATATCTTGAGTTTTTAACACTGATTACAAACCTGGCAAAGGCTGTTACACATAAATGTCTGTTTCATGCATAATGTTAAAAAGTAACAGTTGGCTTTAACCATGGTTTACCGAGCTGGCTCACATATGTTGATCCAAATTGTGGTTTGTTTGCCTCATTTTCGTGTCACTTCTGTGAATACCCTTCAAATGAAAATGCTGACACACACACACACACACACACACACACACACACCTCAACAACTCTGATCAATGCTCCTCAAAAAAAGTCTAACAACTTTGCAACTTTGGTCAATACAGTGGGCAGATCACTGCCAGTTTTTTTTTAGTGGGAATAGATCGCAGTCTCTTGGAAGTTGGACATCCCTGCTCTAAACTAATTAAGTTTGTTGCTTATATAAGGTAGACAGCATAATTTTGAATACTAAACTATTGCTTGCTGGGGAAATCTGGTTTGGTGAATTGGAAAGGCTTGCAGTGTGTGGTGTAATTTAATTGCTGGATTAGAGGTGTTTGTGAAGGATGAGACAATTTTGTTTCTGGAAATGCAGAAGATCAGGACAGCAGTTCTCCTGAATGTAAAAAAAAATATGCTAGTATCATGCTTTCTTGACAAAAGAACAAGTCAGTAATACAGTAGTGTTTCAGTGTCAAGACTGATGTGAATAAAAATGAGATCCCTTTTCTAATTGGATTTCATATACTATATCTGGTCACCAATGTGCTTGAACCTCAGAAGATGATACCCAGAGAAAAGTCTCTGATGAGCCCGGTGACTAGGCAAATTGGTATGGGTGAAGGTGGTCACAGTTGAGCCAAACATTACTTGAAAATGTCTTCTGTTTGAGGGGAATTATCCTAATTACAAAATCTCACACTTTTAAGACATTAATCCTATTCTGTTTTGCACTTTTTAGCCTGTAGCTTAGCATGAGCGAATGAGTCATTCTCCATTTGAAATTTAATTGCTTCTTGAGATATTTTTACAAATGAGTTAAAATAGCCATGTTGACATGTGAGTAGGATTATTCTTGAAGTCAGGCAAGCTCATATTTTTGTATTACCTGCTAAATTAGCTGGTAAATGTCAATACTGAAAATAACTGATATGGTTTTGGATCTGATTTTCAGCTGGATTGTAGCTATGTAACTCAGAGCAAGCACGGTCCTGATAACATTGACCTGTGTCATTAATTATTGTATGTTTCATGATGGAGAGGTGTCCTGATAGAATAGCAGTGAAATAATGGAGACGAAAGGGGGGGTATGTCTGCTGCAGAAGACACAAGCTGTCTATTAAAGCATAGTGGAACCTCTGTGACAAAACACCCAGTGAAGCAGAAAACTGACCCACTTAACTGTTGGCATAGAACTTTGAATTTGTTAAGTGCTGGCTTGATTCTATGATACTTGAGGTTTGGAAATAAGTCTTAATAGTTTTAAGTTTTAAGTGAACTTTGAAAACTGTGTGCTTGCAACAGAACACTTGAAAAGTAGTTTATACAGGCTGACACGCAAAAATTTGAGGTTAGGTATTTAAATTTAAAAAATTAAGATTCCATCTATTTGGATGTAACTGGGCTAATTTTGCCCTCTACCTCAGTTTTATAATTTATACATCAGATGGTGTGCATGCATGACTACCACAGCCCTATGCCTATCCTTTGGAATCCTTTGAAAGTGGGGGCAGATTCAAAGTGGGTGAAGACATTTCTTTACTACTTGCTAACTTGAGAGGAAGGGAGGGGGAAGTAGGAGGAGCCACTGTCACACACACCTACATCCTTATCTTGGGGGGCTGCTATAGCACCTAGTTCCTTAAAAGCAACCAAGACTGATTTTCTGGGAGCAGATTAGAGTCTTTATCAAATCTCAGCTGTCTGATTGAGAAAAGGAAATGCTCTAAGCAAGACAAGTATACACAAGAGAGAGTTACCTAAAGGAAACTTGCCTTGGCTATATTCCCTGACAAGCAGGCAGGATTGGAGTTCTGGTGTTGAGTGGCGTGGAACCTGCTTCATGGCAGGCTTGAATCTATGGAGTGCCCCCAATTTCCTAGAAGTCTAGGAGGAGAAAAGGGATCTGAGTATGAGACTTGCTGAATTTCTCAGTCATTATTACAGAGGTGATTATAGCTGACAGCCTCATTTTCACTGCAAGCTACTTGTGGTAAGAATATATTTCCCCTTTCCAATCTGTGAAGCAAATTTTACATGTAATTGTTAGTTGTGCTCAGGGTTCTGTGGTAGTTAATGAGTGATCAGAAGAGTTAAATGCCATCTTGGGGAAGTCTCTCAGTGGTCAGGAAATGACAACATAGAATTCATTTGTTTTAAAATCTTAAATATTTATCTAGAGTAGGGCTTTCAAAATTTCTTGGCAAGGTCTCATTCCAGATATTCAGGCTTTGTGCGAGCTTCTTTTCATCTCCAAAACCCAATAGCTTCCATTCTACCTTGAACTTTAGTAGGGAAAATCTGTTCTGGAGTTTCTGCATGCAGAGGCATTGCATAAATACAAAGAAACATATCAAAACAAAAATAGCATGCAAGTAAGTAACCTTTGATGGCATACAGTGTAACAGAATTGTATATACTCACTTTGTAATGCAACTTTTAGCAACATTTTATTGGTGTAATCACTTGTACCCTATATATCCTATAGATCTTATTTATGCACCAAACAAAATCAAATTTGTTTTCCCAGGCTTTTAATAATTGCAGAGTAAGCTCCCCCCCGCCCAAAAAAAACCCAACTTGTATAACTTGTATCAAACTGCTCTATTTAAATTGTCTGCTGCAACATTACTTTACTTGATCACGTTATAATATTTTTGTTTTGTACTACTCTGCACAGGGAATATAAAATTACATTGAAGATGCAGGATGTAAAATTATGTAAATATGACTTCCTACACCACTAATTTTCTTGGTGTAATTTATTGCAGAGGTAGCCAACATAGCACCCATTTACCCCAGCATAGTTAATGGTCTGAGATGATGGGAGCTTTAGTCCAACATTTATAGGGGGGCATCTCTTGTCTGATCCTGGTGTATTTGGTAATGCTAGGCATAAAGACAACAGAAGGTTTATGAAAGAATCATATGTGAATGTATAAACTTCTAGGGAGCAGTCCAAACCCAAGACCCACTGTGTTGAGCAGACTTTGAAATAGGCAGATCTCTGGCTCAAGTGGTGCTCAGCTGTTTGAAGCCCTGATTATGGCTCATCTAGAGAGATGCCAACATAAGCCCTCCATCCTGATTCAACTGTGGCTCAACTGGCTGAGCCAAAGTTGGCTGAGCCCAAGGTTGAGGTGGGGGTAAGCCCCCCCCCCCGGTAAAGGAATCTTCAGGGCTGGGGGCAGGGCAGGGGAGGCTTACATCACTCCAAATGCTATTTACCTCAGTCACATGACTTAGCAATCCAGAAGCGGGTGGTGTATGTCAAACTGTATTTTAAAAGCTGTTTCCCCTCTGCCAGATTTGGGCTGACTAATCTAGCAGAATGGAGTTTGGACTTAGGGTAAATTACACTGGCATGATGCTGGCTCCTTGTAGCTTGGATTGCTGTTAGTTCTGGAATAAAACATTTTAACTTGGGCACAATATCTGGGAAAGTGTAATAGCAAGTTGGCAGTAGCTATCATTGCTAAGAGGACTTGTATAACAAAAGCTATCAGTAATGAAACATACCAAATTGATAGTTCTTGCTGGATTTAATAGTCTCATCAAGTGATGAGTGAATTTGTCCCAGTCAGGCTCAAAAATTGAACAGCCTTGGAAAATAGCTTGTTTTTCAATCTCTGCCTGGTTCTCATTTCAGATTATCAACCCCACCCCCACCCCGTGATATCACCAGAAAATGATCAGGTCCAGTCACTCTTCCACAAGAGTCCAAATGTTGGGGTGTTGCAAAATGTAGTTACTGACATGAGTCAGTAGTGTGGGAAAAGTCTACTTTTCTCCATTCCTTTCAGCTCTTTAGCAGCATGCCAGACGTTTGTGGAGAGAGCTGGGAGAGTAGTCTTGCTTCACCGCTGGAGCAACAAAAATGTAAGAGAGAGCTTAGAACCAGTGAAGGGTGGTTGAGTTGGAGGCAGGGACAAAGGGAGGACTTAGGTTCCTCTCCAGCTTAGATTTTAGACCAGAATGATTGCTTTGTACTGAGGCTAGCAATTAAGCTTTTCTTGGGCTTATATCCCAAACACTGTTTGGATAAGTCTGATAAATCAAAAGTCTCACCCTAAAGTGCAGTTGCTTGGGCTAACCATTTGTCAGTTAACCCTGTTGGAAGAGAATACTGCAGTGAGTTAATTTGGTGGAAATAGTAAAGCAGCCCATTTTAAATCAAGATTTACCGTAAATCCTGCATTCCATGTGTCCTCTTACAATCCACTTTCTCATTATACCATTATACACTTTTATTGTTGAGTAGTATGTTTTACTACATTTCTGTATGAACCTGTACAAAGACATTATAAAGTGTTTCGTTTTGCTGACTCCAAGCTAATACTAGTTTAACTTCTGAGGGCATGCTTGTTTCATAACCATTCTTTTCTGAAATGTTTGTCCTACGAGCAGAGACTTTATGATCTTTCTGATCTCTTCATTAAAAAAGGGATATAGTGTCAATACTGTGTTGTCAGGGGCAGTTCCTGAATACTTTTATAATGCCTTATCTGTTATTGAGCAGTATGTGGCTGCTAATATTCAGTAGAAATATATATTAATTACTTGTTTCACCGCAATCATGCATAGTTTTGACAGACATTGCAGTACAAATAATTTTTAAAGTGGGTGGCTTCCCAGTATCCCAGGAGATACATGGGAGGGAGATACTCCTAATATACTGAGACAGATAATTTAGAGCTTTAAAGGTCAAAGAAACATCTTGAATGGCATCTGGAAGCCAGCAACATTGCAGTTGCTGCAGGTACTGTTATGTGACCCTGCTATCCTGTATCAGGCAGGAGGCAAGTTATTGCATTTTGTCCAAGCGTAAATTTTCTAAATGCTTTAAGGCAATCAGATGCATGTTGTGTAAAGATTCCTTTTGTCTAGATATAGCAGACTGAATGCAAATAGTAAAAGACTTGTGTTGGCTATATCTGTCACTCATTTAACTAATATCAGAGGCGTAGCCAAAATCTCTCCTGGACTGCAAGCATAATTGACAAATGACAGCAGAATAATCAAATACACCTCACTGTCCCCTGCAATATAAGGGCCTGGTGACTTCTGTTTCAGTGTATCTGAAGGCGTGTGCATGCACACTAAAGCTTATACCAAGAACAAACTTGGTTGGTCTCTAAGATGCTACTGGATAATTTTTTTAGATATGTCTCCTGCAATCTGAGGACTAAAATGAATTTTATCTGTATTCAGCTTTAGCCAAAGTACAGCTATCAGACCTGAGATAAGAACTAAAACTGACACTCGTAGATTTGATAAAAATGGAATTGTCTGATTGACAGGGTGATGATGATAACCCCATAACAGACCTATGAATCATGCCATTTAGCAATTTCATAGAGATGTTCAAAGGGGCAAGGTAGATTTTTGGAGCACTCCTCTTATCAGCTTCTAGGAAGCTGATTCATTTGCCCATCCCCACACCAAAAACAACTTGCAAAACAAATAACAACCTAAGATGGAGCCAGTTATACCTGCTAAAACCGGCAGATTAATCAGTAGAACTGACTATTCCTAGTATCCAAGGTTGCTGGGGAGAGGTTTAATACAGTGAAGTTTTTCCTCCTGTTAATATTTTAGGTGTACTGTATATTGGTCAGGTTACCTGAGTGTAATCTAGTGCAGCACATGTGTGGTCAGTTGTGCCTGCAAAATTGGGAAGCAGATCAGGGTTTGCTTGGCAGATGTGAAGTTCTGTGCCATCTCCAAGGAAGGGAGTCTTGGGATGTGCATCAAAACTCCTCCAAAATGATCATTCCGACTGACTTAAATGCCATGCCTAAGACCCCCTGTGTCACACTAGTCAAATGCCAGGCACAAGACCATTTGTCAGAACAGTCCAGAAGTCTGATAGGAATTGAGTGGTAAAAGGTAAAGGACCCCTGGACAGTTCAGTCAAACCTGACCATGGGATGTGACGCTAACCTTGTTTCAGGCTGAGGGAGCCAGTGTTTGTCCACAGACAGCTTTCTGCATTATGTGGTGGAGTGGCTGATGGCATAAAGATGCAAAGTTGACTGTATTCTGCAGGGACTGCCTATACATAAAGAATATCAACTGCCTTTGAAACATCACCGTGGTGCTGCACCAAGTACATAGCCAGAACCAATGGTCAATATATATAAGGTAGGCAACCTCCTACCATATGAGGTTATGAAGTTCTGCTGCTTTGTTCATTACTGATCTTGCATCAACAAGCTAGAAAAGGATTAGTTCCAACCTTTTGGCTGAAGGGATGATTGAAGTGTTTCTTAGTACACATGTCTGAGATGAGTGCTTTTTTTCTGAGGTACTCAAGGGTACACAGTACAGTGGTATCTCAGGTTACATACGGTTCAGGTTACATACGGTTCAGGTTACAGACTCCGCTAACCCAGAAATAGTGCTTCAGGTTAAGAACTTTGCTTCAGGATGTGAACAGAAATCGTGCTCCGGCGGTGCGGCAGCAGCAGGAGGTTCCATTAGCTAAAGTGGTGCTTCAGGTTAAGAACAGTTTCAGGTTAAGAACGGACCTCCGGAACGAATTAAGTACTAAACCTGAGGTACCACTGTACTGGCAAACACAAACCCAACCAGTGTTAACAGTGTGGCATTTACTGTAGCAACTTCATGGTGAGTAACAGCACCTCCCCCCCCTTTCTTTTTTTAAAAGCACAGTTTGAGATGCTTTTTACTACTAATACTCATGTGCCATTCACTTTTCCAATTGTGACCCTCTTGGTTTCCTTCTCATGCATGTTGTTGGCTAATTCCTGGTTCTGTTGAACTCCCTGAAGTGATTTCTGTACTTGAGTGGTAATCCTCACCCTTAAGGGCTTTAAGTCCCCTTGCTGCAAGAGAGATCTAAGAATAGAATGTTGGGCTCCACTTTTTAGGCTGTTTTACAGTAATGTGTTTTTATCCAAACATATCTAAGGTTCCTTCTAGCTGAGAAACCCAAGAGTTCAGTTGTTCTGGAACTGAACTTTATGGCATAGATACTAGCTGAGCATTTTCTAGGATCCTGACTTCTGCATTCAAAGCTCTTAAATAACTTTTAAAATCCCTGCAAGGAAGCTGGAGGGGCCAGCCAGATGGAGATGTCAGACACCAACCTGGCACCCAGAGATCTCTGCCTGGTCAGAGTTGGACACATGCCAGTCGCAAAGTGCGCCTGGCACCTGATTAATTTCAAACACTGATTTGAGGCAAGTAGCAATTGTTCAAAGAATCTTAAGTTGTCAAGTCCTCTGTCCAAGCTATACTCCATAGGTGGATCAGTTGCTAACGATTAAGGTAAAGGTAAAGGTACCCCTGCCCGTACGGGCCAGTCGTATCTGACTCTAGGGTTGTGCGCTTATCTCACTTAAGAGGCCGGGGGCCAGCGCTGTCCGGAGACACTTCCGGGTCACGTGGCCAGCGTGACAAAGCTGCTCTGGCGAGCCAGCACCAGCGCACCGCACAGAAACGCCGTTTACCTTCCCGCTATAAAGTACCTATTTATCTACTTGCACTTAGGGGTGCTTTCGAACTGCTAGGTGGGCAGGAGCTGGGACCGAACTACGGGAGCTCACCCCGCCATGGGGATTCGAACCGCCAACCAACCGCAAGTCCTAGGCGCTGAGGTTTTACCCACAGCACCACCCGCGTCCCTCTTGCTAACGATTACCAGTCCACAAAAGAACTTTGTACTTACTTACCAAGCTGCCTGCAGCAGATAAAAACATGTATTCAAAGGACAGATAAAACTTTACACCAACCACACACACTGCTTCAGATCCGTTTCTCCTGGATAAATATGATTGGCCTTTGTACCTTGAATATATAAAGATAAAACACTTGTTCTAATGGAATGATTTGATTTTACCACTTCTGTTTTTAAAACTGATGAATCTCTCACGTACAACTTTTTTTCTCTTGCTTTTACTTATAAAAAATCCACTGTGAGAAGCAGTATTCTAAAGCTCCAGTTCCAGTTTTATTCACTTGGGAAAGTTTGAAACTCACGTGGTGGTAATGAAATGCATTTTAAGATCTTTTTTGTGGCAGAGACTTTCATAGTAAAGTCATGGTTTAAGGGTCAGCATACACTTTAGAACACCCAGATACAATTTTTGAGTTTGTATCTGATTTTAAAGGTTAATGGAAACACATGGCAGACTAAAGAAATCAAAGCCACAATTCATGCTAAAAATAGTTAGCTAAGCTGAAATAGACCTTAAACCTGCAGTTTTGTATATGTCGCACCCATTTCATTTGGAACAGACGCTCTTACTATATGCCTGGACGGACTGTGTACTGTGAATAATGCTCTTTTGCGCAGGGCTGTTTTTCATGCCATCTGAACATGGACTTGTGGTGTGTTTCCCGCCTAACAAATCACAAGCGATAGTCAGCGTTTGTTCTTGGCTTGCTGCTTGTTGCTTGATAGTGGGCTATAGGGAGCACAATCCACAGCTCCATACCATATGAGAACCTGCATATTCATTAGGTGAGCCCAGCATTCTTCTTGTGCTTGAGGACATTGGGCTTTTTGCTCTCCAGAAGCAAGTTCATAATGGCAGATTTATGCAATACTATTTTTCATTTCATAATGAAATGAAACGAACTCTAAGGATAAATACTTCTGCCCAGCTGCCTTCCATTTACCTTCTGTGGCTGACAGGAGGGGTTTGTGAGGGCAGAGTTTGAGTGGAACGGGTAGGAGAAGCTTGAAGTGTGTAGAGCTGATGGAAGAAGGTGCAATGGGAGTGGCTTGGTAGAGGGAGCAGGAATTGTACTATTCTGACTCCCTGGAGGCACCAGTTACCCCTGTCCAAACCCTTCTGTTGACTTTGGCTGTGCAATAAACCTGCAACTTACACACATTCAACTTCTGCACATTTAGCTTTACGCACTCAGAAATTGTAAAAAATTAAAAGGGGGCAGTTGTCTGGGGAACAAAGTTTTTGGCAATCCCGTCAGCTGTTGAACCTATTGTGCAATGGTAGGCAAACTAAGGCCCGGGGGCCAGATCTGGCCCAATCGCCTTCTAAATCCGGCCGGTGGACGGTCCTGGAATCAGCGTGTTTTTACATGAGTAGAATGTGTGCTTTTATTTAAAATGCATCTCTGGGTGATTTGTGGGGCCTGCCTTGTGTTTTTACATGAGTGGAATGTGTGCTTTTATTTAAAATGCATCTCTGGGTTATTTGTGGGGCATAGGAATTCGTTCGTTGTTGTTTTTTCAAAACATAGTCCGGCCCCCCACAAGGTCTGAGGGGCAGTGGACCAGACCCCTGCTTAAAAGGTTTGCTGTTGTGTTTTGGCTATACACAATTTTGGCTTTAGCATGCTCCCCAGAACGTAACCCTTGCGCAAGTTGCGGGCATGATCCTGTTAAAATGTTTCTGAGCAAAAGTTGCATGGTATGTTGATAACCTAAAGCAGAGGGAATGTCTAGTAACTAGTGGTAAAAGCAATTGAGTTCTTACATGTATTGTTCCTGTTAAGTTCTTAACAGCATGCAGCTGTTTGGCTTTGGCAAGCAGTAGAACTCAGGGTGTGGTTCTAAAATACACAGTCTTTAAGTTATTGGCACAACTACAGCTTTTTCTTCTTTAGAATTCAAAACTGAGCATGCCTTTATGTTTAAGTCTCTAAAACTTCAAAAATGTGTGCCATCAAACGGCAGCAATCAGCATTGACTCTTGGATCCTCTCAACCTGTAATGATAAGGAAGAATAGGGTTGTATTGTTACTACAGTTTTTTAAAAGAACTTTTATGCTATTATGTTTCTTACAGAAGATGCATAAAATGCTAAATAAAAGCGTGTGCCATAGAAGAGCTTTCTGTAAAACCTGGCAGACTGAAGAGTAACAGATTTTTATCATATATAGCTCGGGCCAAAAATGAATAGCTTTTTTAAAAAGCTACTTGATGTAAAGATGTGAAAGTTTTGCTACAACTTGTGGGTGGAAAGGGGATCAAGTTAGGCTTGTAAGTAAGCCTGAAAAAAACAAAGACAAAAAGCAATTAAAAGTTTTGTTTTCCTTTGTAAAATCTGGAGCTTGTAGCAAACCATCTGTTGCCCTGGAATAACCCCTTAATTCATTTAAACCATTTTTGTGTGCACATTCAAGAAGTGTCTCTGAGGCTGAAATAACTATAAAGGGGTTGGGGTGGAGAGGCTGGTGAAATAATGGAATTGGACTCCTCTCTGTGTGTCTTCTCTGAAGTTGTGAAGGATATAGTACAGCTGTAAGTTTCCTTAGACTAGGTTTAGTTGTCCATTCTTTCCTCCTGCCTGCTGAGAGTCACTGAGTCCAAGTTAAAAGTTTGATCTTTTTTGTAACTATTAAATCATATGTCCTGGGCTAGTCTGCCATTTTACTCCTTTCCTAATTATTTGGACAACGAATGGTAATCGGTTTTGAAAGTAGTTTGGCAGCACTAGTATTACTTGAAAGGAAGACCGATGTTCTGCTAGTGAAGGGGATGTGGTGTGCATTTTTAGAAGAGCAGATAAAGGAAAAGTTGTAGAATACTTAAGAGTAGTTATGATGAAAAGTAAATCAAAGTTGGTTGAAATCCATAATCTTTGGTTTCTGTTGCAGTACATAATGTTTTCTTGTTCTGGAGTTAAGGGAATAGTTTCAACATAATTTGAAGAAGCTGCTCTGGAGTTACATGAGATGTGTCTTAAATTGTTGCATTTTGCTGGATGGACTATGCAGATATGCATTTTTATTAAAGTGAGAGAGGAATAAGGTGAAAAGAGGCTGATGGTATTCCAGAGGAGGGAGTATTCTATCTAGCTGTTCACAAACTTAGCATCAGTACTCCTAAGTAACAGGAAAATTTCAGCTTCTTATAGTGAGAGAACTTGGAAAAATATATGTGCTGCTTCTATATTTCCTTTGTGATCTTGCTCTGATAGTTTCAGTTTTTACATGTCTAGTTGTGACTGAGAATTTAACTTGGTCAAGCTCTCAAATCCTATTCAACAAGATTGTGGTGGTAATAGATCAGCTGTTCTTGTGTTATGGAAGGATAGTTCACTGCACTTCAAACTCCAATAGTTCTCATCATTCATAGCCTTGACACCTCTATCTGAAAAGCCAGGTTGCAGAGATAGGTGAAATCCATTTTTATCAAATCCATTTGCTATAATCCTCCCGTTACCTGCCAGTTCACTTTTTTAAGCTTTAAAGCTTATTGATGAGCTCTCTGTGTCCCTGCTGTTGAAGGCTGTGACCGGTGGATATCCAAACTTCTCAGTTCAAATGTTAAATATTGCACAACTGTACTGTGTTGGTAATAACCTCAGATATTCTTACAAGGTCCTGGTTCTAACAGTGTCCTTTGTGCTGACACTGCCTCATTTATAGTTCTGTCCATGCAACACACATGAGTGGCAAGGGCATGTTGAATCCCACAGTTAAGAAGCTTCCTTTACCTTGTGATTCACTAACTGAGTAATTTTAACTGTGTGCAGGTGCAGAGTTAATTTTCCTCTTGGACTGGTGCAGCAGAGTAGCCTATATTGGATAGCTCTAAGGAAGGTGGACTGGTTTCAGATCCAGTGGATTCATAGCTGGCTCTGCTCATCCCCAAAATGCCAATGGAAGTTTCACAACAGCCTGCAATTTTGGGTGCAGCAGGGTCTTTTTGCAGCAGCAAAGGGAAACCTCTGTCAAATCCCAGCCCCTACCAGCACCACATAATTGCTCCTCCCATCCTCAGTAATAGTATATTTTGGCCACCAGGCATTTCATGCTGACTGCAGAAGTCATAATATATGCACTGTCTTCTGAAGCTGGGTGATGTACTGATTCAGGCCTGATGCACACATATCACTAAACCATGATTTGTTCAGCCACAGTGTTGCTTGTTTGGCTACTCCACCCCAGATGTTCAGCAAGATAAAAATCATGAAGAAAGAACCGCTGGACAACAAAATAAGCTTGGAAGAAACAAGCAGTGCCTTGTCTGATTGTCTGTTAGATGACTTGTGATTTGAACATGCCACAGTTGAAACAAACCATGGTTTAGCATTCTGTGCAGACGCAGCCATTGTGGGTGGAGAGAAACCATTTAGTATATGCTAGGCAGTTCTGTATTTGCAGAAGGGCAATGCCTATATCTTTGCTATGGAAGTTATTTGGGGTGTATCCATTCATCTCGGATAACAAGGCATGACACAACATGTGCCTACTGATAAATTAGAAGCCAGTGGAAAAACTGCCCGTTCATCTTCCTTCTCTGAAGGCTTCAGTCTGAGCAGTTCAGCAGCTATGTTAATAGCTTTCAATGAAACAGTCTGGTCTCTGAGCAACAAGCAGTCTTTCGGCAGCTTTGACCAGGTGCCATTTGATAAATTTGCTTCATAGTTTGTTCACCTTGGAATATACTTGAACTCAACAGATGAATTCATTATGCCTTGACATGTTTGACATATTCTGCTAAAATGTTAGGCTTGGGGGGGATTCTGTTTATTAAGTTGTTTACCAGCATGTTGTTAAAACAGATAGGTTCAAACATATGTGCTCTTAAGATACTCTTCATAACAATCACTTGTAATAGCTTGGCTTCTAGTAATAATAATAATAATAATAATAATAATTTATTATTTATACCCCGCCCATCTGGCTGGGCTTCCCCGGCCACTCTGGGCGGCTTCCAAAAGAATATTAAAATACTATAATACATCAAACATTAAAAGCTTCCCGAAACAGGGCTGCCTTCAGATGTCTTCTAAAAGCCTGGTAGTTGTTGTTCTCTTTGACATCTGGTGGGAGGGTGTTCCACAGGGAAGGCGCCACTACCGAGAAGGCCCTCTGCCTGGTTCCCTGTAACTTGGCTTCTCGCAGTGAGGGAACCGCCAGAAGGCCCTCAGTGCTGGACCTCAGTGTCCGGGTAGAACGATGGGGAGGAGACGCTCCTTCAGATATACTGGACCAAGGCCGTTTAGGGCTTTAAAGGTCAGCACCAACACTTTGAATTGTGCTCGGAAACGTACTGGGAGCCAATGTAGGTCTTTCAAGACCGGTGTTATGTGGTCTCTGCGGCCGCTCCCAGTCACCAGTCTAGCTGCCGCGTTCTGGATTAGTTGTAGTTTCCGGGTCACCTTCAAAGGTAGCCCCACGTAGAGCGCATTGCAGTAATCCAAGCGGGAGATAACCAGAGCATGCACCACTCTGGTGAGGCAGTCCGCAGGCAGATAGGGTCTCAGCCTGCGTACCAGATGGAGCTGGTAAACAGCTGCCCTGGACACAGATTTGACCTGTGCCTCCATGGACAGCTGTGAGTCCAAAATGACTCCCAGGCTGCGCACCTGGTCCTTCAGGGGCACAGTTACCCCATTCAGGACCAGGGAATCCTCCACACCTGCCCGCCTCCTGTCCCCCAAAAACAGTACTTCTGTCTTGTCAGGATTCAACCTCAATCTGTTAGCCGCCATCCAACCTCCAACCGCCTCCAGGCACTCACACAGGGCCTTCACTGCCTTCACTGGTTCTGATTTGAAAGAGAGGTAGAGCTGGGTATCATCTGCATACTGATGAACACCCAGCCCAAATCCCCTGATGATCTCTCCCAGCGGCTTCATGTAGATGTTGAAAAGCATGGGGAGAGGACAGAACCCTGAGGCACCCCACAAGTGAGGGCCCAGGGGTCTGAACACTCATCCCCCACCACCACTTTCTGAACACGGCCCAGGAGGAAGGAGCGGAACCACTGTATAACAGTGCCCCCAGCTCCCAGCCCCTCAAGACGGTCCAGAAGGATGTTATGGTCGATGGTATCAAACGCCGCTGAGAGATCCAGCAGAACTAGGAAACAGCTCTCACCTTTGTCCCTAGCCCGCCGGAGATCATCAACCAGTGCGACCAAGGCAGTTTCAGTCCCATGATGAGGCCTGAATCCCGACTGGAAGGGATCCAAATGGTCCGCTTCTTCCAGGCGTGCCTGGAGTTGTTCAGCAACCACTCGCTCAATCACCTTGCCCAAGAATGGAAGATTTGAGACTGGGCGATAGTTGGCTATCGTGGCCGCATCTAAAGATGGTTTTTAAGAAGCGGTTTAATAACCGCCTCTTTCAGCGGGTCTGGGAAAGCTCCCTCACGGAGGGAGCATTCACCACCCCACGAAGCCCATCGCCCAGTCCTTCCCGGCTAGCTTTTATAAGCCAGGATGGGCAAGGATCAAGGAGGCAAGTGGTTGGTTTCACTCGTCCAAGCAGCCTGTCCACATCCTCGGGGGTAACAGATTGGAATTGATCCCACACAACTTGACTAGACAGGACTCTAGCACTCTCCCGCCCCGGCCCTGCTCCCACGGTGGAGTCTACCTCTTCTCGAATCTGAGCGACTTTATCTGCAAAAAACTTTGCAAAGTCCATACATGATGCAATTGTTATAGTAACTGAGAGGGTATCCTATCATTTACTGTACAATTAATGATCATTTGCTGCCAATTATATTTTAGCTTTATTGGTTTGGATTGCAATGGCTGCAGAGCTATGGTGCTGAAAGCACTTTCAGGGGCCAGCCTGCATCTTTTAATAATAAGATAGGTTTTCACTTCTGGGGTTCAGACACTATCAAACTGTGTACCCAAGTTGCTTCCTGTGCTGTAAACTTCCTGTCATCAGATCATGAAAGGCACCTCAGGTAATAACTAGGAATTCATACGTGGGTGGATGTGTTTGCTTTGGCAAGCAGCCTTAGTAACACCAGCATACCCAGGATGCTGGCAGACTGCTTTCAATACTTGACATTGCTGGGATACTGAAGAGTAACTTACTGGCTTGCTAGAAGGTAAATGTACCTTCTGAAAAAGTCAGTGACAGGTTGTTTTGAAATTCATATTGGGTTTATGTTCACCTTAGTCCTTCAGTAATGTTACATAACCCAAAAGGGTTATCAATTGCATCCATAAATCTTTTGTTTTAAAAAATTAACATGGGCTGAATGGCTAGGTAAAGGTAAAGGGTAATAGCTATAAATGCATTCTAATATAAAGTAGCCGAAGTACTGAGGTAAATACTAATTTCCATAGATTGTCAAAATATAAATTTCATTAGCTATAATGTTTGTTGCTTAATTCATTAAGGAGTCTAGCAGGTCAGCTAGGAAGCTATTCACAGTGGTGACCTCTGTCAAGCTTCATATTTTGGTGTTATGTTGGTCCATGCTTTCTTTTGTGGAAAATAGTGACTTTGAATGTACAGAACTGTATGGGCATCACTATAATGCCAAGGGTATTCTGTGGTGTCTGAACATGTGTGGGTGATCTCCACAGAGGCATAATAGATCTTGTGTTGTATAAGGCAAAGACTTAAGTATGAGGCTTGAATAGCATTTTAGAAATAATTTGCAATACAGTATTGGAGGCTTTAGGAAATGTAAGCCTTTCTCATGAACAGGAATGGCAGAAAACCTACGTGCTTATGGAAGGGGCATCATCTTGTGTCAGGAGATGAAAATGGAAGTGGAAGATGGATCAGTAATAACTTGAACATGTGAAACAATAGACAATTTGATCATAGCCACTTAAGCTGGTCCTGAAGCACATGCCACAATGCTTTCCTTCGCTCTTCCCCCAAGGTATCCTCTTAACTACTGCACTGACATGAAAGGAGCACATTTCTATGGGTTCATCCAATTATATACAAGGTCAGCATCCTGGGCTGCTGATTCTATGGAAAAGAGACATGCAATTGGCCTCTGTGCATGTGCTTGTGAGCCTTCCAAGGTTATATAAGCACCATGGGATGCACCAGGGGATGAACCCATGGAAAAGCCTTCCCCATGTTAGTGTAATATTAAAGGACTGCCTGAGCAAACCTTTTACCATGTTGGAGAAATATGGTAGATTGGTTCACTATTTATATTGAGATCCGAGTTCAATTTTCATTTAAACCATGTCCTTTTTTGTAGGGCACAAGAACTGAGCAATGAATAAATTACGACAGAGCTTCAGAAGAAAGAAAGATGTCTATGTCCCTGAAGCAAGTAGGCCACATCAGTGGCAGACAGATGAAGAAGGGGTTCGGACTGGCAAATGCAGCTTTCCTGTTAAGGTAAATATATTTACTCTTTTAAGAACTGCAGCAAACTTCTAAATCCTGTTTGTGTTTGGATCATGCTAACAATAGTTACGTGGAAGAATGTTTGTATTTGTACAAATCCTGTTTCTTGTCTATGCACACATTTTCTTTATAGTTCTTCCCGTATATAAAATATCGCTGGGGCTGACTAAAGAAATGTTGGTTAAAGAAAGAATCTTACAAGTTTTGCTTGTTTAAATTGGCATACATTAGCACATGTATAAAGCTATAGTCCGAAGAATAAGCATATTTTGTTATTAAATTATACAATAGGCATCTTAAATGCATTTGTTATATAGGGAAGGGGTAATGTCTCTTTAAAGGTTAATTGGAGAACCTTTTAATCAAAAGGGTATTCGCTGATTGATCAAAGTAGTTAAACATGACATCATGCAGTCATAATTTTTTTCCAAATGTCTTCCATGCTAGTCAGATTATTTTTTTAAAAAGTTCATTATAGAAAGTTGCTAGCTAAGCCAAGGGTGTGATTTACACTTTCGGAACAGTGTTAAAAATTATTGTTCTCTGTTTCTCACAGCAAGTCTCACCCTTTAGTGGATAACTAATTTTTTCATGCTGCTTAGTAGTGTTAAACACCCTTTAGCAGATAGGAATGGCTGTTTTAATGGTTCTCATAAATCTGTATTGTGTGTCCTTGAGTTGCTTCAACAGAGGAGGTAGCAGATTAAAGAAAGAAAATAGCATTGTGCTTTTTGAATCTGTTTAAGTGGATATGAAATAAGGGACCTATTGCAAGCGATCTTAAGACAGGCCAGAATATGAAAAGAGTAGGCAACTCTGATGCTAAGAGGCCTATGTCTTGATACGGTGCTTGTACTGATCCATATTCTACACTGGTGCAACAGTATTCTTACCAGCAGCTCACGGTCATGGCTTTTATATCTTTTGTCCCAAACTACCTCTTTCCACCTTATATTGGTGTTCGCAATCAACTGTGTCAGGTAGCTCTTATTCCGTTTCTTGCAGGAGTCACACACATATGGAATACACACAAGAATGCAATAAATAATTTCTGTAGATCTAATGGGGATACTTTTGTTGCAAACTGACTGCTTACAAAGCAGATATTCAGTAGAAAAGTGTTTTTATCAGTTATCCAGGCTAATAATAGTACAGTCTTATTTCCCCCTAAATTCTATTTTCTTACACTTGTTTTGTAGTAGAGGTGGTTTTCTTTTGTATTTGCCTTTCCTACTCCATTAAAGTAGGGCTGCATTTATAGAAGTAGAGCTGCATTTATAGAAATTAAACTCTTTCCAGTAAGTAGAATGCTTACTTTTTCATCTGTGTTTAGTACAGTTTCAGCTGGCTTGATGTTTGACCTTTGCAGTACTGCCTTTGTGGTACTGTTGGTGTGAGATAAGCATTCAGGAGTGGTAAAGTAAACGTTAATCTTCTGACTTGCGGCAAATGGTATTATTATTATTATTATTATTATTATTATTATTAATTATTATTATTATTATTATTATTATTAAGAAGACTCTATTTCCACCAATGTCATTTATTTGTCATTGTGTTTATAAACCTCACTGGAACATTAAATAGGTAAGTAAATGAGGAGACGTAAGATGCATTTTCCAGTGTCAGAATGTGTACCTCCAACGGAATATCACACACCCATACCTGACCAGAAATACAAGAGCATGGTTTTATAGAGTACCGAGAAGCTTTATATAGCAAGAAGATACCTGCTTTTTTTGCTTTTTAAAAACAACAGTGGAAGTCTTGCTGAATAGAAGAAATTGGAAAGAAGCACAAGTTAATGGGCATTTGTGAAGACCCCCAAATTGCAGAAAAAATGGATTTGGTTTGGCTTTCTTTACTTTTTCAAAGAAATATGGATGATAGTACAGTCTTGCATACAAGTCAATCTACAGTTTGTAGATGCTTTGCTGACCTCTTTGAGGGTTGGAACCTTGAACTTATTCTAAGAGTGGTGGACAAAATCATATACTAAATAGCTGTGTTTGTGGCATGGCATTGGGAGGATGGGACAATTTCCCCTGTCCCTCAATGAGGATCACTTTTGGTTCTGTGGCTGCTGCTTGCGAATCTTTCTATTTGATCCTACAAACTACAGTGTAGAACTCTTCATTCTTGACGTTTTAAGCACATGAGGTGTTCAAGCTACCAGTCCAGTTCTAAATGCCACTGTTCTGTAATAGAATAGTAGCCATAACATGGAGACCTATCCTACTTGCATTTGAATGGACTTGAACATATGAACTTTGCTGAACTAGGTACTGATGAATTGAAATTATTCCACTAGTACCAATAATTGCTTAGAATTGCATATCTTCTCTCTGCCTCATTTTTATTGGCATGGGATGGGGAAGAGTTGGGCTTTCTCAAGCTTATGAAATAGGTGTAAGAACTTAAATAATTTCTGTAACGCTCTGTGCAATTAGGAACTTAAGATTTCATTCCTGTTAGAAATAGGCCAACAAATAGGGCCTTTAGAATAAATCAACTTTATTTAATCTTGACACCTTTTTCCTTGCCTATTTGCATGAGGTAAATTGCCAGGCAAAGTATTTAGATTAAGCCTATATAATTAGTAACAGTGCTATGGTCATTGGGAATGTATAATAGTTTGCATACTGTAGTTCCTTGATGAAATATAACATCCCTTTTTCAGAATGAAGACTGGCTGGACATACAAAGTCATTTTGTATAACACTGCAGCAGTCATGTTCCTGCGTATTAGCCCCATCCATAACAGCCTGTTAAAAATGAGGAGCTGATTCTAGAGCCTTGTTTAAATAAATGGCTTGTCAGTAGTTGGCATTATATTAGTTTTATCTATGATATAGTACATCATAACAAGTAGAATTAGACTGATCACCCAGAGAAGATTCTTCAGTATTATAAATTCTAGGATTAATGGAAACCACAAAATCATTTGTTGTAAGGAAAGACTGTCTTAACCATGTCTCAAGACAGCACTTGGAAGGTTTACTATTTATGGACTTGGGTGGAAGGGCAATAAAATGGCAAGATTTCATTGGTCCGAGGACAGTGGCTGTGCCTGGTGATATAAAGATCTTTTAAATCCTTCTCACAATCCTAGCTGCTATGTGGCCTGTTTAAAAATCACATGGCTGTGTTCTGAGTCGTAGTTTTGTCCATAGACTTATATTTTGTCTGAATTATGTTGAGGGTGTATAGTATGTGTGAAAATACTGGACTACTTAATCCAGCTGATACACGAAGATAAATACAACTACAAAGTGCTGGTTTAGTCCAATTATTCTAATCGGTGCTTTCCCCCTCCACTCTCCCTTTCAGTATCTGGGACATGTGGAAGTAGATGAATCAAGAGGAATGCATATATGTGAAGATGCTGTGAAGAGACTGAAAGCTGTATGTATACTTATTAAAATATTATTTTAAGTATGCAGTTGTTTTCCATTTACAGAGGTTTTTGTAGGGGAATTTAAATAGCTGCCTTAAAGCAGAGCTTATGATTGCAGAGGCATACCAGTACAAATTAGAAGAACTAAAACCATTGCTCTGTCCTGGTCAAAGTAGCTATTCTGTGTTCTTAAAACAGTTCTGAAAGACTTAGGCTTATTGCTGTGGTTTTTTTTTTTAAGGAGACCTCTCTCGGAAGTATGCTATTTGTGCTTCAAACAAATGCCGCTATCTTTATATTAAGCTGGTTAGCTTTTTGGATAGTTATTCTCTGTGCTATATGGACTGGGACTGCCATAGCATGTATGTGCTTAGAGGCATTCACTTTACTGCTGTACTTAGGTGTCCAGATGGTTAACTGATACTAGCTGTAAGGAGTGTTTACTCCTCCTGATACCTGCTTCCACTCATGACTGAAGATGGGGGAGAACTGGAAAAACCTCTCTTGAATATTTGTAGTGATCAGATTCCTCACTAAGAAGAAAAACATGCCATATAAGATCTTCTAAATTAGGGGTGGGGAAACTCCGGCCTAGGGGCCTCTTTATACTCCAGCCAAGCCATGTCCGCCTGCCCTACACCTGATGCATACACCATCAGAAGTGGAGCAGGTAAAGAGGGGGGGAGTTGGGTGAAGGGGACTTTGCAGGCACCCCCAAACACTGTGCTTTCTAAGCCCTGATTAATAGCTGATTGCCATGGCTTAGAAAGCCTTTTGCATGCTTTGCAAAGGCAAAAAGGATCACCTGGTATCATTGTGACATCAAGTGATTGACAGGAGATTGGGTCCGCCTCCCTGAACCTGGCTTGGCAGGGTTCCAGCCCACTGGCTAAATTCTGTTCTGCATCCCTGTTTTAAATGGAGTAGCTGACTTTTGACACCCACTGATTACATTTTTTTAGTTGTTTTTGTGTTCTTCATTGACTGCATCAATAAATCTTAAGCCTACTACAAAATACTAAAAAGATTTTTAAAAGGTCCTCTTGCATGCGAATATAGTGATTTCAGACTCAAACCTGTTGTTTCCTTCTCTCAGTCACAGACAAGAGGATGAAAAAATGGGCTTTGAGCTTTTGAATGAACTCCAGTGATCTGATTAGATGCCATCCTCAATTTCTCATTGTTCTTAGTCTTGAACATTTTGGAAGATGTGAATGCTATACTCCACAGAGCATTTCAGGGCAGGAAGAAGTCTCAGACCTGTTAGTATAAATGATGCTCTCCATATTTTTGGGGGGGGGAGCAAGCACATTGTCAAATTAGTTAGATGAGTGTCTGGTACAATTAAATACAAAGTGATCAATAAAACTACCCCCCCCCCCATTTCTAAGCCCAAAGAGACAGATGTTTAAAGTTGTGCGTATAACAGATTTGGCACACTGCACACTACATTTCTGGAATCAAAGAACATAACTTCAGTCTTTGAATTCCCTGTTCATGTCCATAACTTAAACAAAATGGTTGTGTACTATATCCAGTGAAGATAACTCTGAAATAACAGTCACTTGAAACCACCTATTACACACAGATGGCACATGGAAATCACAAGACTATGGGCCTTCCTTGTGTGGCATTCAACACAAGAGACTTCTATTTCTACTGAAATCTTAAGCTCATACAGCTTTCGCTTATACTATTCTATATAGATTAACTGATTATGCCAGACCATTTGTCAATAAAGCCAATTGATATTGACTTTAGCGCTGCTTTTCTAAAATATTGATGTATTTCACTCCCCTCAAGCCACTTCTACTGATTACTGAGGAGCATTCTCATATTGAGACTTAAAATGTCAACCAAACATCCAACTGTAGAGATCATTCTTAAGTTGCTGCTTTTTGTTTCTGTTCATAAATGTGGATTTTCTTTCTTAGCTTATACCCAGGATTTTGTTTTGTCGACTGAACTTCCATTTTCGCAGGGCAACCGTGTCTCTTCCAATACAGTAGAACAATTTCCTCTCAGAACAAGTCATAAGTCATTCAAGGGCAGTTGAATCTTGATGTATCTATCTGGGTGTAGCAATCTGATGTTGTCAAAACAGACTGACTTGTGTGTGGTAAACTCTTAAATGGCTAAACCCGGTTTCTCCTTTTCTGTGCTCTTCAATGGCTGCAGTAAATTGTCTTCACTGGACCTGCTGCATGCCTCAGATTTGGATAATAATACCAAAAAGATTATGTGAGGAAGTGCTCCCCCAAAGATATAAAACGTTACTTTTTCTTTCTTTTTTAGGACACACTGCCTTTTACTTTCAGTTACGGAGAAACACATATCCAAGCTCACTAGAGGAGGGGTGGGAATAATTGAGTTTATATACTTTGGTTGTCACGGTTGCTGGAACATGGCATAGTTTCATTAGTCTTATTCCTAACTCTACTTAGAATAGTATGAATTGACAGAATAAAATACTGATGTACAATTTTTACCACAATGCTTTTAAAATGTAGCTTTCCTCTTGACAAACAGCATTTTACCTGCCCATCAGTAAACTGTGTTGGAAGCTGCCTGTGTCTTGTCTCCATCCTCTCTCATTTAGTTAAAATTGTCTTCAGTGTTAGTGTCTTTAACAAGTCTTTTTTTTGTTTTGTTTGTAAATATGATACATTTGTTAATGTATTTTCTTGTTTTAGCAGGTAAACGAAACTTAATAGTGTTTGAAAATACTAGTGTATCTGAATATTAACTTCCATAGCTACCCTAAAATCCATTTTGCATGTTCTCTATCATTAATACTTTTTCTAGAACATCTAAATTTTTCCAAGTTAACACCTTTTGAAAATTAAACCTAATTACAGTTTCTTAAGCAAGGTACCTTACGGACCTCCTGAACTCTGGCATATCTTCTGAAGGCTTATATTGATATTTAATGCTTAACTTGGCAGTGGTGGCATATGTGTGTGTGTGTGTGTGTGTGAATGAGATTGATTATACATTTTCAAACTGGCAACTTAAAAAAAGGAATCCCATAACAAATCTTCATGTATGTACCCCTATAGCATTTTTTTAACCTAGTGCAGTTGTTCCATTTTTCTTACCAATATTTTTTTGTAATAAGCTATCTTGAAGACAGTTTTAATCATTTAAGGCAACAATATTAAGTTAGATATTTCATCACCCAGTGCCATGTGTTGAAATAGCTGATAGATGGCAGAGAAGGGGCATAATGTCTGTAAAGCCTGCTGTTACTTCTAGGCCCTTAAGTATCAGAGATGACCACAGATGTGGCCTTGTATCTCTTGTACATATGAAGAAACTGCTGCCGCCATGTAGGAAGACATTCATGATCAGCAGCTCACCATGCAGATTGACTAACTTTCTCCAAACCACCATAAACGTTTTGTACTGGAGGCTGTGAAGCTTGTGAAGCAAGCCAAAGCCCATAAATGGCTTGCTTCATGGTAGTCATCACAGGAATAATTTAAAGCACTGTTGATCCCATCCCTTAATTTTCAGTGAAGGTTGTCAGGAAATATATATCTGGGCTTTTGTTTGTCTCTGAAATGGATAAATAATTTTAAAATTGCCTGTGAAATATATCTTAAAGCTGCTGCATTTAATTGCCATCAAAATGTGTAATACTCCCACTTCGCTGATTGTGCTTGTCAAATCTACCACATTTTCTATATGTATACTGCAAGATGTGTATGAAGTGTTCCTGTTCAGTATACACGTTGTTTATTTGGAAAGCTTCATAAGTTGCTTAATCACAAAACTCTAAGCACTATATACATATAGTAACAGTGAAGCGAGAACTCTTAGATGATGCTGATAGTTTACTTGTAAGTTTCTGGATGGTCTGTGTGTGTGTGTGTGTGTGTGTGTGTGAGTGAGAGAGAGAGAGAGAGAAAGGAAGGAAGGAAAAAAGAAAGAAAGAAAGGGGAGTAAGAAGCCAAAATCTAATATGGAGCCTCTTCAGTGAAAGAATCCACATTCTAAAACAAAAGAAACTGCGGCATAAATATCCCCTACACTTTCTATTAAATTTGCTTTACAAAATACTGTTGGAAAATCATGATGGAGGGTATATGAGCTTAAACACAAACACCTTTTCTAAGCAGGCTTTTGATAAGGACTGGAAATATGCTCCCCAAATTATTTTCCTTTTGCTGTCATGCTATTTGAGCTCTGTTAATTAACTCGAGCTTTTCAAAATTTATCTAATGTGCTAATTTCAAGTCATCATCATCCAATTTGGAACATCTCCATGTCTGCTGCCAAGTTTGGCTTGTAACCTACTAAAAGCTAAAGGGACAAACAAAACGAAGTCTAAAACATTTTGCATGAAATTGGGTCTGATTTTTCCTTTCCTTTCCACCAATTTCAGAGCTATGGCCTGTCCTAATAAAAGCCCATGTGATGCTTTCTGTGTGCATTTTCATGGGACTTTCCACATCTGCCTGTCACATCCTCTATGGATAACCCTAAACATTCCCTACTTTCCTTCCAATCCCCATTTTTTGTATGTATGTGTTGGTTTAAAACCCTGGGACACTTTAGCTACCTACAGTAATAGCATTCGACTTGTCCCCCCTGTTCCTCCAGGAAAGGAAGTTCTTCAAAGGCTTCTTTGGAAAAGTAAGTTTAATGCCTTGTTGTGTTTGTGCTGTAAGGAGTTACATCCCCAGTATAGCATTGCCTTGTGTCAGAAGCCCCGTTCAGACATTATGTCTGAACAGGAAATAGCAACTGGTGTTGAGTGCATAGGGCTGCACATGCTGACACTAGCCCAAACACCCCTTCCCTGCCTGCTCAGTCCCAGGCCTTCCTGTGTGGAGCAGAGAAGGTCTAAAGGGAGCTTCTACCTGTCTTAATCTGAATGTGAATGGAAGCTTTGAACAATCACACAACCTGGTTAGTGTACTCACTGACACTTCTATTTGCATTTAAGCAAACATGGGTAGGAGTCCCCTTTAAGGGAGGGGGCAGGATTAAAAACTCACACATTGACTAATAATGAAACATATGTTGTAGATATTTTTCCACATTTACTACTCTATTTTTCTGATATACAAATAACATGAGAAAACTTGGTATACTTATTTGTATAACATTCTTGTTTATAAAACCCAACAACAACAACTACAACAACTACAACAATGGTTTTTTGGGGGGGGATGGGGGGACAGAATGAGCTCAAACCATGAAAGAGACTGTTTGTAAGCTTAATTTTAAATAATTAAATGTGCATTTATTTTGCTAGAAAATTGCTGTAATTTAAAAAATATTGGCATTTAAAATTGAACTAAAAACAGAGAGAACTAAAAAATATTTTCTTTACAAAATCCCACTGAGTGTAAATCTCTGGAACATGCTGGCATTGTCTCCTGTCTCTGGTTGAAAGAGAGTGGACAACAGCAGGCAGAGGATCATAAAAGGCTATACCACACCCATTCAGAGCTGTGTTTCTCTGTACATTAACTGTCTGTGTTGCCATACTTATTTGTGTGTCATCTACTATAAGATTATGCCGGGACACGATTCTTTCAATCTGCATTGAGAAATTGGTGAGAAAGTTGCAGTTGCTGCCAGACATTTTTGCAGCATGCCAGAAGTTAAGGGCAACAGCTGGGAAAGCCTCACATGTCAGGCAAGGAGCATGAATTACTTGCCACTGTTCACACACTTCCTTCCTTGCTTAGTTTTAAAGGTCATAACAGACCTATGGGGAAAGGGTTATTCCCCTCCTCCAACTTATTCGCTTCTGTCCCCCCCCCCCCCCGAATGTGGAATAAGGAGGGATTGTAAATGGACAAGGACCTGGGAGACTAGGAATAAATTTCCCATGAAACCTACAAAAGACCTTGGGCCAGTCACTATCTCAACCTAACCTGCCTCACAGGATTGTTGTTAGGATAACTTTGGGAAATGGAGAGAGTTGTTAAAGATTAACACATTTATTATGGTATAGACCTTTTTGGGCTAGAGTCCACATCACTAGAAGCTTGACTCTTGGTAATCCATTAAGCTTACACAATAGTACTGTTATATCCTTGAAACCAGTTTCTCTTGTCATAGCTGCTTAGGTAGTAAACTATAGAAAACACACACTTCTTGACCAACTAAAAAAGATCTTTAAGAGGCTTGCTAGAGTCATTAACTGGTTTCATCACTTCTAATCACTACCTAGAATCCTAACATGCAGATAGAAAACCACAGGCTTGGAGACCTAAAATATCATCTAAGCCAATCCTGTAATCCTATAACAATACATTTTCCATAGTCTTGAATGTGCTACTGGGCTATTTATTTTTTCATTTTCTGCTGTGAGCGCTGACCAGCTGGCTACCTCCTTTGAAAATATACCACAGCACTTAATGAGTTCATGGCAGTGTTCATCCCAGCAAACGCTTTGTACTGAATTACCAAATAAACAGCATTTAAAATTATAAATGTTGCTTAGATTATAATACCATACATGGAGAGCATGGCCAGCTAAACTGCATCACATCAAAATATGGCTACAATAATCTTAGCACTTGTTATTTAGTGTAACGTTAAACAATCTAAGCTATATGTTATAGGATAAAAGGTTAAATCTCCCAGTGTCCTGGAGTGGAGTTAGTCTCTAGGACTCTTCCAAACAATTAATAGGGTAGCTGTGAGGAACTTTATTAGCCCTAGGCCAGTATCAGTAGTGAGATCTTCTCTGTTGATAAGGGGAAATGGAAAAAGGAATAGTGATATGTATGCTTCCTTCTAAAATGTCAGAGGGGTTTTGCAACCCACTCCTAGATAGTGGGATTGCCGCATCTCCAAAGAAGGGAACAGGCTTCAGGCAATAGCCCTGGAACATTTGGGAATGGGAATTGTAACAGGAATTTTGTTGGGGCTTGAAGTATTTGCCATCTTGCTTAGCCAATAAAGGATCCCATAAGTCACTCACATATTTATAGGCTAACTGTTAGAGCTGAGCCCACTCAGGATGTCTTACAAAGCATAAAAACACAATTGTTGGCATCCATCCATCTGGAGAGACGATGGAGTGCACTTCTGGGAGTGAAGTCAAACTGCTGCGTTAGCAGCACCCAAGTGACCTTGTTGGGGCGCAAGCCTGGGCAGTGTGTATGGAGATCCTGGACTGCCCAGACCACAAGACCCCCCTCTCAGCCTTGCTGATGTGGTCCAAAGGAAAGCAGAGCAACACATTTGGCACCAGCTTCGCTGCAGGAGTTGCCAAAGGGAGGCATAGAAGGCACTATCCAAGTGTCCTAGGGTTTACTCTTTAGCCTTATCTTCTCCTGAAGATATCCTGTAGTCAGTGGAGGTTTAGGATCAGTGTTTCCCTTCTGCTAGATGGGCTACCTTTCCAGGTTGATAAGCCCCACCTGCCCCTCAACTCCCTCTATACTGTGTGCAGAAACGGCCTTCTTAACAGTTGGACCACTCTTAGTTTTGTCTGCTCAATCCTCCAGAGCCTTTCTTCACATGCAGGGGAAGTCCCTAACTCATGAATGCTTTGAGACCCTTCAGCTATCCCCAATTTAGCTATCCCCCCCCCCAGTTTAGCTGACCAGTCAAAGCCAGCGAATGCATACAGTACAAACGCACACATTATGGGTCATTTGAAAGTTGCATAGAATAGTAGAATTGGAAGGGATCCTGAGGGTCATAGTGTCTAACCTCCTGCAATGCAGGAATCTTTTTTTCTGAATTGCTTTTATTAATTTTCCAAATTATTACAAATCAAACCAAATTAAATTAATTTGGAATATTTTTGCCCAATATGGAAGAGCCCATGGAACAGATTTAGGGGGTATATGGGGGGGACGGGACAAAAGTTCCGTTTCGCAAGGAGAAATGGAACTACTTCCCTAATCCTATGCTGACTACGATCCTGTAAAGTACTTCCACATTTGATGGTAGTGCTACCGCACGAGTCACGGGACAGAACATTGGGGTGATGGGAAGACAGACTTAGAATGCTTGTTGCTAAAACTGGCAGCAAAAAGGCTACTTGTGGTGTAACTCCTTAAGCGTCAGTGTTAACTGACAGTTTATTTGGTGTTTAAACAGGTAAAGAATTTAAGCTTGAATTCTTTGCCTTTATTTGAATGTATTAACATACTTGACTCATCCTGTTCTATTCTTTCCCCCCTTCCTTTTGCATTGTGTTCTTGAAAGGCTGGCTTCAGCTTGATTCTCTGGAGGTTTTGTTGTTTGGTCTGAATATCTGGCTTTGGGCACTCCTACTGAAGTTGGATATCATCTGCACACTGACTTTTGTGCTTCTTGGAAAGAGGAAGTCTGCATTCAGCCTTATTGACAGCACAGCAGTAATACTGTTTTTCTTTTTTTTTCTTCCCTGCAAGAGCGGAAAGAAGGCAGTTAAAGCCGTCCTGTGGGTTTCAGCGGATGGACTCAGAGTTGTTGATGAGAAAACAAAGGTTAGACACTGCTGGGTTTGGAACCATCATAAGCTGTACAGATAATCACTGTAGTTCTCACTGCTTCTTCTATTACAGGGTTTTAATAACTTCATACATGCCTAGTTCAGCGAATGAAATATGCTAATTACATATGGCTCAAATTTTATTTGGCTTTTTCTGCCTTTGTGAACTTAGGTCCTTTGAATTCTTGTTTTGCTTTGTTTGCTTGAAAAGTGTTTTTTGTCATAGCAATAAATAGGGAGAAGGCAACAGTTTCATCCTGTTCTTTCTGTCCCTGCAGAAAAGCTGAAAGAGATTAAACTGCATACAGATATGTGATTGATCTGAATTTCATTCTTGCTGCATCCTAAGATTTTGAAAATCTGTGTGAGAATTGTTGTTTTTGTTTGTTTTTACATTTGTTATGGTGTGTATTTTTGTGTTTTTATATTGTAAACTGCCCTGCGATCCTTGGATGAAGGGCAATATTAAAAAAAATAAGTAAAATAAAATATTGCAGTGAGAAATGAATAAAATATGTGAGGAAGGTATTATTTGAAGGCTCTAGAAGCCAGTGCAATTCAAATTAATTCTCAATCAAGGTTTTCAATCTTTAAAATATCTCTAAGGCATTACTGAAGGGAGAGCATTAAAATTAATGATTTGTATATCGCTTTATATGCTAATTCGTATCCCGAAGGTGCATATTTTAAAAACTGCATATGGCTTTTTAGTTGAATACCCAAATGTGTCCAACCCTATTTTTAGTTTTAAATGATGTTTGCGTGATATTTGTGCCATCCTATTTTATTGCAGGAGGGTTACAGTTATTCTTTTAAAATTGGCAGCCCAACTTGTCCCTTTCCCCAGTAAGCACACAGAGATCAGCGGGAGTCTTGCCAGTGACTCTAGTAGGCTGGGGGTCACCTATGTTCTTTGCTCTCTGCTCCTCCCCTTTTAAAAAAGTAGTAATAGATGGAGGTGTATCTGTAGAGGGGAATAACGCCAACCAAGGACAGGTTTGCATCCGCTGCAGCTGCCATTTAATGTCAAGTATAAGGAGGTTCTGTGATGGATCATACCCTGTAGTGGCACTGTTTGGAACGCTACAGATGATACAACTCTGTCTCTCTGCTGCCTCGATCCTCTGTGTCAGTGTGGAAGGCAGCTGCATCCCAGGGACAGCTGTGGAAATGATGTACATTGAAGCGTAAGGAAACTGTTCCAGCAATGATTATATTTATACATGTGACTAATACCCACTGTGCAAGTCCAGAGCCCCATGCAGGTTCAGAGTCGATTTGATGTGTTGCGTAGTGAAAGAGAATAAGATGCGAGTTGGCAAGCTAATGATTCAAATGTTGGGCATGAGCCTGCTGTATAGATGTCTCCGATTCTCAGCTCCCCACTTACAATATAGAGCTGTTGTAAGGGCTACTGAGGCCCCAAACCAGATGTGTGCAGATTTGGTAAACATTAATTTGCCACTTTCATCGTAAAGTGGAGATGAAGAATCTATATGCATTTTTTTTAACAAAAAAGAGTACAGAGGGGAAACGACTCTTGGCCGCCTTCCCAGAATTCTGCTTGAAGACCCCCCTCCCTTATTAACTTTCAGAATCTGAGACAGCCTGAGGGACAGAGGGTTAAAAGCAGCAGAGCAGAGGTAAAGCAAGGGAGGCGGAGGGTTGCACTCCCACCCCCACTAAATTTAATGACTAAATACACCCCCCCAGCACCCCCAATTGGCAGCGGCATCTTTAGCAAACATGTGCATATCTGGTTTTTGACCTGAAAATGTATGTGAAATGCTTTGAATGCATGTAAGCCCTTATATGGGGACGCGGGTGGTGCTATGGGTTAAACCACAGAGCCTAGGGCTTGCCGATCAGAAGGTTGGCGGTTCGAATCCCCACGACGGGGTGAGCTCCCGTTGCTCGGTCCCTGCTCTTGCCAACCTAGCAGTTCAAAAGCACGTCAAAGTGCAAGTAGATAAATAGGTACCGCTCCGGCGGGAAGGTAAACTGCGTTTCCGTGCGCTGCTCTGGTTCACCAGAAGCGGCTTAGTCATGCTGGCCACATGACCCGGAAGTTGTCTGCGGACAAACGCTGCCTCTGCCTATAGAGCGAGATGAGTGCCACAGCCCCAGAGTTGGTCACGACTGGACCTAATGGTCAGGGGTCCCTTTACCTTTACCTTTTAAGCCCTTATATGAAAGTCAAGTGGTGGTGTTATTATGCCTCTTACTATTATAGTTTTGTCTAAGTCAGGAATCAGAAGCCTATGGTCCTTCAGTTTTTGTTAGACTTCAGCTCCCATCAGCTTGAGCTAGCAGGGCCATTTGGCAGGAGTGGTAAGGGTTGCACTACAGCAGCATGTGAAGGGCCAAAGTTCCCCCACACCTGATTAAAGTCCTGTGCTTCCAATGGTTCACCTGCCCTCTGTTCCCATAAACTAAACTCTCTCTAGAGCTGCTGATGTTATATATTTAACTATTTTAAAATGCAGCTGAACTTTGCCACGGATGCTTGAGAGCCAGTTGCTGTTTAATAAACAGCTTAGCTTAAAGATGCCAATATTAAAACTCTGCTACTACACTCTATAATGCTTGATGGTAATATTTCAGCTCATGTGGGAAATTGATTGTAATATTGCCCCTTGGTGGTTGGATGAATTAGTACAGGTCTCCAAACATTGAATCTCCAATCAGTACAATAATTTTGAGGATACACTTGCACAGACCTTTGAAGAGAAGCCAAAGTTGTTTTTTTAAGTCACCCCTTTAAATATGTGGAATATATGTGGAAATACATAAAGCAAATATATCCGGCAAACTGAAAGGTACAACTTTGGTATTAACCTGATAGAGGGAAGAAGGAAATCTAGAAATGTACTGTGTGGTATATTCCATGCTCCTGTAATGATTTGAATTTCTTATATCATCTTTCTTGGTTTTTTTCTTTAGGACCTTATAGTTGATCAGACAATAGAGAAGGTTTCTTTCTGTGCTCCGGACAGGAATTTTGATAGGGCATTTTCTTACATCTGTCGAGATGGCACAACACGACGCTGGATATGTCACTGCTTTATGGCTGTAAAGGACACGGTAAGCTGCTTTTAGGATCACAAAAAAGCAAGAGGCCATTTCCAAATTATGTCACTTGTCTAGAGAAATTTAGCTTTCTTGTGGCAATCTTGTCATTTAAGAGCAGTGCATTCAACAGGCTCAGATATTTGAAACTGGAATGTTAAAATGCTGTAGCTAGTGTAAATCATGTATGTTTCTTAATAGAAACAAGGAACCTAATGGCATGAATTGCTATTTTAAAAAATTGTACAGTATCTGCATTATGAATTTTATAGCACCAATATTTCAGTATATGAACTGACTGAACAGCATTAACACCTGGCAGTTAAAATATATATTTAAAGTCTTAATCCATGTGTATGTCTCATGTCTCTCATAACCTGTGCTTTAACTGGATGTAATAGTTCTGAATTCTGCTGACCAGAATTTGTACAGAGAAGGGAAGCTAGCACTGAGTGCCAGCTATCATTTGGCAATGTTTGGAGGAAATATGTAGTTCCATTTTGGTTTCTAAATGACGCAATATCTTTTCAGGGAGAGAGGTTGAGTCATGCAGTTGGCTGTGCGTTTGCAGCCTGCTTGGAGCGAAAGCAAAAGAGAGAGAAGGAGTGTGGGGTGACTGCCACCTTTGATGCCAGCAGAACCACATTCACAAGAGAGGGGTCTTTCAGGGTTACTACAGCAACTGAACAAGCAGAAAGAGAGGAAGGCATGAGGCAGATACAAGACACAAAAGGTAATGCGGTACAAGTCTGGCTATTGGGAAGTTCTTAATCAAACTACCATTTTACCTGGCCTGTCATTTTAAATACCAGTGAGATTATGAACCCTACTGCAAAATAACTTCATTATACCTCTTGATAAGGTTTTGGACCTAAAATATCCTCAGTAGGCCCCTGAGAGCTTTGGATTTTGCAGAAACAGAGATATAGTGTGTTGTGTATTCTGTGCGTTAGATTGAGGAGGAGGGATTAGTGTAACTCCTTAATTTCCCATGTTTCTGAGCTTGATTTGTCTAATGTAGGCATGGAGAACCTTTGGCCCTCTAGAAAGGGCTGTGCTACAACTTCCATCATCCCTTGCCATTGGCCATTCTTGCTGGGACAGGTAGGAGTTGCAGTTCAGTGATCTCTGGAGGGCCAAAATTTTGCCACTCCTAATCTAATACTTTGGTTTCTTAAATACTAAAGGAGCGCCTGCAGATTTCATGGCCTGCAACACTTCAGAGCCAGTGATCTTGGAAAAAGTAATAATGATTTACCTAGTTGGTTAAGAATAGAAGCTGTCTTAACACACAGACTCGCAAACAATGGTTGCATCTTCATGACAAGATAGAGCAGATAATCTTTTAGTACACTTATATTTTCACTCTTGACTTTGTAGACATGTATTTGCCCCCTACATATTAGGTTCCCCCCACCCAGCCCTTTCCCCTTCTCTCCTCTCCTTGCCCCCCTCCCCAAATTGGCTTGTTGGGGGGGGAACTCGGAGAAACTGCAATACAGTATGTGAGGGAAGATTATTCCATTGGGAAAGCAAGAATGCTTAAACTGATGGAATTTTTGAAACAGTGAAGCACTGAATTGCTCCCTATACATTTCTGTCAAATCTCTGGCAGATCAATGTGCAGCATCTCCATGGCTCTTTGCTATGCAAAAGCCATTTATTAATGGCTTATTATTTTGTGTGATGTCTATGAAATGTTCAAACAGATAAAAGACTTAAATCCAGCTCTAGAGGGCCATTTGTAGTGAATTCAAACGTAAACAATAGCCACAGCAGAGTATTTCAGAGGGCTTAAAATCTTGATTAAAAGAAGCAGCTTTAACTGCCTTCCTAAACGCAAGCCATGAAACCAGTGCAGATCTCTCAAGGGAGTTCCAGAGGTGGGGGCAGCTACCGAAATGCCCCTGTCATATGTTATGGATACCTGAAGGGACACTGAGAAGGGCCTCTGTGAAAGATCTGTGTTCTCAGGCAAGATTATATGGAAGAAGGAGGAGGAGGAGGCATTTCAGGTAATCTGGCCACAAGCCATTTAGGTCTTTATAGGTAAAAATGAGGACTTTGAATTGCATTTAGAAAGGAATCCAGTGCATTTGTTACAAAAGGGGAGTAACATGAGTCCTACATCCCTATACCCCCATAAGATGCCTAGCTGCAGCAGTCTGAACCAAATGAACCAAATGACATTTCTAAACAGTCTTCAAAGGCAGCCCCATTTAGAGTGTGTCAAGATGAGAGGCGATTTGCTACAACCTGATCTTGAAACAACAGAGCAGTAGCAGTGAAGACGGAAAATGGAATTCATAACAAGTCATTATGATCGTTGAAATGTTTGCTAAACTAACCTGGATAGATTAAGAGGCTAGTTAATTGCACCAAGCACTGTCTCTGCATTAGTCATGATAAAAATGCAAAAAACAATTACTGTAGAAAAATAGCATTTTGCATCTATCTATCTATCTATCTATCTATCTATCTATCTATCATCTAGGAAGTTACCATATTGTTTTTAATTAATTTAAAAAAATCTCTGAAGAACCCAATAATAAAAAGGTTTCTTTATCTTGATTAAAAGAACCCAGTGATAAAAAGGTCTCTTTATCTTGATCCCTGTGTTAACTTTTTCCTGCTATTTTTTCTCGCAGTTGAAACTGATGTGAAAGCGGTGGTGTCGAGTGTTGTACCTGGCAATACAGCCCCATCACCAAGTTCCCCAACCTCTCCTAGTGCTGAGGTTGCATCCTCTGCTGACAAAGAGTCAAATAACCCCCATGCTATCCCACGAAGACATGCTCCCATAGAGCAACTAGCCAGACAAGGCTCTTTCAGAGGTTTCCCTGCTCTTAGCCAGAAGATGTCCCCATTTAAACGACAGCTCTCTTTGCGAATAAATGAGCTCCCTTCAACGGTTCAGAGGAAGAGCGACTTCCCCATGAAAAACTCAGGTAGGGCAAAATTTATCCCCATGTCCTTAGTACACTTGGATGCAGTTTGAGCTCACTTGATCACCACATTTGAGAGAGATCTCTGTAAAGAGATGTTATGATCCTCTACCCCTCATACCTTCACTGTTTCTTTCTTGAAATGTCAGTGTCAGGCACCAATTTTGTTGTTGGCTCTGCACCAAAGTGTACTTACATTGTGACCTTAACTTCTATCAACTTTCCTCTGTATAATATTTCTGTGTTTCTCCATTTTTTTAATGGATTTGACTGCATTCCTGTGCAATTTTTATTCTTATTTTCAGTTCCTGAGGTTGAAGGAGAAGTGGATAGCATTAGTTCCCTGTGCTCCCAGATTACAAATGCATTTAGCACACCGTCGGAGGACCCTTTCACCTCTGCCCCTATGACAAAACCAGTCACTGTAGTTGCACCACAGTCTCCTGCTTTTCAAGGTGTGTCCTCTCTAAGTTTGGGTGCATTCATGGTGTTTGTTACATATGCAATGCTGCTTTCCTCCGCCGCCATTGCTTTAATGTCTCTAAGTGTCTTGCAGCTGCCTTGTTTGTCTCTGAAGTCATTATGCTTTGCTCATTTTATATGCTTTTCCTCAAAAGATGAGGACCCATCCAAAACTATTCAACTAATTATATAAAATGGTTTCAAAGAGAAGACCACATTTTTAGCCTTGAAAACAATTGGTGTGTTGATTTAAATGAGGTGCAACTTCAAAGGTTTTTTTTAAAAAAAATTCTTTTTATTAGTTTCTCAACTTCAAAGTTTTGATAGCTTTGCTCAAAGTAACTTAAGACTGGATCCTTGAGACCAATAATAATTCCAACGAATTTTGGTGAAAGAGAAAATATGATTAGAATTTCAGGTTGTGGAGTAGAAATTGATTTCATTAGCCAGAAGATCTTTACAGTTCCAAGTTGTTGCACACTTTCTCAATTCAAACCACACCCTTAGTGCTCAGGAAGTAAGAATGTTGCTCATGGTCAAGCAAGTAATAATGAAAATAGTAATAAATGGGGGAGAAAGAGGAAGAAGTAAGAATGTGTGGAACGTGAAGTTCACGTCCTTTGGTTTTTCATGGACACTTTAAATTTAAGCATGTGGGTAGGATAGTAGAAGTCTGTAATTAATGGCTTTGAATTTGCAGTGCAGATGAAGTAGTTTAACTGTATTGATTAGGTTATAAAAAACAAATTGGGTTACATTTGAGTATAAAATGTGGAAGTCATTTTATTTGCATTCTGCTTAGGAAAAATAGTTAAAAATTACTTGGTTGTCTTAACACCTGAGTCAACAGGAAATGTAATTTGCATCGTAGAAAATGTCAGTAGATTAACAGTGTGAAAGAGTGGCTGAGATGTTGATGTGTGTTGCATGTTGGCAGAAATCATACATTTATTTTTAACATCCCAGTCACCTGCATGCCTTGCATGAATTAACAGCATTGATGTTGTCTGCTCCCATTTTAGTTAATGGCACTGCCTCTGCCTTCAGTGTGCTTACTGCTAAACCAGCTCAAACTACTGTAGCACCCACAGCAATACCAGTTCGTGAAACCAATCCTTGGGCTCTTGCCCCTGCTGCTAAAACTAGAGCCGCAGCCACTCTTTCTGGTAAGACCGGGCACAGATCCTGCGTGTTGCTTTCAGAGGGTTGAAGTATGTGGTGCTGGATTAGAGGGATCTTTCATCTAAGGCATTGCTTGGGGATTTTTAATATCCAAAGCCATCTGGTTTGAGGCAAAGCAAAGGAATCCATTTATTTTATTTACAGCCTTTCTGTTTCACTCTTTGCTACAAAAAGCAATTCCAGAGAAGATAACAATAAAATATGCATAAAGCAAGGCAGAGGAATTGCAATTTGAAGAGAGAGAAAAAAATCCAATCTGGCATTACATTCCTGCAAAGGCCTGGGCAAATAGCCAAGTCTTTACCTGGTGCAGGAAGCTCAACTGTGTCTGCACCAGTCTTATCTTAGAAGGGAGGGAGTTCCACATCTGGGGTGCCACCACCAGCAAGGCTCTCCTTTGCATCATCATCACAAACCAGGGACAGTTGTAGGAATAATAAATAGGTGTTCAAGGATGTTTGAGGTGCAGCTTTGTACTTTTACTTCAGTATCTAGGGAAACATTTAGATGGCTTGAGAGAGGATAAGAATTTACTGCAGGAGCAAGACTACTTTAGTAGCCAGGCTACATCTGCCACCATTCGTAAATTCAAAGCTGGCACTGTAGCAGGGCACATGGGACTTGTCAACCTGGGAGGGTAGCCTATCTAGGAGAAGGAAAACTGATCCTAAACCTCCTCTGCCTTGTGGGACATCTTCAGGAGAAGACAAGGCTATGGCGTAAATCCTACACAAATCCTGAATGGAGTTCCTAAGACGGTTGGATGGTGCCTTGTATGCCTCCTTCCGGCAACTCCTGCAGCCAGGCTAGTGCCAAATTTATTGCTCTGCTTTCCTTTGGGCTATATCAGCAAGGTCAAGAGGGGGAAGCCCAGGGCCTCCATCCCCACTGACCATGCTTGCGCCCCAAAGAGGTCACTTTGGTGCTGCTAGCACAGTGGTTTGACTTCACCCCTGAAGTGCAGCTCACAGTTAAACTCTAGCAAAGGATGAACCTACTGATTTGGGGGCAGCTGTACATGTAATGTACCAGACAAGATCACTGTTTGCATACCAGTACTTCCCAAATATCCATACAGTCTTGAATGCATGTATGCATGCATTTTAGCAAGGGTTGCCAGATACATTTACCCAGTGGCATAAAAATGCATGTATGTCGTACCTTGCTGCAGTGGAAAGCCACAGGTTGGTTGTGCCAGTTGTGTCTGGCTGGACCTCCACATTTCTGCTTACCATGGGCAAGTAGCTTAGACCTTTGGCATAGCATGATGCCCATGTGTACAACGATCCCTCCCTGAAGTTCTCCATGAATTGTGCAGAACTTATGGGAAGTGTCTTTTTCACACTGTACTTTGGTTGGCTAAAACACCTGTTGCTCAGTGCAGCATGAGATTCCTATTGCACAGATCAGTGTTGAAGCATTTTTGGAGCATGTAGAAGCAGCATGTGCTGCTCCTTCTCTAAACTACAGAGCAACATGTGACCTACCCAGAATCCTCTGGCATGTGTAGAGGACTTGGGCAAAGTGAAGAATCAGTGGTGAAGTCCAGCGATGGCTGACTACTGAGCCAAGCCAAATTTGTACACCCTTTTTTGGGTCAATAGATGTTTATATTTACTGCCTCCACTGGTGAAGGCAGTGTGCCTCTGAATAACAGTTTCTGGGAATAACACATGGGGAGAGCGCTGTTGCACTCAGAACCTGGTTGTAGGCTTTCCACAGGCATCTGGTTGGCCTCTGTGAGACTAGAGGGGTCTTTGGTCTGATCCAGCAGGACTGGATTTGAAGCAGAGGCCTTTCAGAACCCTACAATGCTGTCTGAGGTTCTGTAAGCCAGAAGGCAGGGGCAGAACTTCATGCTTTATGGAACCAAGCATACAAGTTTTACCACTGAGCTATAGTTTCTCATCTGATGGCACGTGAGGCCACCACCTTGCCGAAGATAAGTAGGCCTGGGTCTGGTCAGTGCCTGGATGGATAACAGCCTGGGAACCAGATATACACTGCCTCACGATGGAAGGAAGGCAGGATATAAATGTAACAAAATTAATGAAAATAAATAGTTGGAAAGAAAGACCCAGAAGCAGCTCCAAGGTGAAGCATCAAAATCTGCATAAGTTGGGGATTGTTGGACAATAGTAACATGCCCTTTCAGATTTGAAGAGTAAAGAAACTCAATAGAGGAGGAGGCAGGGGTTTAGCCTTTGCAGAGAAGAGGGTGGGAATAAGGCATGATCCAGAAAAGAAGTATTAAGTTGAAATAAGTTAAAAGAAACTGAAATGCTAAGTATTGAATATTACAGAGCAATTAGACAGAGGTTAACAGACTGAATTGCGTAGAAAGCGTAAGCAAGGAGTATAAGTGAAGGAAGGGAAAGAACGAAAGCAACAAGCTGTCAGTAAGTACAGTTTCAAACTATCATGCCAGTTTTGCAAATGGTGAATTCCGAGTCATAGAGTTTATTTATTTAGCAGCCAGTACAGATATCACACGCTCAGGCTTGTAATTGGCGATTGGGCCATTGCACACCATGTTTGGCACTCTCCCTGATTCCAAAGTGGGGTGCATAAATTCCCCAGTGCCTGCTTGGAATGCCATGTACTATACTATCCTTCCCTTATTAGCCTTTCATTTGGCCTAGGGCGGGTGGAGATCCTAAAGTCTGCGGGCCAGTCTTGGCCCTCTAGGTCCACAATGCCGTTTTGGGCAGGTCATACCCCGCCCATGCTGGTAAAAGCAGGGCTTGACCAAAGCCATGTTATTGATCGCCCAAAGTACCTGACAACTAGCTGTGCAGAGCCGAGACCCATCATTGAGCATCAATCATCTGAGTGATTATTCTGAGTCAAGCATATCAGAGAGCTGCCTGCAGTGCAGATGCACCCAAACTCTGTGGTAAGCAGGTTCATTCCTTCTGTTCGAGGAAGGGGTGACCCCGATTAGTGCTGGACTCAAGAGAGCAATTGGGTGCTCTTTGCAGCAGTTTCTCCCACCTGTAATTTGACTGGTGGAAGGGGCAAGCCACTTGTCATTTGTGATGCCGTGTGACTGACAGGATAGCCCCCATCCACCTTTCAAAGTTGGCCTATTTCTAAGTTCTGGCTCCTGGAGCCAGTAAAATAAATCACAGCCCCTGGCCTAGGGGCTGGCAATCTGGTACATTCTTGTAGTCCAGTTACCACGGCTTGCACTTTTCCTTTACTGAGCTTTAGAATGAGGAGCTATTCTACTGAAACTGAATGAGTGTAAATATTTTCTACTTTGAAAGTGGGACTGGATGTTGTAAAGTCTGTCTTTGGGCATAACTCCAGTATGAACAAGTGCAAGTTCACATATGTCCGATTAATCAAACCTGCTGTATTAGTTGTAGTGATCTCAACTGCTGTTATGAAACTGACCAGCCTGATCCAATTATGGTTGGAAACTGGAACTTCTTCAAGGTCCCTGTTAGATCCTTTATCAAGCAGCAGCGATTAGAAACAGGATGAAGCGTATCCCTTGCTGAGATCCTACCCTAACTTCTGTTTTCCTTCATAGGTTCCGAGTGGAGTACCAACTCAGGAGCTGCCTCACCGAATCTGCTCCAGGCGAACCACAGACGTACTCCCTCCGAGGCAGACCGCTGGTTGGAAGAGGTGTCCAAAACTGTCCGGTCCCAGCAGCCACAGCCACAGCCACCTCCAGCTCCCCAGCCACTCCTCCAGCCTCCTGTGGCTTCTCAAGCAGCCCCAGCTTTTCCAGGCAGCACCTTCATTGCATCTCAGCCTGTGCCTGTCGGTGTGGTCCAGCCCATGCAACCAGCGTTTATCCCGGCTCAGCCATACGCTGTCGCAAACGGAATGCCCTATTCCGCCCCAAGCGTGCCGGTGGTTGGAATCACCCCTTCCCAGATGGTAGCAAACGTGTTTGGCACGGCAAGCCACACTCAAGGATCCCACTCTCACCAGTCGCCTAGTCTTATAAAGCAGCAGACATTCCCCCAGTACGAAACTAACAGTGCTACTGCCAGTCCTTTTTTCAAACCTCCTCCCCAGCAGCTCAACGGGTCGGCTGCTTTCAACGGTGTGGACTCTGCCAAATGGCCCACAGAGGACAAGCATGTACTGCCGCCTGCAGCTGCCCAGCAGGTTGATCCATTTGAAGCGCAGTGGGCGGCGCTGGAAAGCAAATCAAAGCAGCGCACCAACCCGTCTCCGACTAACCCTTTCTCGAGCGAATTGCAGAAGACCTTTGAGATTGAACTTTAAGCAGTCCCGTGGCTTTGTGCTTAAGTCTGTATGTATGTATGTTGGAATTGGATTGGGTGGAAGGGGGGCAGAGGGGACGAGTGGGCAGCATAATGCGCCATTGCTGGTGTCCCCATGGAATCAGTGGGCATACAGAGAGGGAACAATTGGGGTGGGGTGGGGGGAGACGCTCCAAGCCCCAACCACACAACTATTGGGAAATCTAGGAAATGTCCCTGGGCCGCTTGCGTTCCTGCTTGGGAGCTTCAATGGCAAAGGAAACCTCAAAAGGGCTGAAGAAGGGAAATGAGCCCTGAAGCCCTTTCCTCGCACAGAACTTCAGAAGACCTCGTACGATGAGAAGCAAATTAGTCGCCACTATCTTCAGGAGGTGTCTGTCTACCTTCCTGTGAGCGAGCCATTCCTCTGAGCGGGGGGAAAGAGGGAGGAGTAGCCAGGGGGATACAAGCTCAGCTGGGGAATGGGAAGAAGTGAGAGCTGCTTGGCATATGCCGTCTGTGGAAAAGGATGAGCTTCCATTTTGAGTAACACAATAATTATTATATATAAAATAAAGCCAAAATCTTTATTTTTATGCATTTTAGATTATTTTAAATAGTTCTAGGTAATAAAAGCGGAATGAGTTGTAAGTAATCTTGCCAAAGGTATAAAAGGGGGTTGGATGTAAAATTGTACATAAGATTGATTTATCACTGATTCTTACGGTCAGTAATATGAGAGTAGAATGGGGAGCAGAGTTATTAGCTTGTTCTTGTCCTATCATTGTAAGTAGCATATTGCAACAACAATCATGAATCATGACCAATTCAAAAAAAATCACAGTAGAGTAGTATTAAGAGCAGTATTGTCTTGGTTTAAAAACAATGGGTAAATTCTATCTTTTTAAAAAAAGAATTCAAACTAGATCATATTGGAGTACATATAGGTTTTTTCATATACTGCTGCAGTTTCCTTGTCTTGAATCTGTTTTAACACTACTGTGGTAAGTTGACTGTAATCATATCTACAATCAGGTCTACTTAGGAACCCATTTTATGTGCATTGAATAGAATTTAGATTTTATTTTTTATTTTTTTAAAAAAGCTTTTTCCCACTGTTCTGTGTGAAAGCTTGTGGCTAGACTGCAGCTATTCCATGTTCTTCCTTCAGCAAATCATGAAAATCCATCTCATTTTTAATTTTACTCGTAAAACTTGGCCTTACAAGCAAACGTAAGTTATATATTTGTACTGATTTATAATCTGCTTTAACAGAAATAAATGTTGGTAGTAGATAATGTGGCTTTTTGAGCAGGTTTCCTTGTCCTTTTCCTGCAGTGTCTGTACTTCCTTGAATTTGAATTCATCTGGCGCATGGCTGATGTAGCAGGCTGCCACTGCCATTCGCATTTCCGTATGAAATTGATTACTTGAAAACTAGAACTTAGACTTTTGAACACTTGGTTTGCTCTTGCTTTATTTGGAGTTCTTGAATGCTGCGAGCAGAGTCACTAGGTTTCTGTGTGTTGCATTTGAGAAATATGGTTCTTTATGTACCTGCTTCTGATCCCAAACTGTATGGCAATCTCTTTTTTGTTTAGTGGTTGCTACCGCACTCTACTCAGAGGTAACCCTGGAGAGCATTCTGTGCTTCCTATGCAGCTTTATCATTCATATCCCTGTCATTCCAGAACTGATCCATTTGCAGGGATAGAGCTGTTTGTTGCTGCAGCATGAAAATGATTTGGCATGGTCTGTGATAACTGGCATCATCCATAATTCAGGACTCTGCCTGACTACACAATTGTCACTGGAAAACAGTTGATGATTAGGCTATTTTGACTTTGCAAGATTCAATAGAAAAGTAAGAAAAAGCATGAGTCCCTATACGAAACTATAACTGCATCAAATGTAAATACATGCTTGTTTATGAGAATTTGGAACATACCCTATTGCACCTATGTACAAATCCATCCCACCTCTTTTTCTTATTCTAGTCATGAGTTCTGAAAGTATAAACACACTCTTAACAAAGCTGCCACCAACTACACAATCTGTTGTTAACCATAGAACTTTTGCACAAAGCCTCAAGTAATTAGGCAAGGATTTCCATAAGGTGCTTTTGCATAGTAAATAGGCAGTTGCTAACTGTACATGAATTTGGACGCAACTCCTCAGCATTTTAGGAACACATTCCAAAAAGCGATTCCCTCAGCTATATATGCTACCCAGCTGTTAAAATCAAACGTTGGCGTACTCCTTCAGCATTTTTAAAAATCATAGCAAAACTACACGTTCTGCCATTTCAGGAACCTGTGTCATCATTTTATAAAGCATTAATACAGAGCTGACTCCATTTCCCTGCTGTGAGAAGCCAGACCTGGAATGCCCCCCCCCTATGTTTTTAAAGCTGCAAATACAGGGTGCCTGTGCATCTGTATCAAGATTACCATCCATTGTGGTGCAGATGGAGCACTGCGCTGCTAAATCCCAGATTGTGTCTTTCCTGAGAATTGTATTTTCATTGTTTCAGATCTATAAAATTCCTGTGAATTGCATAGGATTCTTTTTTCAATTTTTGATTGGATAAATATATAATTCCTTGCCTGGTTTTTATATGGTAAATCTTTTGAGTGTGCCTTCCCTCTTCCACAGGAAACAAATTCTGAATACAAACCATTTCAAGGAAATCTAAACTATCATATCCTTGCTGCATTGAAAATATGCAATCACTGAGTTTGTTTGCACCTTTGTTTTTCAGCTGGGAAAAAAAAAACTTGTGACATAATTGTTCCCATAGCACTCAGCTGTTCAGTGGCAGGCAATATACATTGATCATATAGTTTCTGTCATCTAAACATTGCCTGTGTTGTAGATGCTGCTTTTTTAGAGGAGCAATAGATCCATGTTCTCAACAGTCTTAAGTGAAGCTGTTCCCATTGGGTAGTCAGATGATGCTGAGAACAAAGGCTGACTTATGAACACTAATCTCTGGGATAAAATGCCAATGCATTTTTCTTTCACTCTTCTACAGTGGCCGATTTTTAACTGTTCATAGCCCTGCAGCTCACAACAGTTTGGTTCTTTTATATCAGCCTTCAGCTATTTGAAAACTGAAAAATAGTGCGACCTGAAAAAATGCAAGTTGCATTGTGGAGCACTCCTGCCCGGTACAGGCTTCAGTTGTAAACCTATTTACCTGGGAGTAAGAACTCAGTGGGATATGCTTCTTAGAGATGTATAGGACTGTGCTGTCAGGTATGTTGCACTCTAGGTTACTCAAGTCTAGTATTCATTCTCTTGCAGATGCCCACACATTCTGCTCCATTAGCATTCCATGATTGCAGAATATGCTCGGTCCACACTGGGCTGTCTGGGTGGGTTTTGCTCCCTTTAGGGTTTTTCTTAAAGACTTTTGTTCTTTTGCATAGTTCCTCTGAACAAGTTCCACCTCTTTTGCATGGGTGGTAGGTAGCAGTTTGGCTACACAAATGCACTTGCAGAATTGTGATTGCTGATAATACGTTAGTGTGTGTGGTGGTGGTGATCCCAATTGGTGTATCCTTTCATGGATGCTGCTCATTCCAGTATTTCTGAAATTAGATATCTGGGTGTTTTGGAAAGAGAAGCTACCCATATAGTCAATCTATCCCCAAGCCCAGTATGGTGTCAGTTGTCACACTAAATGCTTGTTGTATTCAAATGCTGTTGTATTAAGAAAACCTATCAGTAGATCTGAGGGCTGCTTCATTAATTTTCTTGCAAAACTGCTCCACTGAGTGACATATTGGAGTTATGGTTTGTGGCTAGACTTGGGTTTTCCTATAAACTTGGAAGAGTCTATTGACCTTTTTATGTGTGGGTAGTTTTGCGCATAATTCTTTCCATCCTGGGGTCTTGAAAGAGCATAGTTCTGGTGCTTGGCTGTGCAAGCCAGCTTTAAGGCAGATGTTATTGCAGTTGGTCATAATACAGGGATCCTGGAACTGTGATTTACCATGTGCATTCATGTGCTTTGCAAATGGGAAAATGCAGGCCATTTCAAGAGCAAGTGGTGATGGTGCATTAAAACATTTCTTCCATGAAAGCATTGGATGAGGGAAAGTTGACATTTTATCAGTCAAGATGCTGTTATGCTTTAGACTATAGAAGTTAGAATGTGAAAGTTGTTCATGCTGGGTGTCCCCATAAACTGTGTTACAGTTTGCATGTGGATAACACATTTCCAGGTGGAAAGCTTTACTGCAGGCTGTCCCCTGGGGTCAGCCTGAACAAGGAGGGATATGACAGCTGCATAAACCCAACAAGGCTGCCTTTTTCTCCTTTTAAGTTCAGTACATCTTTAGCAGAGTACAGGAGCAGTCTTAAGCCAGAAGCCATTCATGTAGCCTGCCATAGCCTAGAATAAAGATAAAGATAAAGGTAAAGGGGACCCCTGACCATTAGGTCCAGTCATGGCCGACTGTGGGGTTGCGGTGCTCGTCTTGCTTTACTGGCCGAGGGAGCCGGCGTACAGCTTTCGCGTCATGTGGCCAGCATGACTAAGCCGCTTCTGGCAAACCAGAGCAGCGCACAGAAACGCCGTTTACCTTTCCACCAGAGCGGTACCTATTTATCTACTTGCACTCTGACGTGCTTTCGAACTGCTAGGTTGGCAGGAGCAGGAACCGAACAATGGGAGATCACCCCGTCGCGGGGATTCGAACCACCGACCTTCTGATCAGCAAGTCCTAGGCTCTGTGGTTTAACCCACAGCGCCACCTGCGCCTAGAATAGTTGTTCCCAAATTGTAGTCTGCAGACCACTGGTGGTCCACAAGCTTCATTCAGGGGGCCTGCAGTGTGTCTGTGGTTTAAGAGGAGAGGCGGCACATCTACCACAGTAAATATACTGATTTTTCATTGCGTTCTTTTTATTTTATTTTATATTGCATTTTATTGTATAACAGAAGTCAAATTGTAATACAATAAAATACAATAAGCAGGAAATAAAATTTAAAAATCAATATACAATGAAAAATCATACCGCATCTAGCTTGTTCTATTACAATTGCTGCAGCAGGCAGAAAAATTATAAAATGAGCCATCAAGAAACTAAGTGGTTCTTGGACGTGGAGAGTTTGGGAACCATAGGCCTTGAATTTATTCCAGGACTGTTGCACTGTAGGCCACTGTGCTTGTTTGCAGACTATTGAAATAACACAAAATTAGACTAACGAAAAGGTGTCCCTAAAGGTTAGCAAAGAGGACTACTGGGTGGTAAATCATGGCTTTACCTTATAAGTACATCTGGTAGTAGTGGGTTGAACTGAATGTCAATGTAGAAAAGTATACATGCGCTTCCTGTTAAAGGCTTTGGAAAGGAAATTGATGTATATTGTTACTATTAAAGTTCAACTTGTAGGCATAATTTTTCCTCTGATTAAGAACTATGATGCTTCTTCCCATTCCTTCCACATGACATGTAGACTTTTTACTTTTGGGTTCTCACAACAACTAAGTGACTTGCCCAGATTACTGGGATACGGAAAGTAGAGGCCCCCCCCCCCTTCTGCCTGTGGTTTGGGATCCCATCCTTGTTTACATAATTTGTTTATACTGCAGTAGCAATTTCTAGAGATCAATAAAGTTGACTGCTTTGTGGCCTGGACGTAAAAGCTTCCCTTACCCAACATGACCTTTCTTGGCATCAGTGGTTATCCTTCGATGTTACACATTCATCTTGTGATCTGAGAGTAATTTTTCTGAGAAGAAGCAGAGCCCTGGCTAGCTACACATAGGAGATATCCCATATACTCTGGCACTGATATGCATGAAGAATCCCAGAACTTCACAACAGACTCTTAGCATTGTTCTTTGGGAGACTTGGAGTACAACCCTGTTCATATTTACTTGGAATTAAATCCCCCTCCCCCCGTGTTCAGAGGGGCTTATTCCCAGGAAAATGGCTACAGAATTGCAGCCTTATTTTCTCAGGGGTATCGGAAGTGCAAGACCCAATCCAAATTCCTATAGTTCTTCATTTCAGCAACTCCCTTGCAGCTCTAATACTAAGCATTGTTTGCATGCTGCCAAGGCCTCTTCATTACAGCTGTCTGTATCTGTAGTGAAGCAAATCCACTTGGTCCAATTGCAACTCTTGAAAGTTGGAAAGGGTTGAGTGATTGTAGGACACTTGTGATAACCATATGGGAAAGACTGATGGTCAACCTGCCAACTTTCCACAGACATGTGAGCTCAGTGGCTTTCTGTAATTTATTTTTGTGTTTTAGTCTACTTTAAAGGTGAGTGCTGCTTGTTATCATTAATCAGCCTGAAGGAACCTTTCTTCTTTGCTTTGTGACTCTTGTCCATATTGCTTGTTAAGCTATGTTAGAAAAACAGTCCCTTGTTATTTCCTTGAATGGGTAGGTCAGCCAGCTGTTAGACAATCAGTGTTTGTGTTGCAAAACACCACAAAAAGCTTAAGAAAGGTAGAAATTTGGCTACTGCTACCTATTTCCATTTCCCAGTGTGTGCCAGTGTGTGCTTGAGTAACAAATATGGGATTTCTCAAGCAATCAGGACTGTAGGTCATAAACTTCCTTCTTCTGGAGCAGGACCACATTAGGGGAAAATGAGGTTCAGCCCTGGTGGTGAGAACAGCTGGCACAGCAGAAGCTAGAGTAATACTCATTATTGCAGAGTTGAGCCTGTATAATCAGTTCACAGTTGGCAAGGTGTGGTTGGTCAACACATTCCCTGCTTGGGTCCAAAGGGAGGCGTGCAGGTACTGCAGGAGAAGGAAGAGAGAAGAGGACTTGAACACAGTTTCATGCAATCATCTAAGACTACAGAAGAATTTACTTCCTGCACTATAGGCTAGAGTACATTCTGTGTTCTGCACCTTGAACAAATGTGATAAGAATCCATAGCTTAGGAGATATTCAAAGGCAGAAATGAGCAATAAGCTCTGTTTGATCTCCCATGTTCTTAGCAGTTGCCATTTTTAGTAAGAAACTATCCCCTAGGCCAGAGATTTCCAAACTTTTCATGTTGGTGACACACTTTTTAGGCATGCATCATTTTGCGACACAGTAATTCAGTTTTACTACCAAACCGGAGGTTAAACTAATCCCTTTCCAGCTCTGGGAAGCGCACAGGGAGTGTTTGTGTGACACCTACACACTGCAGCCGACACACTAATGTGCCGTGACACACAGTTTGGAAAGCTGTGGTATGTAAGTGCTTCAGTCTGAGAATCACCAAGCAGTTGTTACCTACTATAAGGGCAGGTTGAAATTAGTCCAGCCCTTAGCTTTTAATAACTGAAACTGAATGAACTTGACCTCATATTTTTCCCTCCTCCACTTCTATAACAAGCAACATTTTGTTTCATTTTCAAAATAAGGTTTGGCAATTTTAGTGGTATATGGTGGTAATCAACTAAGTTTTACTCAAGCCCATTGCACTATCTAAAATGTAAGCTGAATACCACCCCTGTAGCACTAAAATTGCTGAACCTAAGGAGATGGTTCCATTTGCTACTCTGGGTGTTCTCCCAATACCCCCTCTGGAGCCAAGTTTAGGGGTGCACCGGGGGTGGGCAGAGAAGGCCATTGAGCTAGTGGAATCCTTTGTGCAGGGTTTCCACTGGGGGGAAACTATGGACATGATTCAAGAAATGAGTCCCATTTAACACAGTGGTTTGGGGCAGGTCTATAGTTCGTCATGTACAAGCTCATTTGTTAATGTACAAACAACACGTTTCTCCAGTTACTAAACGTGTTTACTGTCCTATTTGACCCAAACCCCAAGAAATATAGTTTTACTTCTTCCTACATTATAAAGAAGTAGAACAAGGTAGTTATTACCTACTGGTCCTATTTCCCCTCCAATGGGAATGCAGCATAATTCACTTCCTACTGGTGCCATTGTGTGCACTGTGAATGCTCATGCTGGCCTAAGGTCAAAAGCTTCAGGGCATTAAAGATAACAGTGTTATCTCTTACTTTGGCCTCCTAGCAAGTGGTATGACACAGGGCTACTACTACTGAACATGAAAATTCAGTTAAGTTATTGCTTAACGTAAAGCAGAAAAAAAGTGGTAAAACCAATCAGGGCAGTTGTGTTTAAAGGAGAAAATTAAACAGGACAGGCATCTGAAATGTAAATTAAGAACCCCACAAGTCTGCTCCAAGGGGAACCTGATCCTATTGGGAGATGCATTTACCTGAGGCCTTAAGAGAGGCTAGCATGTGCTCATAGTGTTGAGAATGGAACTCTACAATTGTGGAGGCTTAGCTGGAAAGACTGTTGAGCATACATACCTTCTGGCCTCTTCCGGATAAGTTTCAGCTCTGTACTAGCACTGACAGAATTACTGCCACTGTAGGCATTGCAGGTGTAGGACCCCTCATCACCCGTCTGCACATTATTTATGAATAGGCTTCCATCCTGGGACGTCTGGACATGATGGCCATCGGCTCTCACCGGAACTCCATTCCTGAGCAGAAAGAAATGCCTTCGTTTTGCACTTTGACAGAGAGAGGCCTCTCACCTACTGCAGACCCAAGTGGAAGGAAACACAGGCAGGCACACAAATGTTTTAACAAACCTACATGAACAGAGACCACATTCTCAACAGCCGAGTTGGGATTGAAGACTAAAGTAAACCTGGATTCACCATTGCTGTGTTAATGCAAGTTTTTGCTTGCCAATGCATGTCTCAGTGGAATTGAGGGGGAAAGGAAGGGAAGGTAAATTCTGCAGCTCAGTTTTTCCTTTTTTTACCTTGACCATCTTATGTTCACATTGTTGCCTGTCACAACACATTGAAGCTGAGCAGTCTCCCCCTCTGACACAGAGAGGCTGGGCAGCAGGCCAGTGATTCTCAGCTCCCCTGAGGAGGAAAAGGGTATTGTCAATCCCAGGAAGAGTCCACGCAGGGGGCCAAGCCAATTCCTTCAGGAACGGTGCTGTGAATGCCGAGCTCTGAATACCCAGCGCTGACTAACTACCCAAAGCTCTGCTGCTTGCATGAACTTGGCCTCTCGAGCTGGACACTAGCCTACTGTAAAGTGTGGGAAAGGAATCTCAGCGCCATTTTCCACAACAGGATCCTTTGTCCAGAAACCTTATGATGTAACCATCAACCTATAGTTAAAATGCCTCTTTCTTCAAGGCTCTTCTTTAGTAGCAAAAATATGAACTCTGGTCTTAGCAACAACAAAAAGCAACAACTTTGTTCAGTCACAGGAGTACTTGTTCCCAGAGTTCCATAGCGTTGAAGATTTAAACTAGTTTGAAAGTTGAAATTGCCAAAACTGCCCTAGTCTCCACTCCACACACAAAAAAAACACCCTATGAATTTTGTGTGGTCTTCTAGCCTCCCATCTAATTTGAGAGACTTTAACTCTTTAAACCAGGAGGGCTGCTTTTGCGCTATAGTCAAACTGGCTTATGTAGAGTCAGGCCACAGGTCTACCTAGCTCACTCTTGTCTATGCCAGGAGCTGCTAACCTCCTTTTGGCCCATGGGCACATTCAAAATATACTGTGGGCACCATCCCCTCCGCTTGCTTTTTTTCTTCACCCCACCCCAGCAGTCAGTGCCCCCTCCCTTCACAGATGAACAACAATAAAAGGTGCTCTCTTGCTCTTGGAGTTACGGGTAAAGTAGAATGAATTGAATGTGTATGATTGTACAGTGGTACCTTGGTTTACAACCATAATCCGTTCCAGAGGTCCGGTTGTAAACCAAAACAGGTTGTAACCCAAGGCACGCTTTCGCCAATGGGGCCTCCAAAAATGGGTTGTAATAAAAAAAATGGGTTGTAATCCAAAAAAGGGACCCACACTTCCAGGTTTGATGTGGTTGTAATCCAAAACGGTTGCAAACCAAGGTACCATTGTACATGGGGTCCCTTCAAAATACATTAAATTACAGGTTACCCCTGTAAGCTTTATAGTAAACCTTGCACATCTGGTGATTTCCATTACTACAAAAACATTGATCTAAGGCATGGATCCTCTTGGTTTTTACAGAGTGTGACAACAGAGCCAGCACATCTGTGTACACACGTGACTAATGATTTGGTTGTGGTTTGAGAGGAACTCTTACAAAAATTATGAGGCTCTATGTTTTTGTACCATGGCCTTACTGGAAAGTCAATGGAGGTAGATATGATCTGTGACCTGATGGTGGGAAATAATGCAAATTGGAGAGGATCTGTTTTGCTGGATTCAACTTGAGTGTTTGTGCATGTGTCTGTCTGTCTCCACCCTATTTTGTCCCCCCAGCTGCTCTGATTTCCTCCTCCTGGATTGCTCCATTTTCTTTCCTATCTTCTTGGTCACTCTGTCTTCTGTTCAGCTACTCAGGGGCTGATCCAGTTCCTTGAAAAGGCTGTGGAATTGAAAGAGGAAGTGGGAAAGAACATTGCTCTTTCAACTTCCTTTTTCAGCTCTATGCCATTTCCAATGGTGGCAGTGGAAGAGAAAGGTAATCCCCTTCACCATCTCAATATGAAAGGGTTAGCGAGCAGGGGAAATGCTCAGAGGCTTTGTGGGCACCAGGGGAAGTCTTGAAGAGGGCCACATTGGTGACCTCGGGTCTACACTAACCAGCAGCAGCTCTCCAGGGTTTCTGATGGAAATCTGTTCCAGCCTTAGATGCAGGGACAGAGCCTTTTTACATGCAAAAGCATGAGCTCTAACTTGGTGCTACTAATGATGAAGCTAAATTTGGGCACCTCCAGTGTGTCAGTATTGTGTGGGAGTGATTCAGTTGCACGCCAGAACTTTAGCTTTGTGCACTTAAAGTGGTTTAAAGAGCTCCGTTGCCCTAGCAAAACAATTTTTATTTTTAAAAAGTGTATCAAACCTTTTGCAGCTTGGAAAGTGATGGGGAAAGGCCTTGAAAAGTGTGATATGAATGAATTACTGATGGGAATGTGTGTGCAACACCCCACAAGCAAAACAGAATGAATGTTTATTGTCATATAACCGCCCTGCAAACAAATTGGAACAAATGGTCCATGAAGGCTGGATATAATCAAACCTTATTTGTGCAAGCAAATCAGGATGAATGCTCATCTGGAGGGGCCCACATGGCCTCATCATCATTAGCACCAAGTACTAATAAACATGTTGCTGGCTGCTTGAAACAGAACTGTCTGAGGCTGCTTTGTGTGAGTAGCTCAGTTTGGGGTTGGTTTTTTAAAAACACATCACTGCAACTCCCTCTCATTTTCAAACTATTTCAGATAACCTAAATACGAAGGAACCCATTGTTTGAAACACACAAATATCTCCCACTCCAGATTGGTTGTAGGTGCGTATTGGCTCTCAGCATTGTTCGTTGGCCTGATGCTTGGCACAAATTGAGCATTTCCATTGACCTCCTGTGCAAGTTCACCCTAGTCCCCCCTTAATATCAAAGCAAGATCTATCTTCCTTCGCTTTTTAGTACCTCTAGGTATGATCTGGACTCTTCGCTGATCCTGATCACGGCCATTGGAAGCAATGCAGGTAAAGAAGCCAGCATCTTCAGAGGCAAGGCGACTGATAACTAAGGCACCGTCAGACTGCTGTCTGTGCCTGGAAAGCAAGAGAAGAATAGCGACTATGAGTCTTAACGAGAAGGAATTTATTTGCATCTAACTCAATGACTTATTTGAGAAAGGTTACATTGCTCAAAGCATAGTCTGAATGCAGGCACCCTTACTGTGCCTCCACATCTCTCTCTCAAAACTTGTTTACGACCTCTGAGGATCAGCTGTCAAGCCTGTCTGACTGCTGCAAAGTGAACAACAACCAAAGAGCAGTAGTCTCTCTTCAAGCTCATCCTTTTGAATTCAAGCTTGTACAGTGCAGGTGGGCTTCGCCCCTTTTATCTGTAAAACCAGGAACCAGGCAGAGGGTCTTCTCAGTAGTGGCACCCTCCCTGTGGAATGCCCTCCCTTTAGCCAGATGTCAAGGAGATAAAGAATTACATCTGAAGGCAGCCCTCTATTGGGAAGTTTTAAATGTTTTTAATGTTTACTGTTTTACTATGTTTTTATGTGTGCTGTAAGCCGCACAGGGTGGCTGGGGAAACCCAGCCAGTTGGGCGGGGTACAAATAATAAAATTATTATTATTAAAATAACAATTACTTTTGCTGTCAACTACTGTGTAATGACTTTGAAGAATTTTAAGTCCTTGGTTGTCACAAGAACCAATTTTGGTTAAGTGGTCACAACAGTTTTGTCACATTATTTCAGTGAATTTGGCAATGAACTGGATGAACCAGAATAAGGACCGAGTAAGTCACTAAATGTGGGGTAAGCAGAGCAGGTATGTACCATGTAAAGGCAGCCTTCTTGATGGAGGTGACCTCTACTTCCCCAACCTCCACCACAAGGCTATGCAAGGACCATCTTGCCCTGAAGGGAGGGGAATTCCCTGCCATCTAGTTCCCAGAGTTACAGCTGAGGTGGCCTCCCCCTAACCAGGAGCGAATGAAGGCATTGTGACACCTGGGGTGGGGCATCACTACGTAGGGTGCATGTGCAGCAGTGCTACGTGTGACGCATGTGCTGTACATAGCGATGCCACACATGCGCTGTACATAGCAGTTTGCCACCACCCAGTGCCGTACGGACGGTGCCGGGATACTCTGCTCGCAGCTGCAGCCATGAAGGGAGGATCCTCTACATATGGCTGCAGCCACAAGCAGAGTGCCTTCTTGTCACCTCCCCAGACATGGCACCCAGGGAGCACCGCCCCCCATTGGAACACCACTGCCCCCAACACTGCCACCAGGCTACCTAAGGACCCACCTTGCCCTCAGGACAGGAGAGAACTAGCTTTCAGAAATTTTGAAAGGAGTCACAGGCTGAAGGGAAAATAGTAGGTAACTACAAAATGGGAGTTGTAATTAAGACTTTGGGTGGGGAAACAGAAAGAGAAAGGGGTTGCTCAGATAAGGTTTTGCTAAAATGAAAAATGAGGATGGAGAATGACCTGGGGGGTTGGCATCAAGAGAAATGGGGTCTGCCCTCAGATGAATGTGAAAAGCTATAATGTCACAAAGAGTGCCTACAACAGTGAAAATGTACCTTAGCAGAGGATGTGCCTTTAAAAACAGTAAAAATTATAACAAATGCTTGTCCTTAATTAACCTAACAACGTAGCCCTGTTGGTCAGAGTGGTATGAGCTGTGTACCCCTGGCATTGAAAGAAGAAGATGGGAAAGTAGAAACACATTAGTTGTAGCTTACCTTGGAGAGGAGATGGGCTGTCCGTCTTTCTGCCACTCAATGGTTACAGAAGGCAAAGCCTCTACACGGCAAGGCAATCTGACTCGCTCCCCGATATTGGCATCAACAACTGAGGGTTCATTCTTATACATTTTTAACCTGGAAAACAAATTTACAAGGTGTCAAAGAAATAGCAGTGTTCCAGCTCTGTATTTTGAATCTGTGTAATGTAATCAGGACCTTTCTCTTGACTTTTCCTGTGAACAGCACCTGTGCAAACACACACACACACTTAGTATGCAGCGGCTCCTCATCTTGATTTGAGCATGAATGGATTACTGCAGAGGCTGCACTTAAGACAGAAGCTGCAAACCAACTAGGCGAGTGCTTTACAAAATGCGGGCTTGCATAAACACATCTTCCTTAAGTACTCTCTTGGCTGCAAGCCTAGAGAAATGCCTTTAGCCACAAGAATCCACAGTAACAGAATGTTCTTTTCAGTGCCATCCCTGTAGCCCCAGCCTGCCTGGTTCTGTATCTTGATTTCTAGAATTTCAGTGGAATATTACTGTTTCACCATGTAGCTATTTGAGGATCTTCACTAGCCACTCCTTTCACTCCAGAGATAAAAAACCCCAATGCTTACCAGAAAAGTACCAAGAGGTCAACTTATTCCCATTCCCCTCCCATGCTAGACACTCCCAACTGCTTGAACTATCAGCCGGCTAGAGAGAGAAAGTGGGAACTTCATGAGTTAGGAGGGCAGTTTTATTTTGGTAAACTGCTTTGAGAAAGCAATGTGTCCTGAAGGGGCAGGTTAGAAATTCATCAAATAAATAATAGCCTGCCGAGAACCACTCCTTTTGTCCTGGGAGGTGCAGACAGCAGGAACTGGCAAGAACTGCCACCATCCACCCATATGACTCAGGATGGACTGACTGCAACTACGACTACGGCCATTACAGAAACAGTGGTCTAAGGCCTCTTCAACCACCACCACAACTGACAGGAGATTGGGACTGGCATAAGTTCTGGGCCAAGTCTTGCTTGTGGGGAAAGAGCAGGAGACCTACTGGACCTGTTCCAGATGCTGGAATGTTAACACTTGTAAAAAATTATGGGATGGACTTCTAAACATGACGGCAACAAGCTGTCCCCACCTCCCAAGGAGGCTGCTGTGAATATTCCTGAGATGAGTTGCAATATAGCTGTGATTTCATACCCTGAAGCTTCTCAAAATAGTTCTCTTGCCTGCCCACAGTGCTTAAGGGCCACAGCCTGGTTTGACACACTGTAAAGAACAGAGGTATAATATTTGCTGTTAGCTTTACCTGTATGTTGTCTGAGGAAGGTTGACAGGAGAGTCATGTGACTGCCCAGTACTAAGTCCTGAAACAAACGCTCTGTGCTGGTGATTTTGACCATGAATCACCTGATTCCCCGCTCTCTGTGAAACATCAGATCCAGGGATTTCTAGGGAGAGAGAATTCTGAATAAGAGTGCCCTGTGCCATAAGACTGCACAAAAAAATCAGCAGCTAACTTCGCATATCAGAACCAACTATTTATCTGCTCACTTCCTTTAAAAGAGCCATGGGAAACCTGTTGTTTACCTGTTTGTTTCTCACCCCAGTGCTAATTGTAAAAGTATGCTTTCCCCTGCCAGCAGGAACAGTTTAGGAGGGGAGCCCACTATAAAACGGTAACCCAATCCGGAGTATGTGTATTGCTCACAATCTCTAGCAGACAATCTTGCCTGGAGTGAAATGCCCTTCATGCAAGGTCCAGTACCTCTGCATGTTCTGTGCAAAACACTACCCAACTGGGCCCTTGAATGTATAAAGACATCCCCTCATTTATGAGGCCAGAGTTTAAATGTGCCCTGGCTCAGGCAACAGCCCAATTCCTACTAGAAATTGAAAAGTGCAGCTCCTCCCAACATGGCTAAATTAGAGGTGGTTGGGAAGGAAAATCAGAGACCTTGCTTACAAAGTACATTACAAAATTATGACAGAGCAGAACTCCCTCAAAGACCTACCACCACAGAGCAGACAGGGTTGGAATAGAAAAGAGGTTGCTCATTCAACCGACACAAGATCGAGAGATGCTAGTGAAGTTGTAGATGGATGTTGATAAAGTTGTAGACAGGGTGCCAGCGTTTTGCACCTGTTTCACCCTGGCAGTCCAAGTAATAAAGATGCCGCTGATCACCCCCGATGGCGCCCTTTTACTGGGGCTTGCAGGTAGCACACTCCCAAGGTAGTTTTCCAGGCTTCTTCAGTGGTCTAATCTCAAAGCCTTGATACGTATATTGATATTCAATTTCATAGAGAATACTATTTCTTGGCTTAAGCGTAAGAGACTGATTTGCTGACATCACAGGGTTTTATTAAACTAACTTTTACTCAGAGTAGATCCATTAAAATTAATAGGCCTAAGTTGGCTGCGGCCATTCATTTCAGGTGATACAACCCATAGCATTTTCATTACACCAGACAGATTATTATTACAAAGTTGGCGTTTTCCTTATGCCTGGCTGCTTCGATTGACAAAATGGACAAAGGTAGCTCAAGTATTAAAACAGAAACAACGCCTCACCTTTGATCCTCAGCACAATCTTCCTGTGCTCTACCCTCCCATTCGAAATTTTGCACATGTAGGTCCCAGCATCCTCAGCTCTGAGCTGGCTGATCACCAAGGAACTGTCAGACTGGTAGGTATGCCTGCAGGAGGAGAAATGAGAGCATTTGACATATATTGCAGACGAGCTATAAAGCAGCAGCAAATCCTGTTGGCACCCAATGCCTGTTAACAGTAACTTTTTATTTATTTCTCTACTGGGGCAGTGCCTGGTGGAATCTTAAACGATGTGGTGGACTTCTGATCAGTTTTTCTAGTAGTTGTGTAGGTGGGACCCAGTGAATAATGCAAGAAAATACACACACGTGGGGAGGGGGTGCTTCATTTTCATGTCATGCACAAGAGCCACAGAAGTCCACTTTGCTCAGTACGTAATTTTTTGCACTGAGCAGTCTGATATCAGTCACTAATCTTTAATATTAACAGTAATCTCAGTTCTCTGAATGCTGCCGGTCCTTTTGTAACAAACTCAGCACCATTCACACACACAAGAGGGGAGTAGCAGCAGGCTTGAGGGAGCCCCAAAGTTTAAAGAAATACAAAGGAATCTTTAGAAAAATCCTGTGTAGAGCAGGGTGTTGGGATACTGCCAGGGAGATAAAGTCCATCATGGCCCCCAAGCCGGCTGCCGGACGATCCATCGATCTCCCGTAGACACGCAGTATCAGCAATTAGCGACATGAGCTCCAGAAATAGCCTGCCACATCCTAGAGCCGATGCACACTCTCTATCAGCAGATAATGCACAGCCAAAGTCACACTCAGGAGAGCATTATTTACAAGTTTTATTCAGCGTTAATCAGAACAAAGAAAAACATGACTGCCTGCTTCAGTGTCTCCAGACACAGAGAGAACGAAAACAAAAGACAACATAAACTTCCTGTGAACAGGAAATGCGCAGACTCTGTGACTCACAAAGCCTGCTCCCTTTTAAGGTGGAACGGAAATATCCAAACACAGGGAAGGGCAGGGTGTGGAATAGAAAACCAAGGCAGTGAGCGGTGGCTGGTGTGTGCATCAGAATGGAGTGCATTGGCTGGAATCCCGAGCAGCGCTCCACGCAGCAATATTCTGTTGCAGGCCCCATAAAATATAGAGAGAGCTTCTACCGCTACTCATCGAAATTGCTGTGTCTAGGAATTCTAAAATATAAGACTCATGTCAAAGTCATCCACTCACCCAAAAGCTTCTGTGGTGTTAATAGGTTTCAGTAGGGCGGGTTCCACCACAGGGGTGGGTGCTGGGGTCAAGCTCACCTGTCAGAGGACACTGGCCGCCCATCCTTCTGCCATTCAACTTTGGAGAAGCGGGAACTGCCTGCCTTACAGAGAAGACGGATGCTTTGTCCCAAGCCGGCCTCCACTGCTGAAGACTCCGATCCATCCAAGAAGACCCTGAAAGACATACTATAGTTAGCCCAAAGTTCAAAGGCTGCTCTGAAAGCACAGGGTAGGAAATGCATAACTGCTGATAAAGAGAGAAAACACCTGATGCTTTTGCAAGGGCAATAGAGTCTGGAGTAACTAATACAGTGGTGCCTCGCAAGACGAAATTAATTCGTTCCACGAGTTTTGTCCTCTTGCAATTTTTTTCGTCTTGCGAAGCACGGTGTCGGGAAAGTTTTGGAAAAGCTTCAAAAATCACCAAAGTCTTTAAAAACCTCAAAAAAGGCTACCACACCGTGTTCTATGAGTTGCTCCTCGAAGTCAAGTCGCAACTGTATTAACGGTGTTAAGAAAAAGGAAACAAACTTGCAAGACGTTTCCATCTTGCGAAGCAAGCCCATAGGGAAAATCGTCTTGCGAAGCAGCTCAAAAAACAAAAAACCCTTTCATCTAGCGAGCTTTTTGTCTTGCGAGGCATTCGTCTTGCGAGGTACCACTGTAATAGCATTTTAGCTACCCCTGTGGATCCATGTTAGGCAGAGCTGGAAGCAGTCTGCATGTTGCTAAAGCAAGGAAACAGTGGCAGAAGAGTCTTCTGCTGACTGAAGAGACAGTGCAAACCGACTGGGGGAGAAAGTTAAACCTGCTGCATCACATGCATACCAGACCCAAAATTCATAAACAGACACTTCTCTGGAAGACCAGTTCTTGATCCAGAACAATCTTTATCTAGATGAAGGGCCAAACCATGTTGTCATATCCAAATGCCTATCTTTAGAACAGGGGTGGGGAGTCTTTGGACCTCCAGATGTTGCTGTACTACAACTCCCAACGGCCACAGCAAGCCAATGGCCAAGGAAGGCAGGAGTTGAAGTTCAGCAACACTGGGAGGCAGCAAAGGTTCTCCATTCCTGCAGTAGAGTGTTCAAGAGCTGGGGCCTTTTAGTTAACTTTTAGTTAACTGCCCCAGTAAGAGTTTGAAGTTACTCATAACAACAGATTTTAAAAGACCACGGCTGCCAGGCATTAGAATCCAGCACAAGTCAGGAGAGATACAGCCGACTACAAGTCTGTTAGCAGACACAACTCATTCACATCCCTTTGTGAAGTCAGTGGTTGTGGGTGTATAAAAATGAATGCACGGCCACTTTAAAATTTAAAAAGAAAATACTGGTACTGGGTAGCTCACATTCCCAAGGGGTGGAGGGGATTACTCCTGTGTCAGGCTTATATTGGAATCCTTTATGATAGGTTGTCTGTCCTCACCCTGCAGCAAAACAATCTCATGCTGCAGAAAACAACTCCTAGCAGAGACGCCTGCTATTGCAAAATATTACCTGTTTAGAGAGTGAGGGAAGGAAGAGCTTGCTGAGGCGTGGCGCTCAAATCCATTTGCTACTGATCCATGTGCTGCAGATTCTCTCCTCCACCCTTCATGCTCACGGTGAACCGTCTGCCGCCTCTCAGAGTGTCCAGAGACCACGGTTTCCCCTAAACCATGAAGGTGGTTTGCTGGATCCTTCCTTCTTTCCCCCATCCCTTGCTGAGACTCAGGCAGGCTATCTACAGTCATGGTCCTTCCCCAGCCTCTCTCCCCATGACGTAGCAATGAGTGAGTTTCTGAGTCAGTGTGAGCATGGAAAGCCCCACGTCCTCCTCCTCCATGGCTATGACTCGTGGCTCCTCTTGCAGGCTGCTGTTGGTGCTGCTCCTCTGCAACTCCTCCCAAGTGAGAACTAGAGTGGATGTTAGGAACTGCAGCATGGTGGTGGTGTCCCACATCACTCCCGCCCACTGATCTATGGCAAGTTTTCATGCACTCCTCTTCAGAAGCAAAGTTGTTGTTGTTGCCGTGGCAGCCCCCATACCAGAACCGATTGCATTTCCCAACGTCATGTACAAAGTACCAGCGCGTAGTCCAATCTGAGCATGGGCCATGGGCGCTGGGCAGCAGGCAACCGATAGGATAAGCTAATAGGAAATGTCAGGAGAGAAGCAGTTGTTATAGAATAAGCAGATACACAAATCTTCTTCTGACCACATCCCCACTCAGGGCTCATCCATGCTTCTGTTTGTCCCATGCCTAGAAAGCATGGGTCTGAGTGATTTCCCCCTCTGCCCCACTCCTTTCCCATGGAAAAGCTGCTCTTTAGTGTTAAATCGGAACAAATGTCAATCTGGAGAAAACCCAAATTGCCATTTGCTCTGAATGAGCTTTAAAGAGCAGGTGCCCTGGGGCGGGGGAAAGCAGCAGGACAAGAGGAAGTATGATAAGCACAAAGAGCGGGTTTTCCAGGAGCAAGTAGCAAAGTCATTTGGAGCCACACCTAGAAAGCACAGGATAAGTGGGAAACTTCTCAGGCCCAAGCTTTCTTGGCACGGGACAAACAGAAGTGTTCATGAGCCCCAAATCGCTGTTCGTCTGTAAGATGCTCAGTAAATAAACCCAGATGACAATATGGTATCAGGAACTTGAAGCCTGCTATCAACCCTTGCTCATTCACTACAGGTTGCTCAGGCACAGCAAAACTATTTTTTACTGTGTGATTTTGTCGTAGTCTTTTTCAAGAACTGTGTGTACAGCTAGTACAAGTAAACAATAAAGTCAGATGTGTACTGAAGCCCAGACCAGTCCAGGATAGACTGTTCAAAGAGTGCTGTCCTATTCATGGCGCAAGGGCAACTGGAGAGTGTTTTCACTCTGGGTGGAGGCATCAGGTAAGAAGCAGTGGGATAAGCACACACTCTCTCAGACTTGCCTACCCCTCACCACATACCATTCCCATCCTGTCACTACTGCCCAGGTCTCAACTGTTGGAAAATCATGCCAGCGTTCCTGGCACAAAGGATGCTATGGCAGTACAAAGCAGTCACTGGAAGCTTAGATAAACGAGTCTGGGGTTGGAGGGGTCTCCTGTCACAGTATTCTGCCTCAGCACCTGAAAAAGCCTAGCAGGGGGCCAGCGTTATGAGAGCAGGTGTAAAAAAAAGGCAGCAAACGTCATTTAAGATCAGATCTTTTTTTAAAAAATAATAATCATAACCATTTTCTAGAATTCTTTTGAGAAAGCTGGGACAGTTAATTTAAAATAATTTGCACTTAAAAGTTTGCATTATGGATTTGCCCTTAGAGGGGAGTCAGGATTCACGTTATCAGAGGCTCAGTTCTGTCTCTGTATCAAATGGCGCTGCTCACAAAACCAGGCATTGTGCTTCAAGGGTATGTGGGTGAGCACTTCTAGGTTGGGCCTATGCCCATCACAGCTTGCAGAAGCCAACCAGAAGTAGCCGACTGTGATAAACAATGCAGCTTTGAAAAAGACGGCAAGGTGCCAGGTGGCTTCAAGTCTGCAGTCGCTTGGTCCCTGCCCCTGTCCATGCTGTTTTCCTTTCTGGGAAACTGTGCTTGCCAGCCATTCATTCTTCAGGGTAGCTGAACAAGAATAATTCAATAACAGAAATGTGTTAAGTGATTCCTTCCTGTCAGGAACACTGAATGCAGAAGCCCCATAAAACGGAACTGAAATGGTACTCTGCTTATTTAATAGGCATTTCTTACAAAACCAACAGAAGTCAGAGACTGGGATCTTAAAGGTGGATTTCAGACCGATTCTAAATGCTGGCCAAGGGATTGCTATTCTTATTCTTATTCTTATTCTTATTCTTATTCTTATTCTTATTCTTATTCATTGGATAATGGATTGTCTACATCCTTTTTCATGGCGCTGTAAGCTATATAGTGATTCTGTTCATGTTGGCAGAAAACAATGGGTAAACCACCTTTCAAAACCTAAGCGTCACTTACGTTGGCTGGGTCTATTGAGGCATCCATCCCCCTGAGGCCCAGAAGCAGAAGCAATGTTGTTGTAGCAGCAACCATACGTAGAAACACGACACTCCTCCGCTGGTCTCTCCTGGGACAGAACTCGGCTTGCCTTGGACAAAGCCAGAAGTTACTGAGACGGTCTCATTACTGAGATGGTGTAAAAGATCTCATACCACAAAACCAAACCCATAAACAAATCCACAGAAGGAGATAAGACCAACCATCCCTTTTTAAGCACCTGATGGGGCAACTTTGGCAGGTAATGAAGACATGCACCAAAATGTTTCTCTTTGACTTGGGATAATTGCCACTAACAATTATAAGCAATATTGGGAGCATGGGAATTGTTTCATAAGCCGTTCCAGTGACATGCTAAGGAAAAGAAAAATATTTTTTCTTCTTCTTTTGCTTCAGGCTTGTAAAGTTGACCCCTTGCCTAGTGTGAACTAAATGGGGACCATCAGCTCAGATAATACAGGAAACCCAAGAGTCTGCCCACCTATGAATAAATTGGATGTTTCTCCAGATGGCCCGAGCAGCTGGGCAAAGCTCCCACCCACTTTGTTCTCAAAACACCCACCATCAGTATCCCTGGGAACTGAGCCCATGCACTTTGCTAAAAAATGCAGTAGATAATTAGGTGTTGCAAATGCAATCCTCAGCCACTGGAGAGGCTCCTACTACAGCTTGTGCTTAGCAAAGCAGCTGGGACAGGATCCAAGCATGATTGCCAGAGGCAGCTGGAGGCCCAGAAGTGGTTGAAGGAAAATAAGGAAGAAAGTAGATGATAGATAGATAGATAGATAGATAGATCTACTATCTATCTTGTATATATTGTGGTGTTTTATGTTGATCTTGTTCTGTGAACTGCCCTGAGACTTCTTATAGGGAAGGATATAAATACAATAAAGAAGGAAGAAAGTAGAGGGACCATGGTGTCAGAGCTAGGGCTAATGTCCAGGGTGCTAAAAAGCCAAAATACTGCTTGTGAGTCCAGAATGGACAATGGGATGCTACAACTCAGTGGCTGCTATCTGGACAATACTCTAGTCATAGAATCATAGAGTTGGAAGAGACCACAAGGGCCATCGAGTCCAACCCCCTGCCAAGCAGGAATAGTCACCCACCATTTATCTGAAAATTTATCATAATATATGCTGCAAGCAATCTGGTTCATCCAGTACTTCTGTTTGTTTCCTGTGAGATACAGATCCCCCTGAAGGTCTAAATGTTTATCATTAACTCCAGAGAAACATTTACAAAACATTGTGCTTCAAATACTAACCCAACTTCAATGGTGTTTCTTGGGGCATTATGGACTGCACAAATACAGATTGGGCAATATGGTCCCTATATAATACTGAGCTGTGAACCAGAAGATCTCAAGTGACTTTAAGTAAGCTAGTCTTCCTCTCTCTCACACACCCTACCTCAATGTGTAACTGACCCACTAGAACCAAGTGTGTGATTGTGTGTTTGGTAGGTATTACCGTAGTATTATTACTCATTACACGATGTATGCAATACAATCACAATGTAACTGTAATGCCTCAAAGTCATCGCCTGAATGAAGGGACATATTTAGATCCCTGAAAGGAGAAGATCATCACAGGTTTAACTGAAAACCAGAGCCAAGATCCAAAACTTCTAATCTAGCGCACTGTTGGTATAATACAGTATAAAGTAAAGATAAAAAGGTAAAGGACCTCTGGACGGTTAAGTCCAGTCAAAGGCGACTATGGGGTTGTGGCACTCATTTCACTTTTCAGGCCGAGGGAGCCGGCATTTGTCCAGACAGCTTTCCGGGTCATGTGGCCAGCAGAACTAAACCGCTTCTGGTGCAACAGGACACTAACAAGTGCCAGAGGGCACGGAGCTGCTGTTTACCTTCCTGCCACAGCGGTACCTATTTAGCTACTTGCACTGACATGCTTTCAAACTGCTAGGTTGGCAGGAGCTGGGACAGAGCAACGGGAGCTCCCTCCGTCATGGGGATTTGAACCGCCAACCTTCTGATTGGCAAGCCCAAGAGGCTCAGTGGTTTAGACCACAGTGCCACCCGCAGTATAAATACTGACTACTGTTGAATTATTTCACCTAGAACATCGGGCATAAATATTTCCTATGCTTAGGTGTACTCTGCAACATAATAGTGCATTAGTGGTAGATTTATACTGGACTGACCACACTTCATTCTGCTTTACTGAAAGGCTTCTCCAGCCTTATTGCATTATTGTGTTACAATGCAACAAAAGCAGGGGAACACCCTCTACCCCACCACTGGTAGAAAAAGTTATAGGATTTCATTAGGAAGATGCAGTATATACACTGATTGGAAATGAGGCTGTATGTCCGACCCAAAGCATTTGAAGATGCAAACAGTATTAAAGCAGGATTGCGTATAACCACCCAGGTACCATCATGAGTACAAATCATTATGAATTCACAACAAGAAGGATGTCTGGAGTCACCCTTACTGTTGGAGCAGCAACAGCAGGTTCATTCCTGTTCACATAAACATCACTGTAGTATTGTGGGCACCCTTCCTTGTTTGGCCCCTGAGAAGGTGATATTCCATCAGGACAGCACCCATACCTATACCAGGGGGAAAGAATGGAAATCAATATTGGTGTAATCTGTTCAAACAGATTTGCTGTCTTTGTGGGCAGATTAAATGGATTTAACCAGCTTGCCTTACCTGCTCTGATGGCAAGTGTCAAATGGGCAGCCTTGGCCAAAGGGACCAGCGGCCACAGTCTGGCCATCTGAACAGCAACCATGAAGGCTCTGGTTGCAGTCTTGAACTTCAGTTGTTGAGGCAACATTTTGATGGGAATTGAAGTGGCGGGACACTGAGGATCCTAAGTAAGAGTCCAATTGAAGGGGCAAGAAATTGGAGTCATGATCTCCATTGGGCTGGACTTGGTGATGAGTAGTAGAACCAGCTTGGGTTATTCTTTCATTTGCAGAAGCTGAAAAACATAATATCTTATGGCATGTACCCACAGTTACAGGATCACGTCTAGAGTTAAGCCCAGATCTATGGTTATATGTCAGGGCCTCTCGTTCTGTCCTTAGCAGGACAGGCACTTCGAGTTGTGTTCAAGTCAAAATTGACCTACTGAAATTAACAGTCACAGCTAACTTAGGTCCTTTAATTTCAATAGGTCTACTCAGAGTAAAAATAAGTTGACAGTGCCTTTTCATAGAAATTCCTCACAACTGCTTTTTGTTCCTGCATTATGTTAGAGTCTTCCATCACCCCTGTACATATGTGCTTGTGTGTCAAGTGTGTGTCTCGGTCAAGTGTCTATGATTTTCTACGTGCTAAGGGTATGTGATTACTGCCTGGCCCTGTCCATTTTGGGGAGAAGCCCAACACACATTTGAAACTGGCCTCAACAACTATCAGTATGCAGAATCAGGCAGAATCCCACCAGGATAATGAACCACAAAAAGCTTTCCTAACCCAGGGGCCCTCTCAGAATCTGCCCTAGAAATAACACTGAATAAAGCAGAATTCATAAAGCAGTTTCACATTCCTTAAGCAGGGAAGGGTGTGAGGCAAAATTTCAGCAGGACCCACTGCCAGGCATTGGAGATTAGCAAGATGTGTGGTGGTAGAGGAGTGGTTCTGGGCTCCTGGGTTAGGTTTGACTCCCTACCTCCATGTTCACTACTGCTTTCTTTTCTAAGAGGCATACCATCATTTCAGAGTCAGGAAAATGAAAGACAGACACTGGCTTGGTCCAGGGTCCATCCCATTTCCCATCTTTCCCTCAGAGAGCTGTACTCTACATACATATGGGCCACAAAGACTCTTAACTTTTTGTAAAGCTATTCTAAAGGAAGGTACAAAAACAACAACATAAACATTGGAGAAAGAAGGCAAAGTTCAGGTAGTTTCAAACCTATGGTGCCGTGGTTAGGATTGTATCGGGTCAGCAAGGTCTGGCGATTGACATCATAGCCTGCAGAGTCTTGCATACTGGGAACCTCTGCAATGAGATTAGTATCCATAGGTTAGAAACATTGAACTAAGATCAACAACTGGGAATACCTAAAATCATCTGTGTCTTCAGCAACTAGGTGAACAGGGTAGGGGCAGAGCAGAGAGAATTGTTCTAAATTATCCTCTAACCAAAAAAAATCCTGCTTTCATGGAAATCAGTGAAAGGAAGCTTCAATTATATGTTTTTAATGTTGTGGTGGGGTGGGGGGAATGGAACTTCAAGACATGTGAAAATGAAGCTGCAAAAAGTCACCTCTGCAGGCTTTCACACCCAGGGCTTGAGATGTGAGATGTTGTTATTATGAGGCAAAAATGCACCAACACAGAAACAGAAATGCAAGGAGAAAGGACCTACTTTTATTACACTTTTGAAACAGAGAAGCACCAACTGGATTATTGCTGAGACTGTATGACTTGACATTGGGGGCAGATTTTAGGGCAGTTCCAACTGAACCCATCAGATGCTGTTCTGTACTGCTTTATGTGGTACCATAATATTAATTGATTTCAATAAGAAGTAGACTAATAAAGATGTTGAGATTTTTTGGGGGGACACACAAAGTTGTTGACCTTTTTGAGCTATTTTTAAGGAGGATTGGCAAAAACGACACTGCCGACATGGGTTGCCATACGTCCGGATTTCCCCTGAAATTTTGCCGGGAGATTACAGGCGTATGGCAACCCTAACGGATACCCTAGCACATCCAGACAATAAGCCTCTTGCTTTTCTCATCATTGTTCTGACAGCTTCCACAGTTTGATTAGGTATATGTAATTTGTAGCCAAAAGAGCAGAGACAGTTCACATGCATTGAAGGAAGAAGTTCCCAGGGTCAACCTCTGGCATCTCCTTTTTTCTTTTTCTTTTTAAAGAGCAGTTAGCAGGGAAATGGAAAGGCCCGTCTCTTCATCAATAGGTATGAAAAGGCCCGAGAAACCTCTAGACCAGTGGTTCTCAACCTGTGGGTCCCCAGATGTTGTTGGACTACAACTCCCATCATCCCTGAACTCTGGCCTTGCTAGCTAGGGGTGACGGGAGTTGTAGTTCAACAACATCTGGGGACCCACAGGTTGAGAAAGGCTGCTCTAGACCTTGTTGCTATCCTGATGGCATCTCAGTGATTCCAACATTGAGCAGGGAAGACCCAATCTGCTGCGGCCAGCTTGGAGGCTCCTAGGCCCTCTTGCACCCCTGATGACATAATTTAATCCACTGTATAGATCTCTGGAGGGGCCCATACACAGTTTATTACTGGGTCCTCCCACCGTTGGCTGCAGCTCTGACCATCTTTGGCTCAGGCCCCCAACTGATTTCTCCCATGGGTCAACGGGCCTTTATTTAACAAAGAGAAGACGTTGCCCACCCATGGTTTAGGAGCAGCAAAAGAAAACAACACCCAATGCTGAATCTGTTACGTAAAGGTGGTGGTACTATGCATTCTAACAGCCCAGGTGTCCAAAAATGGATACTGGGTAGGAATAGCACCTTAAAAGGAGGAAAAGAACCAAGGGGGGTTGTGGACAGCTGATAGCTTTCACTTACGCTGCGGCAGATTACAGGGCTGGGTGTTGCATGTTCCAAGCATGGCTGGTATCTGCGGCTGGATGGCCCGGCACATCTCGTGGTTGTAGAACTTGGAATCCCCGTCTGCACACATGACCTGGCGCGTTCGGATGCCTGAGTCACAGCTCTTTGAGCACTAGATCACAAAGTGCAAGCCGAGTTACTAGGGGGCTGTAACCCGAGAGAGTAACGTTACAAGAGTAACACTATCCTGAGTAACCCTATGAGTTTCTGGTAGCAGATGTTAAAACATGAATTTTCAGGTAGTGAGCAGGTAACTGCTAGTAGGTTGTAGGCCTTGGTGGAAGAATAAAATGATAAATGGAAAAATTATTTCCATGTTGTCAGGGGTTCAGGGACAGAGGCACAGGGTAGGCAGGAGATGGAGAGCGATGGGGATGAATCCCAGGACAGCGAGGAAGAGGATGACAATGACTCAAGAGATTCCATGAGTCTTTCCAGCGAATCAGAGGATTCCCAGAAGGGGCGCCGGTGGTCAGGGCCAGGGAGCCCCAGGGGGACGTGTCAGGAGCAGGGGGCCAGCGGGGGATCCCAAAGTGGCAGCTGGGCGTCAGGACCAGTCTCCCCGCCAGAGTGCAGCGAAGGGGGTGGAGGTTCCAGTGTATCAGGGGAAGCAGCTCCGGCAGCAGAGAAGGGAGGGAGGTCGGAGCAAGCCACCCTCTCGGAAGGGGAGGGGAGTAGTGAAGGGAGTAGTGTAACTGTCAAAAGGAAGGTTAGAGGTTGGGCGCGCGCGCCAAGTTCAAATGTAGAGGCGCGCGGAAGTACAGGAAGCCCGGAGGAGGGGCCAGGTCCCAAAGCCCGCAGGAGGGGGGAAGAGCAATCTGGGGATTCCGCGTCAGGGGAATCCAGGAGGGGCGAAACCCCAGCGGGCAGGAAGACCCTGCGGAAAAGAAAAGAGAGGAAGAGGTGGAGCAGCGCAAGCCTCTTAAACTGGTGCAGGGGAGGGACTGACTCAGAGGGGACTTCAACGGTCTAAGCGTAACAGACGTGGGGCTGCGCGCCTCGGATGTGAAGCAAACAATGAACTCCAATAAACACTTTTGAATATAAGAAGAGATTGGCGTTGGTCTTTTGTGAGCTGAGACCTGAGGCAGCCCTGACACATGTCATGGGATAAATTAGTCCCAGACAAATTTACAAATTATGTTGGCTCCAATTGTATCTTCTCTATACTTTACAGTCAAGTGGTGTATAAATTTTATGAAACAAACAAATTCCCAGAGAAAGTGATAATCTGAGCATGCTTCATTCACCAGCACTTTCCACAGGCATGTATGGTTGAGCTGGGCTATAAATTATAATGTCTGGGTTGTCTCTTAATACAACAACTCTACCTATTGACCATGCTTGAGGTGATCTCATTCTCACTTTAGTTTCCATTATTCCAGAGGTTCAACAAAGGCTATGTTGATGCAAACCGGTCTTGTAAAGGGGTTGTCCACATTGGAATTTAATGTGTGGATTTGAAGCTGCTTATGTCTCTGTTTTTCTTTCCACTGTCCACACAACATTCTCCTCACCCAAACGGCAGCCCACACTTCCCCCCTGCTAAATTTGGATTTTCGTAATCCACAGATAATCTGGTAATGGAAGAAAATCCAATATAAAACTCCATGTTACCCAACTGAAGCTCATTGTGCAAGCAGGTGTTATTTTCAAAGCATGTGTGATGTCATTTCACTGCCACACCCCCTACTTCCATTTTCTTTGCACAAAGGCAAAAAAATCAGCCCGCCTTTTTCCACTGGTTGTTTCTGAAGGCAGCTAAGTGATATTTTTATTTTTAAGGGGGTTCTTTTGTGCAGAGCTGATCTTCTACAAAGCAGCTGCATTAAAAATAAACATAAAATTTACCCTTGCTGATACAAAAGGTAGGAAAGGAAAGGGGCAGGAAAGGAAGTTGCAGCCTTTCATGCAACCAACTCAAAATCATTGCTTGGCTTGGAGCGACATTTTTGTTTTTAAAATAATTATTTATTGTACTTTGTGCCAATCTTATATAAAAATATAAGTGGGCAAGCACAGGTAAACAGATATCTGTGTGTATGCTCACAGTGGTCTGTGGTAAGCGGAGAAGTACTCACTGTCGGGAGGGGATAGCACACAGCATGAACATATTCCATCAAGAACCACCCACTACTGTAGAATGAAAACACTGAGACGGATTTCAAGTGCATAACATGCAAAACATTCATGTGTGAAGATCTACATATGAATTAATGCCCTAGTGTGGAAATGCCCTGAAAGAGGCAGCAGAGAGGAGATGGGCAGCAATGGACAGATAAACTGGGGTATAGCGAAGTATAGGTACCTTTTTTACCTATAGCAAAGTAGGCAGAAATTGTTGAAATGCTTACCAGTCCCCAGTCTCCAATATGCCAGCCGATCTCTTGGATACAATTCTCACCAGTGCAGGACTGGGTGTGTGAAGGTTTTGGTTGTGTCAAGCAGGCAACTTCGAGAGTCCGAGTGCCCAGCTCCGACATGCAGTTTACAGTCCGGGTCTGAATACCTTCCCCACAACTAGCTGTGCACTGTAAAAATTAAATAAATGACAGTCACTGTTGGTTGGACAGTGTTCTTGAAGCTACCAGCATGAGTTTGACCAAACTGCGGGAGGCAGTGGAAGACAGGAGTGCCTGGCGTGCTCTGGTCCATGGGGTCACGAAGAGTCGGACACGATTAAACAACAGCAACATCTATTGCATTTATTTGGTCTGCTCACTCCACATTTTGAAGGCATCATTTCAAGTTAAAAGTTTTCAGAAATCCTCTTGTCCCAGAAAGAGTAATTCAGTGTGTGAGACGTTCTATGGTTAAGCTTCCTCTGGATGGGAAGAATAACTCAGAGGTGGAATTTTTGGTAATATTCATTTACATTATACCTGTCATATACATTTATGTACCATATTTGTTGTGTCTGTGTACATAAGTGTATGTATACATACATTACACATGCATAAACACATGTGAGAGTTAGCACCAATTTTTAAAAACTCTTTCCTACTAGCCATTTTCATACCATCCAATTGTGCTACAGTGCTGTATAGAATACATAAATTGAAGGTATGCCTACTGAAAGAGCTTTTAATTTATTCAAGATATAAAAGGTAGGAATAATGCAAAAATTAGGAATAGGGATCAAGGAAATTGTTGTTTGGACCACCTAATTTCCTGCTTCCAGACTAACATACTGATTGAAGCATAATTATACTTTGGTTTTGACATGTCTGCAAATTTTGCAGTACATGGGCAGACCTCCTCCCCAATAAACACTGCATTCAGTGAAGGGTCAGAATTTGAGTAAAAACATAAATTCATGAATTTAGCAATGGCTGGAAATAACAACAACTAGCTGCCTCATGAGGCCAGCCTGGTGATGGCTCATGGGGATGTTTCATGGAAAGCAATTCATAAAATACACACTTCAGTAAATGACAACCGATTATCAGAGATGGTGAAACAAGCGTGACTAAAATAAAGCTTTGCCAAAGAAATACATTTTGGGAAGGAATTCAAAGAATTAAGTATTTATATTGGTTTTATACCAATTTAACTGTCATGGCTTGCTCCCCAAATCCAGGTGAACATCCTCATAATTATGTTACATAGCTCTAGCTTCTTTCACAAAATTACTATTCCCATGTTCTTTGGTGAGAGGGAAGGTCTTTTCAGTCTGTGTAAGCCTGAATTGTTGATTTCTCTCAAGGCGGAGAGAGGCGGAATCCACCTCATGAGCAAAGAGGCACAGGCAAAGTGATGATACATGAGGGGAGACTCAAGAGTGTGAAATGGGAGGAGTAGGTGAGCTTGTGCTTTCTTTTCCTCCTCAAGCCACTGAGGTAACTGGGCTATACCGTCTATATATGTTCACTGAACCTGTAGGACAAACTCACCTCAGACCAAGGCCCTGTGGTCCATGCTGCACACTGACGCATGTTGCAAGGCTGTGTGCTACGCGGCCTCTCTGTCAAGGATGCGCACTCGGCATCATCCACAGCATTTTGAGAACCCGGTCCGTGGTGGGAGACGCAATAAACGGAACGAGTCTGGGTGCCTCCTCCACAGGTGGCAGAACAAGCTCCCCATTCCCCAATCTTCCATCTGTAAATACAGAAGCAGCATCTCTCAAGAAACCAAGAAGCCAACGCTGGCAGCAAGAAAATCCACGGGACTAAAGGGAGGCTTACCACTTTCAAGTAATTGAATTCAAAAAAGAATAACTTGGGTGACAGCGAAAAGTATCTAAAAGCATTTAAAATGGTATGACCGCAGATTAAAAGATGATGGTACTAGGAGGAATGGAATGGATTAAGAGGATAGTTTCAGACTGAATGGCTAGAGGATGCCTCAGCGGTGGAAGCTGTTAGGTACTGTGGAAGTCTCTCTCACAGAAAGAAACTGAACTGGCTTTGATAAAGCAAAGGTGCACTTACTGTTGAGAAAAAGCAAAAAGTCATATATACTCCAACAAAGGATAATCTCCAAATTCTGAATTATGATAACCTTTCTTCTGTGACCTATCTTTATTTTTCATTATTAGAGAAATGGTCCGGGGGGAAAGTGTTAAGCATTCTACTGATTCTTTGATGTGATTCGGCATATGGCATTTTTTGGGCGAGGGGAACCCTCTGGAGACTGCTTACATATTTTCCAGTGACCTGTCTAGTTTGACACCAAGACTAACAAAGTTTCCTCTACCTAGACCTGACATTCCTGAAATAAAATGCTTTTCTATCTGCATCCTTTGACATTAAACCCTCCCAACCTTCCAAAGAACTTCCGTCACAAAGTTGACAGTAGCAAGATCTATATTCAGAAGGAAAATATTGTACTTGCAGTCAATAGCCATTTGTCTATACTGAGCAGTAATGGACAATTCAGTCCTCCAAGCTGCAGTAAAATAAACTCAACCCATCACGGCAGGGAAGGAGACCCAAAGTGATGCTATGCAAGAGTTTCCTTGAGACTGGAGGTCAGCTTCCCAAAGGAAGTCTATTGATAAAAATAAACTCAGTTGGCAGATGATCAATCTAGTCAGCTCTGTTATCATGGTCATACAATACAAAAAAAGACTGCAAACTAGAAACACTGTCTGAACATTTTTCTTGGTCCTAGATGCCAGGAGGAATTTTGCCTGGTGCCACCCAGTGGCAAATGCTTTTATGATGTAATGGCCAATGATCAGTGCAATGAAATGAAATTTCTTCCCCATCCTGAGAACAGCATAGGATAATTTTAATGCAACTTCTTCTTCATTGTATTATTATTATTATGTCACTTTACCCACAACTTACAAAAACAATATAAACACTAAAACCAATTACAACAAACACAGCCAAACACATCTACACAAACACATCCATACAGATAAGTCGGTTCTTACAGATCCTGCCCTAAGAGGCCACAAATACCTGAAACCTTTCAAATTAAGGGCCCAAAGCCCAGGTAAAAAGGCTATTTGGTGTCTACAAAATAGATAACAATAAAGCCGAAAAGCCTCCTTATTGCGTTGCCACCCTCCGGGCGTCCTGTGAAGAGGGCACATAGAGAAAGGCCTCAGATGGCGATCACAGGGTCCAGGTTAGTTCATGTCAGGAGAGGTGGTCCTCAAGGTACTGGGTTCCTGAGCCACATGAGGCATTATAGGTCTGAATTCAGCCCAGAAACCCATCAGTAGCTAGCGCAATCATGCCAGAATTGGTGTTATATGTATGGATCTTCCTGCTTCAGCCAACAATCTGGCTGCAGAATTCTGCACCAGCTGCAGTTTCTCAACCATCTTCAAAGGCAGCCTGAGTAATCACAATCTAAAGGATACCAGTGCATAGACATGAGAAGTTAGGCCGTCCCTGTCCAGCTCCCATCAGCCCCAGCCAGCATATCCAATGGGAAAGGATGGATGACCACAGGTCAGCCACTCCTAGGTAGGCAAAGCTCCATTTCCCCAGCATCTCCCACACCCTATCATGCTTTACAGAGGAAAGCCAAAGCTATAAGCAGCCACTGAGACCGTCACCAAGGAGGAAAGCTCCTCTAAGCAATCTAGAACAGTGGCTTTCAAACAATATCCTTAAGAACCCTGGCATGAGCGTAGCCAGGATTTTTGTTAGGGGGGAGGCTTTTGTTAGGGGGGCAGAACCTCAGATTTGTATTGATTTAGGAGGCAGCTGCCCCCCTGCTATACCTATGAACCCTGGCACTCCTCAGAAACTTGCCCTGGGTTCTTTGGTGTATGGCTGCCCTTAAAGACAGCTTGTCCATTATTAGCAAATTGGTCCTGCCACGTGCAGCCAATGGATGCAGTCTGGGGGCACACACTCAGTTTGCAGTGGGCAATGGTGAAGCTCCACAGGAATGGCCAGGATACCACATCATCCACATGAACTGAATGTGCAACTCAGAACACAACCCAGAGTTCCTTGGCAATATGCACGAATTTGTTCTGCACAATTTAAAAAAGTTTGAAGACCACTGTTGTAGGTGGGGAAAAGGGAAAGAGGAGCTGAGCAGGGCCTCTGCAATCACTTTCTCCTTGTTACCTCTTTGTTTGTAAGCTCCATGCTGTGTTGCGGCTCCATGCTCCCGGCAGATAGAGGTAAGATATCCTTTATATATATAGAACAAAGATTTTAAAGCCAAAAGTGAATATATAGACATCTGGGGTTGCCTGCTACAGCATGACTGCACATTGTCTTTTAGGGCCAAACTAGACAAGATGTTGAAAATTTATTCATGCAGCCCTGGTGAGTGAGTTGTTGTTGTTAAATAAAAAGGCTGCTATGGAGTTGGGGTCCAATTTGGATCAAGGCCACTTGGGGGAGTGGCAGCTGACCCTTCCTTCCTGTACCAGTTCCCTGAAGCATCTCCCCAAAGTATTAGCCATGGAAGGTTTTCAGGTATCTTATTGCAGGTGTCTGGGTCCCCCCCCCCAATCTCCACAGCTAACTGAAGCTGCAAGAGTGGGAGGAAATGGAGATAACCGTGTGTGTGTGTGTGTGAGTGAAGTTAAACCCACCTACTTCTACCCTATGAACTCAAGTTGTCCCTCCTGCCCTTGCATTTAGAGACAACACGAAGAAATACATCAGTGATACATTCACAGATCTCCGATGTTTGGCTGATGCATTGAACTGGGTACGCAATGATGCAGATTTGTTTGTGCTAGTCTAGTTACAAGGACCCATAAAATGGCACACTGGAAGTTGGCTTTGGATCCTGAGAAGTTCTGAAAGTGGAAAAGCTCTACAGCCCATCTCTCTCCGCAAGGGAAGTATCATATGGCAATTTGAAGGGAAGCCTTAAAATCTGTACACTATCCTGAGCATAAATCCCATTCCTATGTTAAAAATTCAGTACCGGGACACAGAAAAACCATTCCATATCTCTGCAAATAATCACGTCCAAATAACCTCTGCATGAAATTAAAAATTAGTTCCCCACATAGGGACTTGTCACTTGTATTCACCACAATGGCTGCTCTCCAGCATGACCCCAGCCTCCAACTTAGCTTGAAGAAGTTCTATGATCCTTCAGACTGAGGTTTTTGCCCTGTCCTTTTTAGCATTTTCAAAGATACTAAAACCACCCCATAACAGCTTGTCAGCACAAAGAATTGTCTTGAACAACGATCTGTTTATCATCTTCATGCATATTAGGAGCCACAATTTCTCCTTATCTATGTTTCCAATGACAGCATTAAGGGCAGAAGAGAGACACTGCCTGGGGATTTCGGAATTGCCAGGTTCATAAATCTAATGGTTCAAACCAGGCAGGGAAGCCAAATCAAGTCTTACCGTTTTGTCTGGGGACATGGCTGAAGGCCACAAGTTTGGTTGTTTTCTGGCTGTGGTTTATCTCTGCACATATAATCTGGATATACTTCATTGTCAATAGTGCAAAAGACCAAGCGTGTCTGATAACCTATAAAAGAAAAACAGCAAAGGATGTTGGTTACCGCCACTCATCCACAGCAGCAGTTAAAACTACAGAGAGATTAGAAACACTATACATCTAAGAACAATAAAGCATTCCATCATCTTCATCGAACCCAAGAAGCAAAATTTAAGTAGAAGGCTGTGTCCACATGAGAGCATTCACACATATGTGGGTTGCTGTTTTTGTGTTGTCATCTTGTGTGCCTTCATCCACACATGACTGCTTTCAATTTTATGCCTGACAGAAGCAAGATGGAAATAGGGGGTGTGGCATCAAATGGCATCACTGAAACCAGTAGCTGCCCACATAATGCTCTTCAGTGTATCCACAGCCAGATGGCGAATGCTTTTATAATAGATCTCCTTCCCTTTTTGGATTTTCCCTAAATTGGAAAAATCCGAGTTTGCTGCAGGCTGCCAGTTGGATGCTGAAAATGGCATGTGAATGACAATGAAAAATTCAAGGCACATGCAGCTTCAAATCCACATTAAACTCCCGTGTGGAGTTAGCATCCTATGATAGGTCCTTACCTCCACCACACTCAGCACTGCATTCGCCCCAGGAACCATAGGCCCAGCTGTAGCCCAAGCTCTGCCTTTGTGTTGGCAGGTAGTATTCATAATGTACCCCTTGGTTTGGCTCCTGGTTGATAAGCTGAAAAGGGAAGAGGCAAATAAGGTGTAATGCAAATAACTGCTTTCCTCACTCTTGTAGCTGTGTTATCTGGCGTTGGCCCGGTTCACCTCAAAAAGGCAGATGAGGTGGTAAAACCATTCCTGGAACTGGGCTTGTGTTCGCTGAGAGGCATTAATCCATGTGATCACCCATCTGCTGATTGGAATGCTACAGCTCAGGAACTTTCCTCGCTTCATCTGCTCTAGGTATAAACTACACCTAACACCCAGATCCTTGCCAAAGCACACTCCTTTTCTATCCACTGCTCATGTCCAGTTTGGGACTGTCCTTCCCACCCAGGGTCTACTTTATGCCTTTCCTTTTTCACAAAGAAGAGTCTTCCTTCAATTAAAAGAAGGAACTGCTTTCTTGCTGGGGAATAGGGCGTACCCCGCACCTCTTTTCGGCAACAGGCAATAATCTAAATGGATCTTAATGCACAGTTGTGTAGGTAACATAGATACAAGTTCTCTTATTCACCCTCACTGTTGGTTTTTTGGCCAAGAAATGGCTATTCTCCCTTCAATCTACATGGCATTGCATTTTTATTTAAGGTCCCGCAGTTCCCTCTGGGAATAATGCTGAGCACCCCCTCTGTGGAAGCTGGAAGAGGAGGGGAATATACAAAACAGGAAACTGGGCTTACCTCAATGACCAAGGGCTCAGTAGTTGGGCCCCTGGCGTGAAGAAGTTCAGGAGCCAGATCCCCCTCAGAACCCCTGTCATAATGCACAACTGTGCTAGCAACATGCAAGGCACGGCTGAACTCAATCGTCCAGTGGCCATTCAGATAGTATGCCCCTTGCGCGTTCTTGATGGCTGAGGGGGAGGGGAAAAAAGCCAGAGGGCACAAGGGGGGAAATGTAAAAGCTGTCTAATTTGGAAACCAAACTAGGCTCATTTCAGGCTCATTATAGAAGACTAATATCCACATCCAGAATACACCTCTGTTGTTACATGGTTGTTATTACTGTGCATCCCATAAAAAAAGGATGTCAATAGCTTCAGGGTTTATTGATATATTACAAAGTTTACTGAGAGCTGTGTGCAACATTGAACAAATGCTGTGAAATCAAATCGCCATGGGAAGCCAGTATTCTTAGGCAGCTGACATCAGTTGCTCTCTTGTCCAAGTATCTTGCTTTTGTAGCAGACAGAGGCCCACTGCCAGACTTTCTCTGCAAGGCCAACCTTGTTACTTATATCCCAATCTCATCCATGAACTGAGCTATCTTCCACTTGCATTCTGAGTGGTATAGTCCCAGGACAACTGTACCATGTGAAATTTCTGAATATGCAGAATTAAGTTAATTTAATATAGAATTAAGTTAAGTGCACAATTGAGTGAATGAACTGGGAATTATGTGCTTTAAGCCCCCCCCCCCCCGCTCTCTCTTTTAACACAGAGCAATAGAAAAACTGTTGTACATACCCAAGAAGTTCCTGGTAGGTGTCGCTTCCTTAATCCGGATGCTCGTGGCCCCCATGGGAATGATGAAGATTTGATTGTAGCCTAAAGAAAGTGCAGCAAGTCAGGCACAGTAAATTCTCCTTACTAAGGCAGATGGTAATAGACAAGGAAGGCAGGCTAAAGTTGCCCTTTCATGTGCAGAAGGTGTTTTTCAGAATGAATAAGCAGGCAAGTGGAAGAAGACATAAATCCACTTGTAACTACTCCGTCGCTTTTGGATTGGTTGTATCCAGATTCATATTGCCCATAAAGCAGCCCAGCCACGTAATTGATAAGTTACAACCCAAAGCAGTGGTGCTAAGGATGCATCAAGCTTCTGCACTGATACAGTCAAGGCCTTTCTGTGCTTCAGCTCCTTGGGCCTTGAAGATATAAATGGATGAAGAAGCACAATGGAATCTCTCCCCGCCAGACCCAGCCCAAGCATTTTTTGCTATCTCACTACTGAGCTGTTGTGGAAGATACGCTATTCTGTACCTTTAGGGAGGTTGGGCACATCAAAGAAGCCCTTCACCTCGAAACAGGCTCTGCCATCTCCGCCACATTGTAGGCACTTGTCTTCCTTCTTGGAAGAATCCAGAATGTTATCACAGCCAACGGCCTGTAAAACAGCAGAGTGTGAACCAAAATGCAAGTATGACTCAGAAGGCCAGTCAAGGAATGCCTTCATGAGAAAAAAATAAAGGAAAGGCCTACATTTCATACCAAGACCAAGGACTGGAAGAATCAGACTGGATACAGTTTTTAGAAATGTTTTGCGCACCTCTTTACTTCTGTTTCCTTTTGACCTACATTTGCCTCTGGTCCAAACACGTTTTGCAGGTTTTTGAAACACAACAAATCTGCAAAACCTGTTATCACAAGAACAGTGGGATAAATATACGCACAGCAAGCATCAATTTCTCTTTCAACCCACCTTCAAATCTCTGGAAGAAAGAACTACTGTCTGACTCCAGGTTGAGAAAATGCATACGTATGGTAGCATAGTGGGTAAAGCAATAGTCTTGTGGTCATGACTATTAACCATATCCACTTGCAAGGAAAAAAAATCAGTCTTTAAGTGTGGCAGCACCTATTCTCTAGAACTCCAACCTGTAGATATGAGGAAAGCAGCTTTGTTGTACAGGTTGACACTTGCTTAAAACTTTTGTTTGTTTGCTTAGGCAAGCCTACCCAGACATTTTATTTTTTTTTATTTTTTTAAAATAATGTTTATTAAGAGTTTAAAGATTACAAAAAGAAGAAAAAGAGTTAAACAAAGCAAAACAATACAATACAATACATCCAAAAATTTAAACACTACAAACAAAGAAGCAAAAAGAAACAACAAACAAAAAACAACACAATACAATGCAAAAACACTACAAATCACTAACACATAAGACAAATAAAACAAAACAAAAACCATTTTAAACAATTTCAATGTCATATCTTTCATTCGCTTATTTCCATGACTTCCTCACACCTCCCTTTTTGTATTCCACATCAATTAATTATTTCAGCAATTCCTTTCCATCTTCCTCTGTTTTCTATCCTATAATTAACTTAACACATTCTAACCTTATTTTATTCCCTTTAATGCTCAATTAATCTATTTATACTTAATTCCTTATAACATTTCTGCTAAAGCCATATAACTTCATTCCCACTTTGTTCTAACATTCATTAATTTTGCAATATTTCTATAAATGGTCTTTAAACTTCCAGTCTTCTTCCACCAGCTCTTCTCGCTGGTCTCGGATTCTGCCGATTCTCTCAGCCAGCAAAAAGCAGATGATTCACAACAAAAATTAGGGGTCTGGCAGGGCAAGTCCACCTCCTTCTTTAGCATCCGTTAATATCTTAAATTTTACTCGAGGCTTCCTGCCCTGCCATACAAATCTAGAGACGTCCCTCTGCCACCTCCTGAAACAATCCCTCCCATCCAAAACTTGCAATGTTTAAAACAAAAGCAACATCCCCGACATCACCGCAACCCTCGTCCCCACCACAGCAACTCGGCCCAACAATAGCAACTTCCAATTTAGCTCTATTTCCAAATCCCCCTTCTCTTCAAGCCAACATCCTTCACAGTTGCCCTTGAATAAATTCACATTTCTGGCAGCCATACTAACCCCCCAATACCTCTCTTTCTCAACCAATGTTAGTCCTATCTCCTCCTGAAACTCTATCAAGGTTTCCTTTTCCTCGGGTAGGGCTCTGATCCTCAATTTCATCTGTTCCTCTTTAAGTTCAGTCATATCAAGTGTCAGCTCGTATTCATCAAATTGTCCTTGTATGGATGGGACTCTCTCTCTCTCCAGTTGAATTGCTTTAACTTCAGCAGCGAGGGTTTTCTCCTTAACTTCATCCGCAGTTTGCCATATCAGGATAGATTCCTGTATCAATTTCTGGGTGGTTTCTGTATTGGTATTCACCTTTTGTCCCAGGTTATTTAGACTTTCTACCATTAAATCATTTTTAATATTTGCAGCATCCACTTTCATATTTATCACACCCATTTTCTTGTGAAGCTGTTCCAGCGAATCATTTATTTTCACTAATACAATCACTAAGGCCTCTTCTGGCGACATTCCGTCTTTCGCATCTGCCATAACACTCAATAGATTCAAGGTCAACTCACAGTCTCACGGTTTTTATCTTACAACTGGAAATTTCCCAGCCCGGATCTTATGTGGCCGCCAGTTTCAAGAACTTCCACTAGAGGGAAACAGTTTCTATTTGTATTGATAAATAATATCCTCTTAAAGCACAGTTCAAACGACCCAAAAGTAATTTCAATTTTCAGTTACTTTCACTGCTGGAAACAGTAGAAACAATGTGTCTTCTCTTATGCTAGCTGTCAACACGATCCAAGCACTGTCAATAAACGTCTCACCAAAACGTCGGACCTTCTAGCAGCCCGTTCCCAGGGTCCGAGCGGTGGTGTTTTACCTCTCTTGGTCTCTTCCGCAGGCAAACTCAGTTCACAACTTCCCTCCCCCCTCTTCTCCTGCCTCCAAGGGGGGGATTATATTCTTTACTTATGGAAATTTAGTCTTTTACAAAAGGCTTTCCAAGACTTCAGCTTGCAGCCTCAATTGCTTCAGTCTGTTTACAAAAGGGGAAGGCGGACTTCCTGTATTGAACCTTCCCCATTTCGATGCCAAATTAGACTTTTTTTAAAAAAAAAAATCCAATTTTCCCAATTAAGCTCTACTCACGGGTAGTTACTTTAGAGTCAAATTGTCCACAGGAAAAAGTCAGCGCTCTCCGGCAACAGCTATGCGGCTTCGCTCCGTGGAAGAAGCAGATGATTCGAAGCACCGCGCCGCTCACCCCACGTCGCTCCGGATTCCCGAAACCGGGTTTCCCCGCGAGTGGGGGAGGCGCAAAGGGTGCCCGCCGAATCCCACGCTCACAGGCTTCTCCCGCCTGTGATTTTTAACGGGTCTCCGCCTTCGCCGTGGCGGCCAGACCCAGATTTCCATGGAGCTGATTCCTCCCGATCAGAGGAATCCAGCCTTTGCCAGAGGCGCCTCCCCGGAAGTCCCATTTAATTTTATATTGTACAGTACATTTGTTTTTTAAATCTGTTGATTTTATGCCTCTAACTCTTATCTTATATAAAAAGCAAGAAAGCAAACAAGAAAGCAAACAAACAAACAAGCAAACAAACAAACAAAAGTTTACTGTTTTAAAGGGCTGTTATTGCTATTTTAATTAATAATTTATGTCATTTTATGTACACCACTTAGGCCCCATTTGCACTATACATTTAAAGCAGTATCATATCACTTTAAACCATTGTGGCTTTACCCAAAGAGACCTGGGAACTGTAGTTTGTTCACGGTGCTGAAGGTTGTTAGAAGACCCCTATTCCCCTCCCAGGAGTACATTTCCCAGGGTTCCCCAGGAAGAGGGATTGATTGTTAAATGTCTCTGGAAACTCTAGCTCTCTGAGGGGAATAATGGGTCTCCTAAAAGCTCTCTGTAGTCATAACAAACTACAGTTTTCAGGATTCTTTGTGAAAAGTCATGATTGTTTTAAATGGTACAATGCTGCTTTAAGTGTATTGTGCAAATGGGGCCTTAAGAGATTTTTTATTAAGCAATCTTGTTCAATAAAATAAAATAACTTTCATCAGAGTATCCCCCTGAGGCATAAACATGTCCAGTTGAAAAATGTGTCTGTATTCTTTTAAAATTTAAGCAATATCATCCAAACGCCAGACACATTTCAGCCACTAGTCTTCCTTGGCAGCTCAAGTTTCAAATACGTGAGTAATATATTACATAATTGCTTTGTGGGAAAAGACAACTCTTAAACTTGGACAGCTAAGAAACACCAGAGATGAAAATACATCTGGCATTTGTATGGACCGGAGCTTCTAAAAAAAGATGGCTGTGGTGTTTTTTTTTCCTTTTGCCGACCATAAAAATGGCCATTTTAATGAAGTTTAGATATTAAAATCTATAATGAAATGGAGCACAGCCAGAACGGTGCCCCACGGTAGCTGCCTGCTTGCCTCACGCTTCCCAAAAGAGCAGCTCCTCCATGAGCCAACACTCTCCCTCACAAAAGAAACCCACAGCTGCTGTAGCTAAAACAGAAAGTAGGCAGTCAACCAAAGTATGAGGGAAGGTGAAAGGTCATTTTACATGCCCTGTCCCCTTCACCTAATCCTCCAACCCTTGTGGGAAAGGCCAAACAGCAAAGACAGCCTTGAGCAGGTGACCAAGCAAGGGGGGAAGCCAAGAGCCCCAGAAAGTCAAAGACAGGGAAGGGATGGAAGTGCATGTTTACCTCTCTTGGGAGGAAAGTCAGAGCATAATACAAGGAGGGGGAGCAGGAACCTCTATCCCACTTCACCTGCCCTCACCCCATTAAAGAGGGCTTGTTTCTTTTTTGTCTTTGTGTGTCCTCTAGCGGTCATTGATGGGGCTGCAGGAACTCAAAGCAGTCTTAACAGCAAGGTGGCTTCTGACCGTTTTGGATTACAGTGGTACCTTGGGTTACATACGCTTCAGGTTACATACGCTTCAGGTTACAGACTCCGCTAACCCAGAAATAGTGCTTCAGGTTAAGAACTTTGCTTCAGGATGAGAACAGAAATCGTGCTCCGGCGGCGCGGCAGCAGCAGGAGGCCCCATTAGCTAAAGTGGTGCTTCAGGTTAAGAACAGTTTAAGGTCATGTACAGACCTCCGGAACGAATTAAATACTTAACCCGAGGTACCACTGTACACAAGACTTCCCTGCTGCTTTTCCCAGAGGTACTTGTTATGCATTGAAGTTCTCACCCTGGCCACCAGGGTGTATTGTGTATATAGTTTTCACTCAGGTCCATGTCAGTTAATTTACGTGGGGAAACCCTGGGCTGTTGTCGTTACAATGTTGACAGCTGGCTGCCTATAAAAGCAGGCCGGCTGGGCTGTTTGCTGTTCAGTTCAGTTCCAGCTTACTTATAAAGAACTACAGACGTGTCGTCTGCTATGTCCACCCACTACTTAATAGAACTGGGAAAACCCTTTTGTTCCAGTCCCTTGCTTTTGCGAGGCACCACTGGTTTAAAGGCCCAACAAAGGCTTTCACCTCATGTACTTGGGGAGTCCAATAGAGCTCCGTTGAGTTTGCTGCCTCATAATAACTAGCATGTTCCTATTTCCATGCTCTGCCCCTTCCGGAGCCCAGAGAGCACATGTTGCAGGATCTGAAGCACGAGCAGATATGCCACACACACACAAAAAGTTGTCTGCATGCTATGTATCTAAAGTACCCATAAATTAAAGTGAATTTGCCAAATCTTAAGAGGTAACATCCTAGCAGGTAGTAGAAAAAAAAGGTTGAGGATCCAGACCAGAGTTCAAATCCCTGCTTAGCCATGGAGCTCACAGGTTAACATTGGGCAAGTCACTATCAGCCTAGCCTACCAAACGAAGTCAATAGTGGATGATGGGAAGGGGTGGGGTGCCACCGATCACCTGACCTGCTGCTTATCAAGAGATAGACGGGTGAGCTGGCAGCAAGGTCAGCACAGTACCAATGCACTGGCAGAGCCAATAGGGCACTCCTGCTGGTTTGTTTGCAGTGTACTGACCTCGTCTCTGCCTTAGCCCTCTCCTTTGCAGTAAAAACCCACCAGAAGTCAATGAGCGGCAGTGTCGTCATCCCACTCCTCACACCGTCTGCTACAGATCAAAATTGAGGGTAAAATGGGATAACCCCAGGTATACTACTGTGAGCATCTAAAAAGAAGGATAGGATCAAATCTGATTAATAAATAAGAGAACTAAGAGCAAAAGAGGGGGGAGAAAGGAAATAAGGGGTGGGGGAGGAAGACGGACACAGTTTTCAAGAGAGAGATAACAAAGGCCTACTTGGCAGACTCCTTCCACACAGATATCATGCTTCCCTGGCTCACAGGGGGTCCCATCAGTCACGGTGTCTTTGTGCCTGTAGTAGAAGTTTTCTCCCTTTGGGATACAGTTTAGTTCACATTTATTGGGTGCTGTGAGGAGAGGAAAGCGAAAAAGCAATGTGTTACTCTGCATGTTCTGTTTCCCCCACAAAGGCACATACAACGTTGTGCAGCTTTATTTATTTATATAAATACTTCTATCCCATAGAATACCAGGGCACTGCACAGCAATGTGAAAACACAAGAAAATGGTTAAAAGCAGTATGGAACTACCATCATTGAAACAAGTGACTGCACAATAAAGATGCAAGCAACTGCATAGGGCATGTTCTTTGAGTCCCTGAATCAAGCTGAAGAAGGCTTTCATTGGGGTTCCCGTTTATTACAGCACACTTTCTATGAAGAAAACTTTTTTCAGTACTGAGAGGGTAAAGCCTGGTCATCAGTACCTGGAGAAAGGATTTAAAGGCTGGGCTGTATATTATTACTGGTTTGAATCAGCCCACCCTTATTGAACTGCGACATGTTGAATGAAGCAGGATTTGCTTTTGCTGTATCTGTGTACATGTGTCAAGGACCATATGGTAGTTTTAAAGCTGATCAAGGGATATGCTGAGAGCAGAGGTGGAGCTAGCAGGGGCGGGGCGAGCGTCCCGGGGGCGGCAGCGCAGCGATGTCACCCCCCCTCAGGGATGACACCTGGGGTGGCCCACATCCACCACACCCCCTTTTCCTCTGCCAGTGGCTAAGGGCGTATTTACATTTCAACATGGATTTCACTTTTATGCCAGCTCTCCTGAAGTGCATAACAACTCCCCATAGAAAAGTATATTTTTGGACTAGACAAATGGGGATGGAATGGGAAACTTTGCAACAGGAAAAGAATAGACAAAGTACGGTAAATTAGCTAGACTAACAACAGGGCTTTTTTTCAGTCAGAACTTGCCAGAACTCAGTTCTGGCACCCGTCAGCTGGGCACCATTGCCATTCTAAGAGAATGAGGGATGCGTTCATGGTGAGTTCAGGCACCTCTTTTTCCAGAAAAATAGCACTGACTAGCAACAACCAGGAGTTACCAATGCTACACTTTAAATATAATTAAAATATATTCAAGTCACCTTATGAACACACCCCAATACCTCTCAAAATTTGGAACAAGGCCACCTACATACCATTTGTGATCAAACTGGACTTCTCCACAAATCCTGCAAAATCTATTTCAATGGACTCTAATCAGTTTTTGCAGGATGTAACACTGCAGTACTGTCCAAGCAGAGATTTGATTCTAAAAGAAGCCATTTCACTTTCTCCGTAATTTGCTATGTCAAATGAACTGCATAATCATTGAGTAAGAGAGTAAATCCATGGATTACCTCCATAATAAGGAAGCCACTTGTATTTCTTTCCCTGAAATTCTGTCCCATCAAACTCAGCACATTGCTCTGCTCGAAAATCTCTGGAGCCCTCAGGACAGTTCTAGGAAGGATGAGAAAGAAATCTGTTATCTGGAACAAAGTCTGGAATAGAAGAAGATAAGCATCTTGCTTGGAAGAACTGTCCTGTATGTGGCTTTCTGTATTTTCTTCAAGTCAGCCTAACTTATGGAAGGTGGTTCGGGATCCACTTATTCTATGCTTCCTCATTTTCAAAAGACTTTGGATATCACCAGGATGCAACTGGAACCAGTGAACTAAGTGCTGGTGCATGGATACCTGGGTTCAAATTGCCACTCAGCCATGAAGTTCACTGAGTGATCTTAGGCTAGTCAGTGGGCACAATAAGTGAGAAAAACTATTCAAACCTTCTATTCCTTCCCATTCAGAGTTCAGGCTTCTGCCTCTATTTTTTATGCCTTTCTTCCTACCTTGCATTATATGAGTCTTTCAAATGCAATGTTGAATATCAAAGGGAAGGCTACTAAAGATCATGGTGATCAACAGAAAATGGCATCTATTCGGTGGAGGCTACATAGCACATTTCTGGGCTTGTTTATATAATCATGGGAACTACACAGATACTACTGCTTCTTCTGCCTACTCAAAATTTCCATGCGTAGCCATTTTTCAAAAGTTTATTGAGAGCCTTTCACCTCAGTTCAACCTCTACTTCATCCCCAAAATACATAAAAAACTAAAGTCAAGGAAATACTATCCAGGGATAACAGAGTGCTTACATAATATGTTTATAAAAGAAATTACTCTATTCAGAAGCAGATGTAAATACATGCGCTGTACAGTTGTGCAATAGAAAGATTGTACAAAGGTTGTTCAATATAGTATAAAATCCCATTTGTCAGGAAACTAGGGGGGAAGCGAATTGTATATATCAATGATCACATTCTTGTACTCAATGTTTGCTAATGTTAATTAGTTCTGAATAGCTGTCATGCATTAAAGGGTGAGAATGGTGTCCTTTTACTCATCTGTTAGCCCATTTGTTTTTATGACAGAGTTGGTTCAAGGAAGTTCATTTGTAATCTTCCTTAAGACACTGAGTAGGTGTCAGATGTAACTGGCGGGGGGCGGGGAATCTTGAGGCTCTTGAAGTAATAGGGAGAACAGCAGCATAAAAGAACTCACTGGTCAATTTACCTTAACATTGCACGAGCGATAGTTTCGGGTCGGTCCTATGCAGCTGAACCCACCATCTGCCCTGAAAGAGAAATCAACAATCTGCAATGGCTTGGGGGAAAATTATAAATGACAAAAACCTACCATCGATTCATTCTTACATTTGCTAATAAAGTGCTAGTTGACAGTGAAGTCTTCTGCACTCCCCCTCCCCCCAGGTGGTAGGAAGTTTCAAGGTAGCCTTTTATGACATCTGTTTCCTTGTAAGGGAATGAGGCCCAGGTCAGATTACTTCTCCCAGCCCAGTTCAACTATGGTTTGTTGGAGCAAGAACAAGTGATAAGCCTGAGCATTCTCTGCCTTCCCCTCACATGCCCACCTTCAAAAGGTATGATAGTTGATTAAACCAGTGTCCCAGCCAGAACTGCAAGCCAGATCAGAGAAACAAACAGAGACAGTAGGAAGACTCCTGGATAGCCAGTACTAGCCTTGAAGTAGCATCAGTTCTCCAAAAGCAACCACAGCCTCCCACCTACCAACAGGCCAGTGACATGCAGACTCCTGTGTCTTTATTTGGTGGCATGCCAGCTGCTCATTTCCCCCTCTCTCACTACCCTTGCACTAGGCTCAGCCACCACCTTGCAGGGAGATAGATGTGAGCTGAAATCCATGCAAGCTTAGCTGCATGGGAACCATTCTACGAGCAGCTGGGAAAACCCAACCATATGGCCCCTAGGCCAGTTACATGGATCCCACCAACGTATTTGCTGCGCAGTTGCCCCTCCACCTATATGGCTTAGGAGAGCCGCCATAGAAAAATAACGACCATACAGCTTGGATAGTGTTTTTAGAAAGTTCCCTAAATTGTAATTAATCAGCACTGGTTGCTAGTGAGCTAGTAACTAAAGAAGGGCAGAACCCTGCTGCATATAAAACATAGGTGCATAGTGATCAGTTTCCAGCTGCTATAATTTCCCATCATGTGAATTCACTATACTTTGAAGTACTGTGCTTTCGGTAAGGGAGGGGCATTGCCTTCTCTGATGCCAATCCGTACTGGAAAGAGCTACAATTTAATCAGTAGATAAACCCTTCAGGCAGATAAACACTCTGGAGAAAATGCAAAATTCACAGGGCAATCTTAGACATGTTTATTTCACAGTGAGCCCACTGTGTTCAATGGTGCTGACTTTCCAATAAGTGCATTTAGGATCACAGTCTCAGAAAGTTGGTGGTATATCAAATCTACATGGCTGTAGAAAATGTGATGGTTTTTCAAAGCAACATCGAGGCAGAGACTACGTATTTAATAGTATTCTCTGTCTGAACAGTTTCATCCAGAACATATGTCTAAGGGCGCAGCTCTGCCTGCCCTGGCAGGCTCAGGCATTTTTAGTACCACATAGATATGGCATCTAGTCTTTCTCTAGCCTTCACAAAATGACATCATGCTAACCATGTCCTAGTTGATTCTACAGCTTTTGTGAATGCAGCAACAACTGAAGCGAATTTCAGTTTTGGGAAAACAATCATTGCCCAGACCCAGTCTTCTCCTTAAAGAGATTTAGTCTGCAGTCTTAATCCAATGTACCTGAGAGCAAGCCCCATTGAATTCAATAGATCTTACTTCTGAGTAGACATGATTAGAACTGTGTTGCTAGACCACTTCATGCATTTTGTGGTCTAGCCCACAAAACATATTTATCATGGCATATAAGTTTAATATTTAAGTTCCAGCTAGACTCTTTATTGCTTTCCCTACAGGGGAGCCTACTTAACAGCTGCTCTCCCCTGTACTGGCTTCAGAAGGAGAAAGCTGGCAGGGAAAGGCTCTTACCTTATTGAGTAACAGCGTCGCTGCCGAAAACTGACGCCTCCACCGCAGCTCCTGCTGCAGTCGCCCCATTCTCCCCAGCTCCCCCAGAAGTCAGTTTGCCTCTTTGCTTTACGAGCCTGTAAGAATAATGCAGCTGCATGTATATTTTATTGAATGACATATGTATACTGCTTCTTCAGAGTCCCTTCCCAACTCTACAATTCTATGATCATAAAAATCTGCTTAAGTGGTAAGAGGACCAGCATTTCGAAGCCCGAGGGCTACACATCAGAGTTGTAGCACTGATGAGATGAATTTTGGGTTGTGTGTAGAATGTACAAAAGTAACATTTAATTTGAGTAAACTTAATATGCAACCTAAATCAGAATATCCTTCAACAGTCAACAGACAGTAGAGCAGGGACCAAACAACAGGAGCTCACCCCATCGCAGGGATTCAAACCGCTGACCTTCAGACCATAGCGGGTGGCGCTGTGGTCTAAACCACAGAGCCTAGGGCTTGCCAATCAGAAGGTCGGCAGTTCGAATTCCTGCGATGGGGTGAGCTCCCATTGCTCGGTCCCAGCTCCTGCCCACCTAGCAGTTCGAAAGCACGTCAAAGTGCAAGTAGATAAATAGGTACAGCTCTGGCGGGAAGGTAAACAGCATTTCCGTGCATTGCTCTGGTTTTACCAGAAGCGGCTTAGTCATGCTGGCCACATGACCCAGAAGCTGTCTGTGGACAAATGCCGGCTCCCTTGGCCAGTAAAGTGAGATGAGCGCAGGACCCCAGAGTTGTCCACGACTGGACTTAACGGTCAAGGGTCCCTTTACCTTTAAGCCCCAGTGAATTTCATGACACTTATTTCTGAGTACGAGTGCATTGGGGAGTGCAGCTAATCTGCCCTCCTTTATTCTTCAAGCAATCAGCAAAGGTGTCAGAGTTTAGTATCACGAAATTTGGTCCCAATAATTTCCAGTTCAAGAATCCCAGGTGGCAGGACTGAGTGACAGTTTTGTTTGCTACACCTTAAAGAGCCACCATCTGTCAGCATTGATAGTACTGGTCTATAATATAGATGTTTTGACTTAGTATAGGACAGTTGCTTAGCCAAAACAGGCTATATCTATCTATATACTGTAGATATAGATATGAGTCCAGTTATGAATTTCTCTTCACAAAGCCTGAAGCATATTGGTGAAGGATGCCAACACATTAACATAACTGTTAGTATGTCCTAAGGGTAGTATCGACATGCATCTAAGCCAATTGGAATTTATAATTAAACAAGTGGGGACCTGCAACAGAAGGTTGCAATGGGGAACACAACACTGCCATGCCCTTCTCAAGGATACACCATTCCATTCCCCTAGTTTTTCATTCCTTTTCCCCACCCCACCCCAACCTTCAACAGATGTTCAGTATCATGCATTCTCAGCATGTTCAGTCACCAGAGTTTCTTTTTTCTTTTCTTCATTTTGTCCCTTCTGCAAAGCTTTTAGTTATTCCCAACTCTGACACTACCTTCATTTTGTGCATGTAGCCATTTTGACCACATAAAGATTCACACTTGGATAATGAGTTTGCTAAAAGCACAAATACAAATGCAAATACCTTACAAGTTAAAACATTTCAAAACACTAGGATAAATTTAAAAGGGACAGGAGTGAGGCTGTCGAGGATCACAAGGTACTCGATTGTTCTGCTTCACGCTGTTTATTCCCTAGACCAGGGGTAGTCAACCTTTTTATACCTACTGCCCACTAATGCATCTTTCTTGATGGTAAAATTTCCTTACCGCCCACCAGCGCTAGATGGAAGGAGGATTCAACTCATGCCATAAAACCCCCTACCGCCCACCTAGAATCCTGAAACGCCCACTAGTGGGAGGTAGGGACCAGGTTGACAACCCCTGCCCTAGAGGAATGATTCATTAAGAACACTTTCAGGTAAGATGGAGATTATAAAGGAAGCCGCTGGGGCAATAACGTCCTTGTCCCTATCCGCTAGGAGGAACCTCATTCGGCTTTCTCTCGGAGCTGTGGGTTGCAGGTACAATATTTTGCTCAACACCTGTTTGTGGAGTCTGCTGTGCAAAGGGAAGTCCCAAAAAATATGGCCCAGTGAATCTGGTACTCCCTGATTACAGGCACACAGACGGGCTTGGTAAAAATTTGCAAGTATGTACCTGTGGTCGCTTCGGAGGGGTGGAAAAAAAGAAAACGAAAAAAGCATCCCTTTCTTGCTAAGAGTATTTATGACGGTTCACTCCAAGTACAGGAAGATTAAACATCTACAAACCATCCAGCAGAGCATAGAGTTTAATTTTGCATCTTAAATGTTTGAATTTGACCAAAGTTCATACAGGGCTTATGTTGTCAATTTAGTGACTTCTTGGTCCATTTTCTGATTAGATGCCAGATCTTGTTTAAATATAAAGTGTTCCAGGTTGAATAAACATGACTCTACCAGCATTTGCTGATGGCCCCAGTAAGTTTTTCTCTGAGCTCTCCAGTTGCTCTAACCGGTTTAAGCCCCAAATAAAAAAAGATACGGCTGCTGGAACACTCTGAATTAGTCTGCTGAGAAACAAATCTTCACGGGGCAATACTGGTTTCAGACACACTGCGTTTTATAGATTGTATGCTTAGACCTTAAGACTATTAGCACAATCAGGGCTGGCCTTTGTCATTTTCACACCAGAAGAAAAAAGGTCAGGTGGTAAATGCACACTTATCAGAACTTACGTCTTTTGCTTCTTTTTTCTTTCGATGACACACAAAGATAAAGGAGGAAAAATGGCATCTCTTTGAGCAGGCCAGGCCCAAGACATTCTGCTGCCTGAGGCAAATAATAGGAGGATGCCACTGTCCCATTGCACATACAGAAGCTGACTGGGCTTGACAGCTGATTCCAGGGCTGGTCTTCCCATTTGCAAACAGAGACTATTTACTCAGGTAAGCTATGGTTTTCCCAGTAGTGATGTATGGAAGTGAGAGCTGGACCATAAAGAAGGCTGATTGCCAAAGAATTGATGCTTTTGAATTATGGTGCTGGAGGAGACTCTTGAGAGTCCCATGGACTGCAAGAAGATCAAACCTCTCCATTTTTAAGGAAATCAGCCCTGAGTGCTCACTGGAAGGACAGATCGTGAAGCTGAGGCTCCAATACTTTGGCCACCTCATGAGAAGAGAAGACTCCCTGGAAAAAGCCCTGATGTTGGGAAAGACTGAGGGCACAAGGAGAAGGGGACGACAGAGGACGAGATGGTTGGATAGTGTTCTCGAAGCTACCAGCATGAGTTTGACCAAACTGCGGGAGGCAGTGGAAGACAGAAGTGCCTGGCGTGCTCTGGTCCATGGGGTCACAAAGAGTTGCACACGACTAAACAACTAAACAACAACAACAAATGGGGTGCTGAATTTGCCTCTTGTAGATCCTGGCTTGTTTGCCTTCCTGATCTGGTGATCTCTTGTGGGGCTATCCAGAATGCCCACCCAATCCTTCAGCCTGAAGGGGGTTCTTCCTCAGAGAGAGGCATTCTGGGTCAGATGGCCCAGGAGAGTGTGCAGCACTGCCACATTTTAAAAATCATCACAGTTCTCAAAGTAACTTTAAACTACATTTAAAAGAGAACTTCTAAGTACTGAAGAAAAGCGATGGTCTAGCCTCTTTACTCAGAATTCTGTGCTCTGAGGAAACGCCCTCTTCCTCAAGAGACAGGTGGTAAAATCGCCAGAACCGCCGCTGCATTAGCTGCAGTCTTTAAAAAAATAAACAAGGCAGGGAGTGGAAGAGCGGCAGTGGGCAAAAGAGGGAGAGGGACAACAGTGGCAGAACTATCAACTTTTTGCCTCATTCCCCCCCCCACTCTGTGCAACAAGGCAGTGTGCAGCCCACCCACTGGTTCTATGTCAAAGTACTCTTGCTGCCCACTTGGTATGAAAAGTTGGACCACCTTGTTCTAGAGCCAAGGCACCAAACATGGTGCCCTCTAGATGTTATTAGGCTCCAATTCCCATCAGACCCAGCCAGTATGGCAAATGGGCAGGGATGATGGGAGTTGTGGTCCAGCAACATCTGGAGGGCGCCATGTTGGCAACCCTTGCTCCAGAGGATGGCAACCAGAAATCACCAAGAACCTGCTGAATTAACTGCTGAACTTTTATTCAAAAGTCTGTCCAAGCGTACTGGAAATTAATACCAAGTTACCTAATTTACTCCTAATTACTTCCAGAGTTCTGCCTGGTATTTTGCTTGTTCCCCTCATCGGACTGCACCACAGATACAAATGAATTTAGAAGGTGATCTTTTGAGTTTTATGGAGAAGGAGGTGTTTAATAGAATTTCATATGGCAGCCTTGAAAAACCCTTCTCAGAAAGCTAGTGATGCTACAATTAGTATCACTACAGCTTAACAAACCAAGTAATCCAATTACTAGGCTTGACTTTGCTCTGGTACAAACTGTGCTGCTGGCAAATAATCCCAAGATTATGAGCAATAATGAAGATATTGTTACACCGACCCGCCTTCTCAATCCACTTCTCACACTCACTGTGGTGACATGTCCCTGGGCACAAGATATGTCCAGATTTGGTTCCCTTTGCAGGGAGATCACTGGAGGCTTATTGGCATTTTGTAATATATATATATTTGTGTGTGTGTTTATCTCTCAAAGGAGTCAAGGGAGGCAAACAACAAGGGGAAAAAATAGTAAAAGCTTATTTAAAACAATTCTAATACAGATGCAGACTAGGAAAGATATAAACTTAAAAGGCTTGTTGGAAGAGGAAAGTCTTCAGCAGGCACCAAAACATCAACAGAGACAGCACCTGTCTATTTTCAAGGGGAGGGAATTCCAATGCATGACTGCCATAACACTAAAGGCTCAAATCCTACATTGTGTGGAACAGACTTTCTGATAAGATGGTATTTGCAAGAGGCTCATGCCTGCAGAGTGAGGTGATCAACTGGGTAAACAAGGCATGAGATGAACTTTCAGGTATCCTGGTCCCAAGGTGCAGAGGGCTTTATAAGCCAAAACCAGCACCTTGAACTTAGACTGGTAGCCAAATGACAGCCAGTGCAATTCTTTCAAGGCTCAAGTAACAAGTTGGCGATGATCCAGCACCAGTGAGCAGCTGAGCCACCACATTTTGCATCAGCTGCATGCAGACAGACCAAACTCAAGGGCAGTCCCACATAGAACACAGTGCAGTAATTCAACCTGGAGATTACTTAAAAATATACCTAGGACCAGTGTTCCTATATCAGATCAGATGCTTAAAGGTAAAGGGACCCCTGACCATTAGGTCCAGTCGTGACCAACTCTGGGGTTGCAGCGCTCATCTCGCTTTATTGGCCGAGGGAGCCAGCGTACTAAGCCGCTTCTGGTGAACCAGAGCAGTGCACGGAAACGCCGTTTACCTTCCCGCCGGAGTGGTACCTATTTATCTACTTGCACTTTGACGTGCTTTCAAACTGCTAGGTTAGCAGGAGCAGGGACTGAGCAACGGGAGCTCACCCCATTGCGGGGATTCGAACCGCCAACCTTCTGATCAGCAAGTCCTAGACTCTGTGGTTTAACCCACAGTGCCACCCGCGTCAGATCAGATGCTTACAGAGCCCAAACTCAGCTCTTTGTCTGTTTTTATTTTATTCACAGATACCCAGATGACAACATCCCCATGGGTAGGGAAGGGGACAATATATATGTTGTATACAGTCACTGACTCACACTTGCACACATGAAAAGGTTAACCTGAGCTCAGGTTGCCAGTGGGTGTGGCTTAGCATGCTCTGCCCCTTTTCCTTCTCTTCATGCTTCTTGGAACAAGCAAGGAGCCATGTGGCTATGGCTCCCAACTACTGTACAAGAAAAACTAAGTGAACTCAATCTTTCCCAAAGGGAGGTGTTAAAGCCTGGATCTTTGCTAGTCTGATTACATGTTCTTTTTTTGTAAGGAAACAAAGTTATTTTCTTTATAAACCATTTGGAAACTTTTTTTCATTTTTGTTTTACTGCCAGGGGATAGACACTTGTCTGATGTAGCTTCTGGAAACTCTGTGAATAAAACATAAACTTATTTGCAATGCTAAGTATCTGTGATTTATTCTAACCTAAGAATTTTTGTGAGGAACATTTATTCAAAGGTGGATGGTGGCAGATGTAAATCTAACCAAGTTTTAATGTGCTTGGAGATCACAATTATGTTTAGAAGAGAGAGTAAGAATCTCACTGCAGATATTTCAGGTATTGAGAGCCAGTGTGGTATAGTGGTTAAGAGCAGTGGACTTGTAATCTGGTGAACCAGGTTCGCTTCCCCGCTCCTCCACATGCAGCTGCTGGGTGACCTTGGGCCAGTCACACTTCTCTGAAGTCTCTCAGCCCCACTCACCCCACAGAGTGTTTGTTATGGGGGAGGAAGGGAAAGGAGATTGTTAGCCGTTTTGAGACTCCTTCAGGTAGTGAAAAAGCGGGATATCAAATCCAAACTCTAACTCTATTTCCTAATCATTCAGAAGGAGAGCTAATGAGAACAAAAGGAAGGTATTTGGCAACTTTGTCAGGGCTACGAAAGCAGTCTTCAGTAGTGCCCTGACAATTTACCCTCTCCTGTCCAGTTCCAGTCTTAAGCAATATGAAAAGTTGTTTGGAACAGTGAAGACTTAGTGCAGGAAAATAGTACCAGGAAAATAAACAAACAAATGCTAATAACCCTTTTAGAATATTTTTGAGACTGTGCAAAGAGGCATGCCAGATGCTCAGTAACACAACATATCCAATCTTTATATCAAGAGATATGCAGGTGGGATACAAGCTCATCTATTGCAATATTAAAATAGAGTCAACATGTGTGTCCTGTGCAGGGAAGGCTCAAAGCACTTAGCCCATGAAGGAATAAATCATTTCTTGTAATCATTTCTGTAACTCCTGATTCATTGCCTCAGTGAGACAGCTTGTTTGTAAAAAGCTTTCAAGGTGAAATGGGATAAGTATCTTTAATATGCATAATAACTCCACAGTTATCAAGAAAATGCACTTGTACAAAACAGGAACCTCCTGGGCAAGGGAAGATAAATAAAATACTGACAGCAGAAGATGAAACAGAAGATGAAACACGAATACAAAGTAGCATACTAAATAGCAGTGTATTAATCTTCAAATGTCAGATGCAGAATAGTCAATACCTAAAAAGTAAAGGTAATCTAAGCTGATAAATGTTGGCGCTGCAATGCACTCAAATATAAATATACAATAAACATGTTTTTTTTATAAAAAAACTGTAATTCTTCTGCCAACAGCTATGGCAGAAATAGGAGCCAGTACTGCATCAGTTTTTGCCCTGGTTCCCATCCAGAAACCAGGGAGTCTAGATTATGCTAACTGGATGAAGGCAAACTCTGGTGCCATAGTACAATGCATGCACTATGCATTGATGCAGAATTTGGTATTTATTCTGGGGCAAAGGTAAAGAGCAATTGGCATTTGGGTGGTGGTGGGACATTTAATTCTCTGTGTGTGTGTTTTAAGAAAGAGCATTCAATCATTTAAGTCCCCCACCAGCAGACTGAAATTGCACAACCCCAACAGCTCAGTTAGAACTAATCCATATTTGAGGCTGAAATGAGGCCAAAAACAGTCATAAGAGAACCCCTCCCTGCGCGCGCCTATCAGGAACCGGATCCTAGCCTGCACCCTGCTTTGGCAAATGGGGATGAGGGCTGGGACTTAGGCTGTGCCAGGGGGTGGAGCCAATGGTGGGCTTCCCTCAGATCCGCCCCTTGCCCATTATATGGGTTGGGGTATGGGGAGCCTGACACCTGGTCCTGCAAGGTGATACATATAATTGGTCATGTTGCAAAATTAGTACTTTAGCATCACACTTATTCAGATTAGAGAGTTTTAAGACCACCATGCTTAACCTGGGCTGTATCATGTCCAGCATTTCTTAAAAACCTAAAAAAGTAGGGCATGAAGAAGGAATGTTTTTTGAAGCTATCAAAATACATTTTGTGTAAAGATGATAGTATATCTATGGGACCACAGTCTCTTCTCAGAAATACATTACATTTTTCTTTGACATTAGTGATGGGCCTCCCACCGACTTACCAATGGGTAGGTTCCAGCGCATTATTGACTCTCTTAATTCCCACTCACTGATCTGAAACTACTACAATTTCTAGAACAATTATGATTGTTTAAACAAGTAAGATTAAAATCAGCCCTGATGGATCAGACCAAAAGTCTAAATAGGAACAGCTTTCTGTTTTCCACAGTGGTCAACCAGATGCCTATGGGAAGCCCACAAGAAGGCCACACAGACAATAGCTGTCCCCCCCATTATTCTTCCCAAGCAACTTGTATTCAGGGAGGTATGCTCCTTCTGATTGTGGAGACAGAATATAGCCATAACAACCAGTACTTGTTGGTAGCATTATTCTCTTTTAATTTGTAATTTTTCATCTACCAACAAAGTTGCATAAATAGCATTCATGTGCTGATCTTCCTAGCATGGTTTATTACTTTTGCTCCATCACCTGACTCAAGCTCCAGAACCAGCCACTCACAAGAACATCTGAATACTTACCGCCAACATGGAAGAAGGCATCACTGTTAGTATAAGCAGTAGGAACGCAAATGTCATCATGTCCTGTGGGGGTGAAAACAGAGTTACTCATCAGAAATGACCAAATTTGTGTTAGCTAAATTGTTTTGTTCAGACCAGTGTCAGCTCTAAGTTACTGGGGGAGAAGGGACAGAAAGTCCCTAGCAGGACCTCATCACTGTCAACATTGGTTCTTCATCTGTACTCTTCCTCTGAGGTCAGTATGCATGGCTACCAAGGAGAGGGCAAGACAAACTGAGGTTGTTGCCAGGAATGCCTCACCTGGGAGGGTGGAGCCACAGCAATAGCCTCCTGGCAGCAGAGTAACTGCCACTTACCAGGAAGGGATGACAAGGGTGGTGCTGTGTAGACATACCAGCAGAGCAAATCTAGTGCTCCCACTCCTGTTTCTGCTCACATGCTTGAAAAACTCAGGTGAACAGCCAAGGACAGTAAGGAGGAGGAACAGCAGATAGACTGAGGGGCTCCAGTGCGGCCCTCACTAGGGTATAGGCCTTGGCACATGTCCTGGTTTTTACCTCACATTTCAATAAAACATTTTTCAAAGCATCTTGCAGCATGTGATTAAAACAGCAAAACACTCTTCAAGCCAGCTCCTCGAGAACTACCAAAAACTCAGTAAAAATCATTAAAGGCATGAGGAGGAAGAGAAAACCATTTTACCAAGCAACCAAAGGTCATCAAGTGGACACCAGGCAAACTGATAAGGGGAGAATGTTCCATAGCTAAAACACCACCAAAAAGGCTCTTTTCTCACGAGAGACCATTTTTTAAAAGAAAAACAGCATAATAATCATTTACTTTATTTAATACTTTGAGATCTCTCCTTTCCTCTAAGGCGCTCAAGTGTACATATTTCCTCTTCTTCTCCTCCATTTTAACCCTGTGAGATCGGTTAGGCTGAGAATGAGCAACTTGAACCCTGGTCCCCCAGGTCGTGGTATACCTGAAGGAGCGTCTCCACCCCCATCGTTCTGCCCGGACACTGAGGTCCAGCTCCGAGGGCCTTCTGGCGGTTCCCTCACTGCGAGATGTGAGGTTACAGGGAACCAAGCAGAAGGCCTTCTCGGTGGTGGCGCCCACCCTGTGGAACGCCCTTCCATCAGATGCCAAGGAAATAAACAACTATCTGACTTTTAGAAGACATCTGAAGGCAGCCCTGTTTAGGGAAGTCTTTAATGTTTGATGTTTTATTCTGTTTTTAATCTGTTGGGAGCTGCCCAGAGTGGCTGGGGAAACCCAGCCAAATGGGCGGGGTATAAATAATAATAAATTATTATTATTATTATTATTATTATTATTATTATTATTATTATTACAACACTCTAGCCACCACACCACACTGGCTCTTACAGAGTGGCATCTGTCCAAGTCATGCTCAGAACAAGCACATTGAAATCAATGGATGTGATTTACTTAGGTTCGTTGATTTAAGTGGGTCTGCTGTGAATATGACTTACTCAGATACAACTCAGATAAGAACAGCAGTACAGAATTATCACACCACAAATAACAAATGGGATAATTGCAATGCTTGGACTTCCCTTTCTGGGGGAAAATGCAGCAAAATCAACAACATCATAAATTACAAATCCATTTAGTAAAGATGCCTCCATTCATTTAGGAAATCTACATGTCTGAGAGGTGCAAAAAGATGACACGAGGGGAAAAGATAGATTGGAACTGCCTGTTCGTTACCTCTTGGCAGACCAGGACATTTAATTGATGAAAGAGATGTTAGAGATAAACAGATCACTGAGCAGAAGAGAGATCTGTATTTAAAATACACTGTGCTGGAACAGCAGGCCACGGTCCGGTAGCTGCTGCTGCACTGGAGCGCCACAGGTAAGGCGCTGCTCAGTGCGCAGAGGAGGCGAGGCAAGTGGCACGTGGAGTGCCGCCTTATCTCTGGAGCTCTGGTGCAGCAGTGGCCACTGGACTGGGGCCTGCACCACTGGGAGCCATGGGTAGGAGCTGAGTGTAGGATGGGGACCAAAGGTGGGCAAATTATCCCAGAAGGAGCACAACGTGTCCCTCACCAAAGGTACTACCCCTTCTCTAGCATCCCACGACAATTGTAATAAAAATATATCCCCCATATTCACATGAAGCTATACTAAGTTGGTCCACTTCCCCATCTAGCTCAGTATTGTCGACAAGGACTGACAGTGGTTTCCCAGGGTTTCAGATGTGGGCCTGTCTCAGTCCTACCTGGAGATGAACCCAGGACTTTCACCGGGCAAAACATGTGGCTGTAGCATGGAGTTACAACCCTTCTTCCTATGTCAACTCTGAACTGTGAAGAAACAGTGATTCATGAAGGTGCCAAGGTAGTGAGGATGTAGGCTGAATCATCCTGGAATTCCTTGTGAAGCCAGGTGCTTGTCTCTCAAGATAACGAGCCAGAGGAAATTCTAGATCTTGGTTATAACACATTTTGGAAAACCCTGCCTTTAATTAATGAAGAGAAGAGTATCTCAACATGACGGTATGCTTTGAGTTTATAATCTATTTATGTTAATATCAGCCTCCTTGATGCTGAATGTTAAGGCTTCAAGTAAGCAGAGATGTCAGATAGTATTTTTAAAAATGTCATCAAGACTGCAACTCCGGTGGCAGGACAGCTATCAAGCCAGGAATTAAAGTGTACAGAGAGCTGAAAACTAGGTCTTCCCTGATGCAGCATCTGTCTCTGGGATATTCTCAGAGTCGCTCCCCAGTTGGGAGATTTCACAGCTGCTGCAAAACGTCCTTGGTTATTTGGCACTAAGTCACCTCTTGCATCTGGACAGAGGTGCATGTGAATAGGGTGGTGGTGGTGGTAATAGAGGAAACAATCTAATTTTCTCATGCCGCACTATAGCGCAGCAGATCATTATATAACATTTTATAATCCACAAAGCATGAACTGTGGCAGTGGATCAATGCATAAATATTGTTCTCTGTCACTTAATTTTCACATGGTAAAGAAGTGCTATAATCCATTTCTGCTGAGCCCCTGCGGTTGTAAAATCCTTGGGTGAATAAGGACTTTTTTTTTGCTTATACAATTCTGGAAGGAATTGTGTGCACTCATGGTGTTTATTATTTATTAATGAAAATTATGTATTGGACCCAAATAGCCATTTCTGGACCTGCACAGAATAGCTCCTTCATATCTACCTTTCTACTGCAGCCTCTTGCACACAGACATACACATCTCTGAACAGCTGCTCCTGGAGGTCAGGTGATCCTCCAAAACAGGATACAAGACAGTGCCAAGGATGGAGGTCAGTAAGAACAATCATAAACCTCTGACCCTGGAAGCTGGACCAATATCCACTCATGTACATGGTGCTTGGATCCTGGCTTCCTTTGGCACTTCTTCCATAATTCCATATTAGCTACTCAATGAGGCCCTGGAGGGATAAATATCTCCCCCCACACAACAGAAGGGTTGGCCCTGCTTCCCAACTATTTTGGATTTTCAGATATAGTAAGGAGATTCCAAGCAAAGCATATTTCTAATATGTGTGGTGGATTTCCTACCAGTAGTTAGAGTAGGGGGAGAGAATCTTTTTTGGCTTCCTGTGGGTAAATTTTGACACTCTCAAAAACCCTTGTGTGGGATTTCACCTGGCTGTCAGGTGCCTGGGAACCACAGCACAAGGGCCATTCCTAGCCCTACGCTTTCGAAAGTGGTGAGCGTAGGACTGACAAAGCATTTCTTTCTCCACTCCACACCAGCTGATTGGGGAGCGAGGAGGAAGGCTGTATTTTGCAACTGCAAAAGGAACGTGAAGTGTCAGACCTAGGACCAGGGTCCAAATCTTCACTCAGTCGAGATGCTCAATGGATGATCTTGGGCCACTCAATGTCTCTCAGCATAGCCTACTTCACAGGTAAAATTGGGGAAGGGGGAGAGAACCATGTTCACAGCATTTAGCTCTGTGGAGCAAGGGTAGGATATATGTACACTTAAGCAAGTGTTTCACAGAAGAACATCAGCCTATAAGATTATGTTAGCTTTAACTCTACAGAGATAATGGTAATAGTGAGGAAAAGAAGTACTTCAGTCTGTATACTTGCAAGTCCAGACACTATTCCCCCAGCCATTAACACATACAGTTTCAGGGGTGTGTGCATTTGTGTGATCTCTCTTGGCACTGCAGCACATGAAAGAAAGCACGTGAGGGACTGACTGTGTGATCAGAACAAAATAACTGTGTTGTTGGAAATAAAACCTGTTTTTCCCTGCAAGTAATAATTACTGTCTTTTCACCACAGCATTAACAAAACTGGGATTCATTTCTCTTTGGAATTCATGCAGAAAGAAACAAACAAGCAGTGGCAGTATTCTTCCATACAAGGTAATTTTTCTCTGCACGGAGAATGTGTTTTTTTGAACAAGTTAGCAGACATAAACATAAATGGGTGTGTTCACATACAATAATAACTGTGAAGTTAAAGCTTCAGTGTATATCTTCCTATATACATATAAAGTGAGGTTGTCATCACACAGCCTCCATTGGGAGGATTTGAAGTGCCTCATCACAATCCTGGATTTGCACAAAGTCAGGGTAGGGTAAGGGAGCAAAAAGTGAAGGCAGGTTGCACAACAGTAGCCATGGCATGCAAGCAAGAAGGGGAAGGCACGAGGGGGGGGGAGGAGTGGTGTTCCCTCTTACCATATCCATCAACTGAGTTGTAGCTAACAGACTTGTTCTTAAGACTCTATCCACCTTGAAAGATATATCAGCATAGGGTGTTTGCACAAAGGGGGCTACACAATAGGAGAGAGAGAGAGTGGTATGGAAATGGGGTGATCTGTGTGCAAGGCAGAGTTGAGAAAAGTAACAAGGTGGCCGGAGGAAAAAATGGGAGTGAAGGTGAAAATGGGGGTACAAAGGCGGAGTAGGAGGCATGGACATGGCATTGCAAATGAAAGCAGGGGCATGAAAGGGTCTGAAGAAAATGAGTGGATGGTGGCTTTATAACTGGGCAGAAGCTGGAAAAAGTTCTTAGTACAGTAGTTGCAGTGTGTGGGAGGGAAAATGCAAGAGATTACCAGGGGGGTGGTCTGTGCAAGGGGAGGGCTTTCACAAAAGGAGGGGAAGCAGGAAGCATGGGTATGGGGGAGAAGGGGAAAACAAGGGTGCAAAGTGGGGCTGCAGAATAGAAGACAGAAGCGGTTTCAGAAATGGGATTCAGAAGACAGTGGCGGAGCTCCCCGGGGGCCGATCTCAGGACGGCAATCCTCCCCAGGGGGTGCCGAATGTCACCCCCTTTCAGGCTGATGAGGGGTGACATTTGGTGCGCCCGCCGTGACTCCCAAGCCTACAGCGAGCCGGGGGGAGGGAGGGAGCTGCAGCAGCTGCTTCACCTCTTGCCACTTTGCCGCTCATTGGGCTTGGGGGAGTCGTGGGCGGGGTGTGTGTGTGAGCCGAATGTCACCCCCCTTCAGGATGACACCCGGGGCAGACTGCACCCCCCTGCACCCCCCCTTCCTGCACCCCTGTCAGAAGGTGAAAAGGGAGCTTAGTAGTTGCATGGGGTGGGAAGGGGAAGCGCTAGGGGGTTAATATGGGGGGAATGGCAGGGGGATTGGTACATGATCTCCTTTCATGATATTCCTTTAATGTAGAACTATTTGATGTTCAAACACTTGTAGCACAAGTGAATAATCAGGATCATGGCAGCTTGCTCCATCCCTAACATCCACATAATGTACGGGATATTAGATTTCCCTGGGAGCCTGTCTATGCAGATCCCAACTGATTTATGCTCCAACCTCAGAATCTATTCACTCCATTTTGTGGTGTACAGATTGTACTGGCTGGGACCTACAGGCATGCACACACTCCCACACATGCAAGCCCCTATGGAAACTTGATGTGCAACACAGGGACATCAAGGGTGTGGCAAGTCAATGCTGTACTGTACTAACTTCATCTCTGTGTATTGGAGTGTACATGCAGTTACGGCTGTTCACTTGAAGAACGGTAAATGTCTCCACAGATGTCAGGCACCTGATTGACAAGGGTCTAGCTGCAAGGGGGTGCACTGTCTGGCCAATGCACAACCCCCTCTCCCAGCCACCAAAAATATATATAGAGTATTTTGAGCAGGAGATGCCACAGAATAAACATGGGATCTTTCTCGTGTTGAGTGCATGCTCTGAAAGCCTTAGGATGATCCCTCCCTGAAGAAGCTCCCACTAACACTAACCCAGCACTGCCTCTTCATTCTGGAGAAAAGCTACACCTGTTGAATTTCTACCTCTCTCTGGCAGCTGTTAAATAAATACAACCATTTTCTAATAGTCATTAGAATCTGATTAATACCCTGGAATTTTTGATCTGTTCTTAAAAGGAGGCTGTCCCAACAAGTCTGTTGGTTTTTGTGTGGAGAAAACCGCATAAGAAATGCCTTGATCCTGCAAACCTTTCCCCAGACAAAGTATTTTTTAAAAAAAGAAAGAAAAAGAAAGAAATTCCCATTAAATCCTGCCTACAGGATCAAGCAAGTATTTGAAACAGCTCCAGAAAATCTGTGGAATTGTTCACACAACCATTTTAGCATGTAGCAACATGATTGTTTAATCAGCCAATGCCAATTGTATAATGCCACCCACTGCTGTCCACCTTGTGCTGAGCTTAGCTTATTTCACCATTGGCACTGAAGCATAACTGCACATTTTCATGGGACTGCAGTCTGGCTCACAGACAGCCACTGTTGCTTTTCGAAGCAGCCAAGCATATACACAGAAGTGATAGTTAAACAGAGGCATGTGTAGAAACCAATGGATTTTGTGGTACCATAGTTCCAAAACTTGGAACTTACTTTCTGACATATAAATAAAAGCACCCTTATCACCTTTCCTGCACATGCAGAATCTGTTAAATGTATACACGGCCTTCTCAGCTCAAAACTGATAAGATTATCCAAAGGCAGACAATCCAAGTATATATGAAGCTCAAATTCTACCTGCCTCCCACATGGGAATGTCATCTTAGCTATTTGATAATATTTGAATTACTGAAGCTATGGGTGGATTAACTTTAATTTAATACGTGAGGCTGCTTTCTTACTGCCAGGAAATCTGATGTTTATAATAACAAGGCTCACATTAAGTCATTTCTTCCCTGTCACTTTTACAAAACTTTTTATTATTCCGATAAAAAAGCCCAAAAGCCAGACACTATGTGGACAACGAGAGGCACAAAGAGCCAAACAGTCAGTAATCCAAAACGAAGACTTACCTGTGGCTGTGCTTGTCTGCTCACAGATGACTGCAAGAGGCAGCAGTGCTACCTTAGATCACCACCACTCAAGTCCTCAGTCTTCCAGCTCAATCAGTGGCTCTTTAACACCACCTCTCTCCTCTAGCTTCTGTTTGGTTACTAATCCTTTACTGCACAGGAAAAGGAGAGTTGGGTTTCATTTAACCCCTTCCGCTGCAAAAGTTCCTCCACAGCTTTCCTGTTTTGCTTTCAGAAGCTGAAGTTGTAACCATGCACACATGGAAGGGACAGGCTTTGAATGATCTCCAGCTCTTTAACCTGAGTGTCTTTGAACAAAAAAACAACAACACGCAATCTGTCGTTGGCTGCACAAGTCATTTCCAGGGCGGGGCCTTTCTCAGCTAAGTTTTTATTTTAGCCACAGGCAGCACATCAAAAGACAAGAGAGAGAGATTATTGGAACGGTCTATAATTGCAGCTGTTGTTTCTCATTTCCATTAAAGTCCTGGAGTTTAAACAGTGAGATTTTGCAAATCGCATTTCCTTTGCAACCTGAAAACAGGCCTACACCAAAGTCCACCTTTGAACTTTTCCTCTCCTGCCCTTTGAAGCCAGGAACATCAATCCCAAATCTTGTGCAGGGCTGGATCCATCTTCACAATGCAGTGATTCAAAGTCTTAGGACTTGTACATCTCAGAAGTCTGGAAAAAATGCAGAAGCACCAAGATACAAATCTCTGCTTGAAGAATCTGTTCCTACTTTAATCTTCATTTGACAATAAGAATCCTCAGGAAAAGCCAACTGGAAAATAACTACGGCATTGAGCTGTGCACACACACAAAAAAAGCTGGTGGGAGGAATGCTTGCTTTTTCCTCCCCTTTTTTGCAGTCCTGTCTCTAAAGATCCCCTGGTAAACACCATTGGAATCAGGCAGGATCTTTTTAAGAGGAATTGAGGAAATTTACTCAGAGCAGAAAGCAAAATTAATTGTGAACAACACCTTAACAGACTCATTTGACATTACAAAGGGTACCAGACAAGGCTGCCCACTATCTCCGCTGCTTTTTATCAGTGTATTAGAAGTACTAATAAATTGCCTAAGAGGAAGAACAGAGATAAAAGGGGTCAAAATAGGCGCCAAAGAATTCAAACTTAAGGCCTACACGGATGACTTGGTATTAACCTTAGAAGAACCTCAAGAAAGTGTAAAAATAGCATTGGAAGAAATGGGAAAATTTGGGCAACTGGCAGGATTTAAATTGAATAAGACAAAGACGAAAATGTTAGGCAAAAATTTAGAAGAAAGTGAAGTAGAAAGAAACTGAAATCAAGGTGGTCAAAAAAGTTAAATATTTGGGAATTTGGATGTCGGCAAAGAACATAAACTTATTCAGTGACAATTACCAACCAGTCTGGAAGGAGATTAAAAGAGATTTAGAAATATGGGACAGACTAAAGCTGTCAATGACTGGAAGAATGTCAGCGATCAAAATGAACTTATTACCGAAAATGGTATTTTTGTTCCAGACAATCCCGATAATAAGAGGTTTAAGACAATTTAAAGAGTGGCAAAAGACTCTCTCGCGTTTTATATGGCAAGGGAGAAGACCAAGGATCAATTTTTTTAAAAAAAAAATAAAGCTAGGACCCACAGTGATTTGATGGGTTATGTCCTATAGGCCCATCTGAAGCATAACCCTGGTTGCACAGGTTTTTTTGAGTATTTATTTTTTATTTCTGGAATTTCTGTGTTGCTTTTCAAAATAAAGTTTTCCTAAGGCAGCTGATAATATGTGAAAAAAATAAAATAAAATAATCTGACTTTCTTTTTAAAAAATTAAAGGCTAAAAGAACAACACAGTATCCTAACAAAGAAATGATAATATCAAACTTTTTCATCTCTCGGCATTTGTCCACTCTGAAATATAACTGAAATACTATTGATTAGCTCAAAAACCAATACATTATTTACTAGCAATATACAAATCTGAGGTTGTCAGCCAGCTACAAAATTAAACAGCCCAGCATGTTCTTGTGTCTTTAATGCCAGCTTGATCTGCAAAATCAGCAAGTGAAGTTGTTCCTTGCATTGAGATGTTTGCAGATGATGAAGCTGCTGCTGTTCAAGGTACAGCAGGGGGCAGTAAAGAAGTTGCCTTGTAATGCTTTAAATAGCCAAGTCAAACCTGCTGCTTTTCATCAGTACAGTGGTACCTCTGGTTACAGACACTTCAGGTTACAGACTACACTAACCCAGAAAGAGTACCTCCGGTTAGGAACTTTGCTGCAGGATGAGAACAGAAATCGTGCAGTGGTGGCGTGGCGGCAGCGGGAGGCCCCATTAGCTAAAGTGGTACCTCAGGTTAAGAACAGTTTCAGGTTAAGAACGGACCTCCAGAACAAATTAAGTTCTTAACCTGAGGTACCACTGTATTAAATAAATTGACACACCTAGACCTCATATGAGTTCAAGGGTCCTCTTTGTGTGTTCTAACCTTCCTAGATATAAATGCACAGCAGTGGTAGTGGCTACCTGATGTGTGCATGTAAAACGTTGTTTGCCTATAAGGAGCTTAAATTTCTGAACACTAACAAGACCGAAAAGAAAAAATGCCAAGGACCTTTTAAGGAAAGCCCACTGTATGCCTCCCTTCTGTAACCAATTACAGTGGTACCTCGGGTTTCAGATGCTTCATGTTACAGACGCTTCAGGTTACAGATTCCGCTAACCCAGAAATAGTACCTCGGGTTAAGAACTTTGCTTCAGGATGAGAACAGAAATCGCGCGGCGGCAGTGGGAGGCCCCATTAGCTAAAGTGGTGCTTCAGGTTAAGTTCTTAACCCGAGGTACCACTGTACTGAAATACAAATTCTAGGTAAGGACTCATCCACACTTAGTTTTTGCCCTGTACTTTCTAGGCACAGATCTGAGCTTTTCTGGAAAACGGCAATTTGGGTTTTTCATGGATTGCCAAGAGCATTAAAGAGCGACTTTTCACAGCAAAATCATTTGGTGGGTGGGTGGGGATCAGTGTGTATGAGCCCTAAAACTCTGGTTCTATTTCATTAAGAATAACCCTGACAAAACCTGTTCCTCTTCACCCATAAGTTTCCTTTTGATAGCAGCCTCTTCAGAGATGCTAGATGATTAAGCTATTTGGGAAGTTTGGGGCATCAGATAATGTGACTATCCAAGCTGGGATCCAGCCAAGACGCATAGGGGGAAAAACCAGCTGTGCCTACTGCTCTGTTGGCCACAGCTTAAGGGCAACATCTTGCTCAGTTGAGGAGTAGTCCCTTGGGACGTATGAAATGTCAGCCCAAAATGAAGACTTTGAACTTCTTAAAAAGATTTCAACAAAGGTTTTGTTACTGTGTTTTATCCTGTATCCAGATGGGCTAGTATGATAGGGAAAGGTTATTCTTGTGAGGTTTTGGCTTAGCAATGGATCATTCAGTACCAGGAAACAGGTTCTCTGTGCTTCAAAAGACCACCAAACTGCAGCGCTTGAAGGCCAAAGAAAAAAGAAGAAGAAGCAAACAAACAAGCAAGAACTACCTTCCTCTAAAAATAATTCGAGCCTCTTAAAATAATAACCACAAGGTTTAAAAATAGGATGCTATTAAAAAAATGGGAGTAAGTACAATTGACTGCAGTGGGGCTTTCTTCTTCTGAGTGGACATGAGTAGGATTGCACTGTTATGCCTACTCAGAAGAAAGCCTCATTGAGTTCAATGGGCTCCTATTTAATTCCCCCCGCCCCCAAATCGTATGTTTGGGATTGCACTAAAATTGTACTTTCATATAAATTAGTCAGTTGTTAAATTTAAAAATCCCTTGCAGGTGGTGCTAAGTTTGGGGTAGGTGAGGAGAAATCCGAGAGTAATTCAGAGAAGAGGCACATTTAAAACATTTCAGAACAGCTCCCCTGGCTTAGTGTGTGTCCGTTTCATTTCACCTCTGTTCCCCACATGGCTGTGGCAAGAGCCCATGCTGTCTACCCTCATTATGCTGTTGATTGATCGAAAGCTGTCAGGGATCAAAAAGATTTCAGCTGAAGCAATCGCAAAACCCATCCAATCAGGTCAGAAAAGGGTTCATTATGTGGTACCACTGCAGTCTACGCCACTATGTTGCTGCTGGCAGGGAAGCACACACTGTGATGATCAGAGCACATCTTTCACCTAAGCACCTTGGTTCTTTTCTTTTCCCCAACCTCTTCCTGCCCATCTGCTCTTCAGAAGCAAGAAACTCCATCATCTCTCTTGTCCATTTAAGTTAAGAGAGCGGACATTTTCCTCATGCCTTTCTCCATTACTAGACACATTATATAATTGCCTGTCCCACAGTTAGGTCGGGTTCATTTTGAACCAACTGAGAACAATGCCTGCAATTAAATGGTATATGGTTCTCTTATTTAACAAGTTTACATTTTGCTGTTCCCCCAGGGTCCTTTAAAGATTCTGATGCATAGGCTCATTACATTTGTTCATAGATCTTCTGTAGTCCCCAGTTAGCTTTAAATGAGAATGATGTCCTTTATCAACTCAGATCAGAAACAAAGAACAAGTCTTGCAGTAAGGTTGAAGCAGGCATGCCTGTTATGCCTGTTGCTTACCTTAAACTCACTTTAATCACAAAACAGGCTGAAGTGGTTCACCATCCTAAAACACAAGCTTTAAAAGCAGTACCGGGTTTTGGATACCAAAGCAGCCCCAAAGCAAAATTTACTCAAGGAAGTATTTATCCCAACGTCCTTTTGTTCTGAGCTTTCCAGGCACAAGTTTGCGCTTTAAAGCTCCATTTCTGAGGTGTGTGTTGTTGTTGTTGTTGGGCACAGAGATTTAAAGTCCAGACCTGTGCAGTATCATACCCCTTTAAACAGTCGTGGCTTTCCCTCCAAGTATCCTGGGTGCTGTGGTTTGTTAAGCATGCTGAGAGCTGTTAGGATACCCCTATTCCTCTCACAGAAGTACAATCCTCCCTCCTGGGGGGAGGACTGACTGTTAAACCACTCTGGGAATTGTAATTAACCTGCCCAAGGCAGGGTATAAGTACAATCAAAATACAATAAACCGCCGTAAGATAATATCAAAACATAACAATTCATCAGGCTCCTTTCCACAGGACAGTTGGCGTTAGCTGTATGTGAGCACATCACCTTGCCAACAAGAGACATCACCTTGCCAACAAAGGTCCGTATAGTTAAAGCTATGGTTTTCCCAGTAGTGATGTATGGAAGTGAGAGCTGGACCATAAAGAAGGCTGATCGCCGAAGAATTGGTGCTTTTGAATTATGGTGCTGGAGGAGACTCTTGAGAGTCCCATGGACTGCAAGAAGATCAAACCTCTCCATTCTGAAGGAAATCACCCTGAGTGCTCACTGGAAGGACAGATCGTGAAGCTGAGGCTCCACTACTTTGGCCACCTCACGAGAAGAGAAGACTCCCTGGAAAAAGCCCTGATGTTGGGAAAGACTGAGGGCACAAGAAGAAGGGGACGACAGAGGACGAGATGGCTGGACAGTGTTCTCGAAGCTACCAACATGAGCTTGACCAAACTGCGGGAGACAGTGGAAGACAGGAGTGCCTGGTGTGCTCTGGTCCATGAGGTCAAGAAGAGTCGGACACGACTAAACGACTAAACAACAATATGTGAGCAAGGAAAGGAAGACATTCAGTTGCATCCCACATAGCAGGGGTTGGCAATGTGGCACTATGGCACCCTTGAGATCTTCCCCTGGCACCCGTAAACCCTCTGAGCCCTCTGATTCTTCTTCTTCTTCTTTGGTGATCACTCGTAGCCCAGTAAGATTGTGTTCCATAAACACGGTTTTAACAATGAGTCCGTAAGTGACTGTGGAGGCCAATTCTGGATCCACACGTCCTTCCACAGTGGGGACACTGGTTTCCGGGTGGGAGTTGATCACGGTGTGGATTTGCCAAGTGTGCCTTCCTCTTAGCACGTTTCTCCCTTGCGTCCTGAGTTCGAGTGTCTTCAAAGCCCATGACACCTTTGGTAAAGGCTGTTCTCCAACTGGAGCGCTTGCAGGCCAGTGTTTCCCAGTTGTCAGTGTTTATACTACATTTTTAAAGATTTGCCTTGAGACACTTTAAACCTCTTTTGTTGACCACCAGCATTACACTTTCCATTTTAAAGTTTGGAATAGAGTAGTTGCTTTGGAAGACAATCATCAGGCATCCGAACAACATGACCAGTCCAACGAAGTTGATGTTGAAGAATCATTACTTCAACACTGGTGATCTTTGCTTCTTCCAGTACACTGATATTAGTTCACCTGTCTTCCCAAGTGATGTGTAAAATATTTCAGAGACACCGTTGATGGAATCTTTCAAGGAGTGGGAGATGGCATTTATAAACGCCTCTGATTCACTGCCCCATTGGCCATGAGATGGTAAGGCTGGTTACTCCCCTGTCTTATCTTGTGCACAATAGGAGAAATTACCTGACTTGCTAAAAATATTGTAGGAAGAGGCAGAAATTCATCCTCTTCCCCACCATTAGAATTGTGGGTTCAAATGCATTACAAATTGAATCTGGCAGCTACAGTCACTACGGAGTCTAATTTGGAGCAAGTAATCTGAGAGCACAGAGGAATCTGAGCAGCCTCTCTTCATTACTCTGATAATAATTATTTATTCTTTCAGTTTGTTATAATGATTAACTATTAATAGGGGGGAATTGTATGCAGTCACAAATGTCCTGAAATTTACAATAGAGACCTTACACATTTGCTTTTCTTTATTCAGTGTTTATTGAAGCAGCAGTAGTAATAATGACAATAATATTTTTAAGTAGAAAAAAGATGATGAAAGCCGACGCGTTATAAGATTGCATTGAACTGAAAATATTCATAACATCAAAGCCTACAAACAAACCTGAGACTATTTGTTTGCCATTCTTCTGGATCTCAAATATCAACTACATTTTAAGTACAACTATAGCCCAATTAAACAAATTTCAACCAATTCATTGCATAAATCTAAGTTGATTGAACTATTGAGTTAAATCTGCATATGGGCAAAAACTTTACCTCCAAAGCAGGAAGCATATTCCCTTGGTTTTTAGATGATGCATACAGGTGTCTTAGCAGCAATTGCCTTAGAAGAGCAATTTCTCTTGTGTGTAAGAGAAGCAAGAATGACTCTTAAGATGCTGCTTGGCATCTGAAGTTTTTATAAGCACATGTATTTTTTTAAAAAAATAAGAGTGGTCACTGACAAAAGAGGGCAGGTCTTTTGTACCTTTAATAGTTGCAGCCCTGGGCTGTTCCATTCTTGGGGTTCTTTTCAGATAACACCTCTTAGAGTGTATCTAGAACAAATGTATATTTGCTAACTGCCATGGCTTTTCACAAAGGATCATGAGAAATATAATTTGGTGAGATGCTGGGCCTAACCACAAGGGATGGACTATTTGAATTACAACCACTATTAAACCAGTTTAACTGTGCAATTGTATGCATGGTTAGTCAGATATAAATCCCGCTAAAGTCAGTCTTGTTTGCTTATGATGAAATTTAGGGAGTAAAAGCCATTAGTGGGACTTACATCTGAACAAACGTGAAGGATTATGCTCCAAGACTCCAGTCTTAACTTCACTCACCTAGGAGTAAGCCTCACTCAATTATATTGGACTTACTTCTGAGTAGACATTTTCTCAGGCCTGTGCTGTAAGTCTCTGTAATGTAGATATGCACTTTAAGATTTTATTTTCAAAACTGTCCCCTCTATGTATTTTTAAAATAAAACTCATTATTGCTTCCTGCCAAGGTATATAATATTTGGCCCTGAAGATTCTAGTCACTATTTACACTATTTATATCACAACTAGACTCCTTACAAAGATGGAAGAAAATAAAATCAGCACTGACAGTTTTATAGCCTGCTAGGTATACCATACAAAGACAAGAGAGAGGGAGGGTATAAAGCTGTGCCCAGTAAGAGGGAGAAAAATAACTAAGAAATAAGACCGTATAGGAATATAAACCTCTTTTCCCTCCCCACCTTTGGAGTTCTGGATTTATGTGCAACACAAAATGAATCTGGCAGCTACAGGCCCAATCTAATTTAGACTAATTAACACATCAACCTTTGTCAGTGTTGCATAAAACGTGTGTCGCAAGTACAAAGAAAAATATATTTGTTGAGAAGCAGAATGAAAAAAGCACTAACTGGGGTGCCCATGATGTAGACATATCTCTGTTCACCCCCAGAGACTTCAGGTTGGGAAGGTTTTGCACCGTTTCGAAAACCTGAAAAAACTGTTTTGCAAGAGATGAGAGCAGGACATGTGTCCACAAAGGCAATTCCTGTTACCCTCTGAAAAACCTATCACCTGCTGTCTACAACCTTTGTCTCAGCTTAATGTTCTTCACAGCTACGGACAGGTTACCAAAGGCTCCCACACCTTTAGCAGGTGATGTGCAGAAGAGGGCATTGCAACCTTTCACCTCCTGTGGGACAAACTGCAGCTGCTGAAATGCTCTTCGCTTCACAGCTCCTGAAGATACAGGATGCCTCTGCTCTTCTCCTTTGCATCTCTTTTGCCTATTTTCAGTTGCCTCTCTTCTCAGTTGAGAATAAATGGAAGACTGCAAAACACCAGATTTTGTGTGTAATATATAGGCAGCAAAATGTTATTTAATTTAGTATTTTTATGGCCGAGGATGGGGAGAGGTGCTTGAGGGATGTTTTACCTCAGGTGCCAAAATAACTTTGCTGTCCTTGGATTCTAGTTATCATAACATTACTATTGTTGTTGTTATTTATTAAAATGATATACCAGCCTTCATTTGAGGATCACAATAACAGTTTAAAGTATAAAAACACAAAAATGCATAACATGGGGCACTATTTGATGCTCTGCCTCAGGCAGTAAAGTATCTCAGGCCAGCCCACAACAAAACTGAGGTATGAAGCCGCTAATTATAATACTTGCAATAACTTCCACAGTCGCCTTCATCACCAGCAATGTTGAAGCAATGAGTTTATTTTCCCCACCTTGCCCTAAGAGACAAAAGGTTCTTCCTCCCAATAACAGTACTGTTGTGGGTATTTCTTATTACAATTCTTAATAATACGTCTCGCTTAGGAGGACTAGCTCTGCTCCATTTAAAACTGGTGTCAAAACCTCCCATCAAATTCACTCAGTTTGGGTTCATCCCCATGAGGAGGATTACGTTTATCTGTTTACAAATGAGGTTTGGTCTTCAAGCAGGCAAGTTAAAACAGGCACCTGAAGAACACCTTTATAACCACCTAACAAAACAATTATAATGTCTGTCTCATGCCCTCTCCTCTGCCTCTGGGTACTTGTGCTGCAGATCAAGATATTTCCTCCCTCAATATCATGAATCCTTATATACTCATTGGATTCTATACATCTGTATGCAAACAAACAAACAAAAATATCCACCAATGCTAAGAGGCAGAGGGGGCCTGATTTAACATTATTGATTTACAAATGCAAATGCCACTCGGGTTCCCTTTCACCCCAGAGGCCTGCAGGTAACTTTCCCTTAAGTAAAAGCAATAATAATCCACATATGCAAGAAGACCATTCTTAACTCTCAGCCTTTCCGTTACTACAAACTTTAGCTCTTCATTCTCTTGCTATCACTATATGGCTTATTAATTAAAGTCTGGTTCAGATTTAGATGACAGAATCTCATGCTTACTATTTGGTTTTTACTTTTCCCCCTTCACACTTTCAACTAATACACAGTTATATTGACAATGATGTAAAAATGCAGTTCAAAGATGAAATGCTCTGAAATATTAGAGAAGCACCTATACTAAGCACTTTGTATCACTATTATTGCAACAGATGGCTAGAGCAAAACATAACATAATTCTGGTCACTGCTTGATATGACCTTAAGAATAAGTGGATACAATCTTGAGGCTGATGTGACAATCCTTCCTGCATGTCACTCTCAGGAGGGCAGTAACAATGTCAGAACACCACAAAACAAGACTTGATGGTACCATAACTTGATAGCTCAGAAAGGATCTTCTCGGCAGAAGAAAGTAGATTGTGAGAAAATGGTTCACTGTTTATCTTTGAAAATTGCAGGAGTATACAATCCTGTTCCTCTCAGAAGCTCAGTGAAGAACCAGTTCCTTTCCCTGTGTTTTTTGGTACATACTCCACAGTGGATTTCAGTTTCTTTTCACCAGGTCGTGACCTCCAACAGGAAAATCCAATCAAAGAGAAGAAAAGTGGTGAAATGCCCCTCTCAAAGTGGTGAAATTCAGAGACATCACTTGGCACTGACAACCTTGTGATGTACACACACAGTTGCACTTTTCTTGCCTTAACTTTATCTCCACAGATGGATGTTAACCTTCAGGGGAGCTGACGAATGCTGGTTTAGAGGTGCCAGTCCATGGTTTTGCATCCACAATCCTTAATTTGCTTTTGCTGGGGAAATATCATGGTCCCTCAACACACACATACACACACTCCTCCTCCTCCTGCTTCACAGCTGCCGATTCAGTTTCTGCGCTTGCCGTTCTTTGGCCTCAAAGGCGACTTTGGTGTCCTGTAGCTGGACTATGGCCTCTTTGGCTTCCTTCAGGTCCTGACAGATTTGCTCATACTTCTGAGTCAGCTCCTTGTTTTCACGGCGGAGTTCCAGAACCACCTGGTTGACTTCCTCCGTCTGTTTGGTACAGTGGATTTTCAGCTGCTCCACTTCAGAGAGCATAATCTCCATGTTTTTTACAAGCGCTTCCAGTTTCTCCCGAGACATGTTGGTGTCTGGTCCGTTCCCGTTGACTCGCCCAAGTCCAAACCCAAACCCAAAGGGGATAAAAAAAGCCACCGTGTGATATTGAAGCAAGAAGCCTCGATACTGACACTTTTGATGTCTCTTTTATTCACCCTCTCTCTCTCCTGTCCTCCTCCTCCCTTCTCTTCTCCAAACTACCCCTAATCTTCTTTGCTGGGGATAATCTACTTATTTATACTGCAATGCAAAAAAACCTATGGAAGGGCTCAATGTTCTGAAGTAACATACATGCTGGATGCATGGCAAAGCATACAGAAAGCAACCACTCATCAGATGTAACAATCTGTTAACTGAAGATGTTGAGAATGGAACACACATAATCCAGCTAACATTAAGTGCTCACTGAGGTTGTATAAGCATTATCATCTTAAAACACAGAAAGGTCTCCCCGCCCCCCCCCCCCAGCTGCATGTCATGGTACACATCAGTATGGTTAGGTGTGTTTTCAACTTGTCATCAGTCTGTCCACATCAGTAGGCAGAGCAGGGCCTGCATGTCTTCATATAGTTTATGTTTTCAAATCGGATCAAAGCTGGTTTGGAGGGAAACGCATCAAAATGCAGCATTTCTCAATAGATGTGGATGGTGGGTAATGTCCCGTATAAACAGCTTCACAAACCAGTAGTAGGAGTAACGCCATGTGTGTGTGTGTGTGTGTGTGTGTGTGTGTGTGTGTGTGTCTCCCCCTCCCCAAACCAGTTTTAATCCAAATTGGGGGAAGAAACAATGTAGCTGCTTTTTAAGCTGATAATGCATGCACACACATACCAGAGTGTAAGTCCCTCTGAACTCAGTGGAACTTACTTCTGAGTAGAACTGCACAGGATTGTGCTGCAAGTCAGAGGAATGTGAAGAGTTCAGTCCCACTGAAATCAATGATATTCAAAAGATGTTGACTTTGGCTGGATTGTGTGCACGGTTAGGGGTGTGTCTTCCGCTCCCCAATACACAATAGTAAGAAATGATCTATTTCTCATAGGAAAAAAATTACATAATGCATAGCAAAAGATAATAGATCACTCTAATAAGTGTATGTTGCTTATTTAATGGCATAATATTGACATAAGTGTAAAATAGTATTAAATGTATATTATTTACTTGGCAGCCTGATGTATCCTGCAGAGTCAGGTAATGAAAGACTGATTATCTTTGAGAAATTGTTATTCTTTGGGTATTAAGCTTGTATATAAAATAAATTAATTCCCTGAGTAACTTGCACAGAATGTTCTTCTTGTATCATCCCAGTGCTTTCCTGCACAGGCTGTATGGTTTTGTGTGAAATAATTTTTTCACTGACAGGATGTTCCATGTTTTCATTCATCGTAGTGTCGGTGTGGTTTTAAACCTTATTTCCCAGCCAGTATTCTCTGGATGCCTGCTGGCAGACATTTTGCTTGTTTGTTTGCTGAATTTTTATCCCACCTTTCCACCCCAAGGAGCCCAGAGTAGCAAACAGATATACCATTTAAAAAACAATAACAAAACGCAAACATTCAAAAACAGATCAAAACTTTTTTAAAACAAATACAATTAAAAACATCTAAAAGCAAATACAGTTTTAAAAAATATATTCTAAAAGCAATTAGAATTGAAAACATACTTCCATCTAAACATCTTGAGGTTGCAAGGAACAGTATTCTTCTGTCACCAAATGCCTGGGTAAACCAGAATGTTTTCAAATTCCTCTTGACAATTAATAATGGAGATTGGCGCACTTCTCTAGCAGCACCATCACTGAAAAGCCCCAGTAGCAGCACAGCTCCACCCACAAACTGAGCTAATAAGTAGACCTGAGCCAACTCAGCAGCACTACCTCCATAAAGTACCATATTTTTCGCTCTATAAGATGCACTTTTCCCCTCCTAAAAAGTAAGGGGAAGTATGTGTGCGTCTTATGGTGCGAATGCAGGCGGGAGGCTCTGTCAGCACTCCCTTTAAAGAGCCGCGTGGAGCGTGGGGCTTTTCCCGATGCATCCCGCTGGCTGTCTTGGCTTATGCCATAGCCGAGCACAGCCTCTCCCGGCCGGAGAGGTTGCGCGCAGCTAAAGAGGAAGCCAGGATAGCAAGCGGAATCCCGTTGGCTGTTCTAGTTTCTGGCTTAGCCACGCGAAGCCTCTGCAGGGGAGTGGGGAACCTTCATCCCGCTCCCCTGCTGAGGCTTCGTGCGGCTATCCCTTGCTTTTGCTTTTGCACCTCCCAGAAAAGCCCCCAAGAGCCACGCTCCCTTTAAAGAGTGTGCGGCTCTTGCGGGAGGAAAGCCAGTAGGCTTGCTTTTGCTGAAGCCAGGAGGGCAAGAGGGATCGGTGCGCACTGATCCCGCTTTCTCTCCTGGCTTCAGGGGTAGCCCCGCAAAGCCTCCTGAGCGAAGATGAAGGAGCGCTCCCTCTTAGCTCAGGATGCTTTGTGTTCCTTTCTTATTTCTTGTTTTCCTCCCCTAAAAACTAGGTGCATCCAATCATCCAGTGCATCTAATAGAGTGAAAAATACGGTATCCAGATAATCTGGCACTGTGTCATAGTAACAGGAGCTCTAACTAGAAACCTTTGGCTCTGTGATTGGCTTCCCTATGCAGTGAGCCACTGAACTGCAGGTTGCAGTGTATCCTTAGCCCATGGACTGACTCCCATCCACTCAAGCTGGTCACTGGCTTCTTGTAGACAGGAAGGATTATAAGAGGCCTTCCTGCTGGAGTTAAGTCTTGCTTCAGCAACAATGCGGAGAGCATGTCTAATATAAATGCGCCCTTGTCAGTTTTTTCTCCCATGCTGAGCGCTGGCCTTTTTACTACTTTGCCATTAACGTATAGATAAAAAATGAGGCAAAACCGGGTTTAATGAGAGCACCAGGTTTCATCCTTGGTGCTTTGAAGTTTGCAACTCCTTCTCCATCATCCAGATAATTAAATCTAAAATTTTACTGCTGACATTAACATTCTTGCCAGTTTCCTGCTGAGTTTGCATCTCAAGCCCCTTCTCCTATTACCTCTCCTGCGGTTTTTCCAGTGATACCAGCCAGAACCACCTGCTTTCGTCCTATCCACATTCCTCTCTTCCTATGTGTTTGAGATGACTAATAACAAACTGCATTGTACTAGCTTTCCTATCATAAAAACAAAATTTCCCAGGCTCTCTCTAAAATTTTAGGATTACTTCTGCTATGAGTTGGAATAGGTAGACTTTTGTGTAACCCATTTTAAGTATGAGGAAACTCTCCACATACATTATTACCTCAGAGTTTGTTCCAGCCCTTGTGCTTGCAGGGACACGTTTGGAAAATGTGACAGCAGAGCACAAACACTCATGATACAGACATACACCCTCTATTATTTGAACTTTCTGTCTGAATTCAGTGCTCTTGAAGTAAAACTTTTTCTTTTTCTTTTCTACTTCCTTGCCAGTTCAGGAGGCATCCTTGCTCCCAATCTTGCTTGCTCAAAGGCAGCAAGCAAAGTCACTTAAATAAAGCAGAGAGAGTCCAGAGAGAAAAGAAATACTGATAACACTTAGTGTATAAATTGAGGAGAAAGGAACAGAGGGGTTTTGCCTTTCTTTACTTCAGGCCTTGCATTCAACCAAACATACAGAGGAAAACTTCCTCAGAATTACACAGCCAATCAGAGCATGTACTACCTCAGCAAACATCATACCACTCTGCCTGGTTGCTAAGCAACACCTCACCCCACCCCTCGCTTAATTAGCTGACTTACTGATACCAAAATTTACCTGAAGTTACAAGCAGAATGATTATTGGTGTTGTACTTCCAACATCATCATGGTTAGGAGTCAGACAAGCACACAAAACTCTCTGGAGACAAATAGCTTTGTGTCTACACTATAGTATGGGCTGACTGGTTATCCACAATATAATGCTATTTAAAATTTATTATCATTATTACATTTATATCCCACCAGGGAACTCAAGATGGCATATATGGTTCTCCCCTCCCTCCATGTTCACTACAGGCCTGTAAGGTAGGTTAGACTGAGAGAAAATGACTGGCCCTAGGCCAACACTCTAACCACTACACCACAATAGGTTTCTATATACCACACTGGCTCTCAGTATGGATGACTTGTAAGGAGCAGAAGGTTTATACAGTGGTACCTCGGGTTACATATGCTTCAGGTTACATACGCTTCAGGTTACAGACTCCGCTAACCCAGAAATAGTGCTTCAGGTTAAGAACTTTGCTTCAGGATAAGAACAGAAATCGGGCTCCGGCGGCGTGGCGGCAGCAGGAGGCCCCATTAGCTAAAGTGGTGCTTCAGGTTAAGAACAGTTTCAGGTTAAGAACGGACCTCCGGAATGAATTAAGTACTTAACCCGAGGTACCACTGTACAGTATATAGGCAGGGCCTGGAACTGAGCTTTTAGAGTCCCAGGCTGCTTATTGGTTTAGTAAGGTGCTGGAGTCGAATGTGTTGTTCGACTCCAACTCCTATCAACCTGAGCCAACAAGGCTAAAGGTCAGTCTAGCAACATCTGGAGAACCACGGGTTTGCCATTTCTAGTCTAGGGGCAAGATTCTTGCTTTGGGTGTGAGAGAGCTTCAGTTCCTGAAGGATGCTTTTAAACAGAAAAGGAGAGCAGGAGAAAATGATAATGAAAATATACGTCCTGGATGCCCTTGTGGAATCGTTTGTGCTGGCTTCAAGCCCAGACCTTGTGTGACACGGCTAGTCGTATAACAGGTTGGAACATGTAGCATTATGAAAGAGCAGCTCTTAATGGAAGACGACCCCCCCCCCCAATCCCTTTTATAATGATAGAATTATGGTGCTGCAGAGACAGAACATTGGCACAGAAGTTGTTGGAGTAGATTTCTACAGCTGATACAGTGCCGTACACAGTGTTTAATTCTATTTCAACCTGCTTAGAATTCACATTCCATGTTGGGGGAAAACATTTGACGGAAATATATTGTTTTCTAGCTTGTCAGCTGAAGTAGATGGGACAAATGG